TCTCAGTGCATGTAAACTCTTACTCTGATTTCTTTCGTTCTTTCGTCTCTCTTAAAAGCCACGGCATAAAGTTTTACATTATGTTTATGTCACGTCTTCTTCTGTCAGTTTATTGGCTGGTTGCAAAGCAGAAATCTGATTACTGCTTACTCATATAAACCCAGAGTTTCACAATATCTGATTACTCAAGTGCATATAAACGCGCTGATCGGATTACTAACAAAATCTGATTTTCTGCAGTTATCGGATTATTAAGTGCCTGTAAGTACACTCGCTGTTTTAGGATAGTTCTGAGAAAAGTTATAGGTCTAAAACATGTTATTTTTTTATCCATTCATGGCGGAGGGGTACATGCAGGGGCTTGTGAGGCAAAGTAGTCCCCGAAGAAAACATATTTTTTCCAGATTTATGACTATTTTACCGTCATCAACATTACCTAGGAACTTATGAGATATGTGTAGGTTCACTTGTCATTTTGGATAATAAATAAAATGCCTATATTTGTGTTGTAGACATTGTGACGTCTGGGTCCTATCAGCACCACTGCAAAGAAATCTGAGTCTAGGTTTCTCTACAATGAACCACTTCACCTCAAACCACTCTGAATGACTGTTTACGCAACGATGGAATTATGCAAAAATTTTGAAAAATAGGTTGAATTCCACTTTAAAGCTTTCATCTCTGAGAGAGAGGAGAAAATCAAGCTCTACTTGTGTATCTGTCTCTCCTTCCTCTGTGAGAGGACAACTCAACGCTATGGGTCTGAAGGAATGTGTAACTGAAACTGGACGTCTGGGATGTGGAGGAAGATTTTATGGACTAATAATTGTAAATTTTTAATTGGGATTTTTAGGATCTTCAGAAGCAGAAAATACAACCAACTTCTAAGACTGAACTTTGTAGGTGTGGAAAAACATTCCTGCTGATTTCTTTGGGAAAAAAAAGGAATTCTCCTAAAATGAATGAAAGCTGTAATAAAGGTAAAGAGTGGACACATTAAATCCTGTAAAATGTTATCTTATATCGAGTTGTTGGTGTTTCTGTGTAATTTTGTATTAAATGTACTTAATGGCTGATTTGACTGGAAATAAGTGTAAGTTTCTCTACTATCAACTATTTAACATCAAACCATTCTGAATGACTTTATTTGCATTTCAATGATTCAATCATGTAGGAAGTTTGAAAAGTCAGTGAAATTCCCCTTTAATTTATACGAATACTCACGCTAGCTGCACACAGTGAACGAATGTGAACTTATTTGTTAAAAAAATGCAGATATTCCAATAACAACAACAGTAAAATGCCATCCCTGCTGTGGAGGGAGTGGCAGTCGGAGCGGCAGGGTGGAAATGGTTAAGCTGCTGCCCTGCTCGCTCTGTGTGTAATGACGCCCTCAGCACTTTGATTTCAGCTGAACTGCAGTGACCCCGACGTGTCTGAAACACTCTACACGCCTGGTTGCCTCTCTCTCCCCCTCTCTCTCGCTCACTCTCTCCCCCTCTATCGCTATCTCTCTTCACCCCCCCTTCTCCTCTCTCATGTTTGGTGTCCATGGGGAGAGGGAGAAAAAAGACACGAGACAAACAAGGCAGAGAGCGAGAGGGAGGGAGAGAGGGAAGGAGGGATGATAGTGAGAATGGAAAGGAGACACGAAGGAAAAAAAGGAAAAAGAGGAGAGAGAGAGACATAGAAAGAGGAAAAAGAAAGAAAAGGAGAGTTGGAGAAAGGGAAGGAGAGAGGGGAAAGAAAGGGAAAGAGTTAGAGAAGGAAAGGGAAGGAGTGCTGGGGGAGAGCGTGAGAGACAGAAAAGGGATGGAGATGGGACAGAAAGAATAAGAGAGGAGTTGGATAGAATGAGAGAGAGGGAGAAAGGGAAGGAGAAGTGGAGGAGAGCATGAGAGGAGAAAGAGAAAGAGAGTAGAACAGGGAAAGAGACTAGAGAGGAGAGAGAGACAGGAGATAGGGATAGAGAGAGAGGGAGGGAGGGAAGGAGGGATTATAGTGAGAATGGAAAGGAGACATGAAGGAAAGAAAGGAAAACGAGGATAGTAAGAGAGACAGGGAAAGAGAACGGGGAGAAGAAAAAGAAAGAAAAGGAGAGTTAAAGAGAGAAAGGGAAGGAGAGAGGGGAGAGAAAGGGAAAGAGTGAGAGAAGGAGAGGTGGAGGTGAGCGCGAGATACAGAAAGGGATGGAGACGGGAGAGAGAAAGAGAGAGAGGATTTGGATAGAACGAGGGAGGGAGAAAGAGAAAGAGAGAGAGTAGAAGGGGCAAAGAGACTAGAGAGAGGGAGGGAGAGGAGAGAGAGATAGAAGATAGGGATGAAGAAAAAGAGAGAGTAAGAAAAGGAGAGAGAGGAGGGGTATTGTGAGAGATTGGTCACTGAGACAGGGGTTCACTGACCTCCAATACATTGCCGACGGAGTGTAGTGTCCGGATGAAAGAGAGAGTTGTGTGTGTGTGTGTGTGGGTGTGTGTGTGTGTGTGTGTGTGCTTTTCCCTATGCTGCACTTTCAAATGAATGGGAGCCAAAGGCCCAGGTGACCTTTGACCTCAGACTTCAGAGAGAGGGTCTGTAGGCTGCGCTCCAGCTGCGCTGAGTGGGACAGCGGCACTAAATCACTGCGCACCCACACTGGGCCAAACCGCGTGCACACACAGTCTCAGTGGTCCCCTCACTCTCTGTGGTGCACTGTAGAGGAAGAGCTGCTACAACTGCAGCCTCAACACACACGCCTGCACTGTGTGTATGTGTGTTTGTGCTGTAACGAGGGCCTGTAGTGACAAAGTTACATACTGCCCTGCTAGAAAGACCAGCATAGACCAGCATGGCCGGTCACCATCAAAACCAGAATACGTTGGGTTTTGGATGCTGGTATACTGGTCAGCAGCAATGGAAGCTAATATGCTAGTCACCACCAAAACCAGCATATGTTGGGTTTTGGATGCTGGTATACTGGTCAGCAGTAATGGAAGCTGATATGCTAATCACCACCAAAACCAGCATATGTTGGGTTTTGGATGCTGGTATACTGGTCAGCAGTTGATATGGTAATCACCACCAATACCAGCATGTGTTGCGTTTTGGATGCTGGTATACTGGTCAGCAGTAATGGAAGTTGATATGCTAATCACCAGCAAAACCAGCACATGTTGTGTTTTGGATGCTGGTATGCTGGCCAGCAGCAGTGGAAGTTGATATGCTAATCATCACCAAAACCAGCATATGTTGGGTTTTGGATGCTGGTATACTGGTCAGCAGTTGATATGCTAATCACCACCAATACCAGCATGTGTTGCATTTTGGATGCTGGTATACTGGTCAGCAGCAATGGAAGCTAATATGCTAATCACGACCAAAACCAGCATATGTTCGTTTTGATGCTGGTATACTTGTCAACCAGCATGACCATGGTGGGGTGACCAGCTAAACCAGCACTAAACCAGCACAGACTAGCATGAAATGCTTGTTGTTTTGTGCTAGTTTTTTCAGCAGTGTATGTATTGGTGATGCACAGTGTGCCAGAATACTAAAATCACGATTTCAACACAGGAAGACAGAGAAAATGTACCAGCTAACAATTCAGGGAAATTCTAATTTAAAGTTTTAGCAGAACTGAAAAATGTGAGGAATTTTATACTTTGCTACTGCGCCAAGGATGCGTGGTTAATAAGAATGTCACTGAGAAGACAGATATGGTGCAGCTTTATCGCTAACTACGCTAACTACTCTAGCTGATGTTAGCTAGGTCCAGAAACAGTAAAATCTGGCAAAGATAAAAATGTTGGGCTCAACAGTGTAACAGTGAACATATTCCGAATATCAAGTTGGAAATGTGTCCACTGAGGAGAAAGACTTTGTGTAGAGTCTTCATCAGCTTCTAACACTGTACCGTTAGCGTTAGCTCATTAGCTCCTCTGAAGAGGCTGCTCCTGTTACTCATCCAACATGAATATCTAGGCTAATCCATTGGCGGTGGTTAAATAATAAAATATGTTTCCATATTTAACATGCAATGCTATCAGCTTTGGACCACAGCTTTATGCTTATTTATTTATTTAGGCTTTTCCTTCTGTGTGGATATCCATTCATTTACTCTTATGGCTAATTGAATATCAAGTCAGAATGCACATCCCTTCTATGTGTGTGCCTGTCTTTTTGTTTTCCTTCATTTCATTCTGACTGTATTAAAACCAGAGAAAAACAAAGCCAAGTCAACAGGACCAATAAAGAGCTCCTGACTTTGCGAACCCATTTCTTACAAAATTAGGAAGAATCTGACATTGTATAAAAATGAATGTGTAAGTGTTAAGAAGTGGAATGTAGGCCTGTCATGATTGTGAATTAATAGTCATATAAATAATTGCGATTGACTCAATTTAATAATTTAATGGTCTTTTTCGTTCATTTTATGCAACTGAAGCAGCTAAATTGGCTTATTAGCTATCTTGCTCCCTACCTATCTTTACGTTGTAGCTAACGCTAGGTTATACCGACACTGCTTTTCTTGAGATTGTGAAAATAAGAGCAAAAAATGCTTGTTCTGCAAGTACTTAGCATTAGCTGTATAGCTAACAAACAAAAAACATACATTCCCATTAAATGTATTATAGTACCCAGCTAAAAGTTAGAACTTGTGCTTGTTGTTTTTCTTTTTTTTCTGGTTTTGTTTCAACTGGACTGATAAAAACATCTCTTTCACATTCTGCATGTTGTGATGCTGTATGGAAAATAACTAAAAAATCATTGCGGTCAGCTGAAATAACTGCGATTATCTCAAATTATTGCGATCAGGCGATTTATATCTATCATATACTAGGGTAGACAAATAATGGAAACATTTCGGATGTGCCAGGTAAAAAACTGTAGCTTGGTTCCAGCATTGATTATCACAGATGGTGGAAAAACAAGTTTTGTACAATATTTTGTGCACTGTTTATATGTTTTTGCACAGACTATGTGGCTGCAACAGGTTTTCTTTTCTGTCTTTGTCTCTCCAGAGAGTTGCCGGATGATCCAAAGGCCAAGTGGAGCATAGCACTGATCTCATCGCTCATCTTTAAACACATCAGAACTCATTCCATTAACCTGGTGAGAACCTTCTAGAACTCCCAGTCTAGAACCCATTCTACACCCTGATGAGAATTGATCTAAAATGCCTAAAAGGCTGCAACACATTTTTAATAACATGGTGAAAATCTTCTTGGACTTTCTAGAATCTGGTTCTTTATTGATTACTATGAATGGCTTTACACACCAATTTGTTTGTGTGATTTATTCGTACATCGGTAAATCAATTTGAACACGTGTAGAACTGCTTATATCTTGCACATCAGACGTGATTTTTACAAACTTTCATAGGCGACGTGAACTCACTCCACCAATCGCTGTTGTCTCTGACGTTGGCATGGTGACAACCAAGATGACATGTTGCCTGTGTCTCAGCAGGCAGAACTTTTTGACAAATGTTAAAAGAATTTGTTTGTCCTCTGCTTTGTCACCTATAGTGTTAGCTTCTCCAAAATTAGCTCAAACTCAGTTATGGACATTTGATCTGTACAGTGGCACGAACAACGCAGTATAATTCCAAAAAAATCTTGTCATGTCTGGTGTGGACAGTTTTGGTGCAGAAAAATATTTCTGAATATTTCACCTTTTCGTTTTAATTATTCGCACCATGTTCGTGTATATAAGTGTATAAGAAAGTGATTATACACAAACTCGTTTCTCTCCACTGTGTTTGCCGCCGCAACCTCCACTTGCATTTTCTTCACCTCACCACAACAGAGCAGACACACAGGATTGTCAATAGCTATGCTTCCGTTGACTTTCTGCCCTCATCCAACATCATTATCTGACCTCACAAATGCTCTTCTGGATAAATGGGCATAAATTCCCACAGACACGCTACAAATTCTTGTAGAAAGCTTCCCAGAAGAGTGGAAGCTGTTAGAGCTGCAAAGGGGGACCAACTCCAATGCCTATGGATTTAGAATGGGATGTGATAAAAGCTCCTGTAGGTGTAATGTGTAGGTGTCCCAATACTTTTGTCCATATGGTGTATATCTACATGTGACAACAGTAGAAAGAATGTGTTTGTGGGCAGAGCTTGAATAGGTCAATTGAGTCAATGGTAGAACGCATCTCATCTACTGAGAGATTTGGCCTATTGCAGATATCTTTCATAAATAAAATCAACTTTAATAAATAAGAATGATGTTCCATAATGCTGCTTATAACATAAGTGTCTATTATCATGTCCATGATTCAGTATTTCAGTCTCAGAAGTAGGTCATCTATTTACATGGTCGTTAAAAGGGACAGACTCGCATTTTCAAAGCAACAGCTCCACCTCCCTTTGGTCTACTGTTGGCCAGGACTGGGTACATGTTTCACATGGACTGATGAGGTTGTTTCACTTAAAGCTGGTCTGGTTAATCCACAGAGTACAACATGTCATCCACCCTCTGTATTTATCCCTAATTACACAAGCATTAATATCCCACAGTGCTCCTGGCCCCAGTTACGGCAGACAAAGCGCGGCTCCCTGGGGCCAGTGCTGGCCAGCTAAACCCAGAGATTTTTATCAGACCCACTGAAGAGTTCCAGGAAATTTCCCAAATGGAATTTCAAATCGAGATCTGAACAAACCCCCCCCCCACTTTACACCTCCTCCTTCCTTTTTCTCTGACTCTCTCCGACTTTCTCTCTCACTCTACTTACTATCTCTCTCTCTCGCTCTCCTCTTTCTCATTCTTACTCTACTTTCTAGTTCTCTCTCTCTGTCTCTCTCTCTCTCTCTCTTTCTGTCTCTCTCTCTGTATCACTCCCTTTTTCGCTCACTCTACTTTCTGTCTTTCTTTCTCTCTCTTTCTGCCTCCTTCTCTATCTCCTCTATCTCTCTCTCTCTGTCTCACTCTCTATATCTCTCCCTCTTTCTCAGTCTTTCTCCCTCTCTTTACTCTCTTCTTTTCTTTCACCTTCTTTCTGTCTGTTTTCTTTCTCCTTCTCTCTCTCTTTCTCTGTCTCTCTCTGTCTCTCTCTCTCTCTCTCTCTCTATCCATCTCTCTTTAATTTCTTCTTTCCCTTTTTCTCTCTCCCCTTCTCTCACTATTTCTTTTTCTCCTCTCTCTCTCCCTCTCTATCCATCTCTCCCCCTCCTTTTCTTTCTCTTTTTTCTCTCCCCCTCACCATCCCCCCCCTCTCTCTCTCTGTATCCATCTCTCTCTCCTTCCTTCTCTTTCTCTTTTTTCCTCTCCCCCTCTCTCACCATTTCTCTCTCTCTCTCTCTCTCTCTCTCTCTCTCTCTCTCTCTCTCTTTCCCCCCACAGGCCATTAAGTCTCCGATAAATCTCAAGCACTGAAGACTTGGATAAACAAACAACAGCAAACAAACAGGCAGTGAAAGAGCGAGTGCTGTTGCGAAACAGCTCCGGTTTGATGTTTCCCTCAGCATGTATAAACACGCGAGCTTGCCATCGCCAAGCGCTGTCCCTCCCATCCTGCCGGGCCGCGGTCCCTCTCCAAAGAAGCTTTTAATGACTATGATTGCATAAACCGTAGCCGTAACCGTAGCGAATCCCCCCAAAACTATTCAACGCAGGCGAGGCAGGCCATTATTTTCTCCTGCTTATTTGATTTCAGCAAAGAAGCAGTTTGGTGGGAAACGTTCATATTAAAGTATAACTTTACATGCAGATTTCAAATCACTAGGATTACCCTGACCTCAGTCTGTGGGCCTCGTGACCTGGGGTGATGACCACTAGTTTTTGGATTTTTACCCCAGTTTTTTTGGCAGTTTTTCCCCCAATTAAGTCAACAATTGAAGCCAGCCATTGCAGATTTTTTAAAAGGCTCATCGTCATTGGACTGATCAACACACTTGGAGGAGAACACTAACTGCAAATTCTGTTACATCAGCTAACAGACGCCCACGTTGACTAACATCACACTTCTTTCCACACCAGTGACTGTATATGTGAAATAAACAAGTTGGGCAACGCATAACTGGCCCTCCTGAACTGGATGTAGTACTATAAAAAGTCATTGTACACGTAGTTTTTAATAGGATTCAAAAAATGTGGCAGTGTTGGTGTTCCAGCTTAACAATCCTCAGAAAAGGAAACATTGAAAAAAAATGTCATCAAGTGTTGTGATATTATATTTACCATATTGCCCACCACTATATGGACTATGGGCCCTGCCCAGGTAAATACACCATGCTACACCAGTAAGAGTCTTTGGGCATGACTCTCCATTTGTCTACCTCCGTAACATGATTAAATTGCAAGTCACATGAGATAAGAGCACCTAGAGCCAAATGATTAAATGTAAATAAAAAACAGTGGGGAACCTCAGAGAAGGCCTAAAGATTTTGGGGATTTTTGTCTGTAATATTTAGTTCATTTTAATTCAATAGTATCACCATGCTTGTTTGTATTTAAACTCTGCAAGTATTGTACTCATACTTGCATTGTACTAACACTACTTTTTCATTGTTAAGTTTTGGTTGGAAACTAAAGTGTTAAAATCTTCAAACAGCCTACAAAAAGTGCCCGGTCAAGATTTTCTCTGTGCTATGTAGATAGATACAGCCAAGTGAGCTCTCCCATTGATTAGGCCTTCAGGAGCTGAACAGAAGGCCTAACATATTCAGTTAACTAACATAATTAGGAAGTAACAGTGGACTCCATGGAGCCTGGAGTCTGGAAATCTTAGATCGTTACTGACTGTAAATATGAGGGGTAACTTAACAAGGTTTCAGTTAGTTGTTAGAAATTATATATATATATATATATATTAATGTCTATTACAAGCTTCAAATAAAACACCAGCTTTAGATTTCAGTGTTTGATCTAGAATGGCAACAAAATGTTTGTGCACACCAGCATTAGCTTAGCACTAATATACTATTAAAAATACCAGCAGAAATTAGCATTATCATAAAGGTGTGCTTTTTTCCCCTCATTTTTGAATTTTGATATTTATGGCCCGAACTGAAGGCCTAGCTCTAATATTTATGCTTCTTTCACAGTCATTTGTAAAGAAGCAGAAGTGAAGTAAACTTTGACAGTGACGGCAATTAAAAATATACATGTAAACCCAATAGTCAAATGTTACATTAAAGGAATAAATCAAATTTACACCGTTTTAACCACTTAACCCAGAGGTAGTTGATCAGCCAAGACATGTTTAGTGTCCAAATTGTGCTTCTTTAGTGGTATTGAGGCTAATGTTGCTACCACATCCAAGTCTTTCTCAAAGTTGAGCAGACTTGTTGATGTGATTTGGGACAAAGTGCAGCTTACTGTGAATTATAAAAATGAATAAACCTTACCGTGTAGCCTGACTCCCCTTCGTATGCATGCATGTCACACAGGCCTATGGCCTCTACAGATTATGTTTGCAGTTTCTGTTGCTTCTTTTTATAAAAAACTGTTCAGCTGTTTAAAAAAAAAAACAATTTAAATTTCAGACTAAAGATATATGTTTAAAAGTAGAAACTAGTGTAGTGTCTGTATACCTGCGTGACATGTATGCACTCTACGTTGAGTTGGACTCTTTAATTTAGGCAGATTAAACCAAAACCAAGCCTGCACAGCACTGTGTTGTCTAAAATGATTACAGCCTTCAGCTACACTGTGACGTTCTGTTGATTTTTATAACCCACAGTAAGTCACACTGTGTCCTAAACCACACGGACAAGTCTACTCGACCTAAATGAAGACCTTGATGCGATTTGAACACATTGCGTGAAGTTTTGGGTATGTACATACAGAAGAGATCTGGGTGACTATTGACTTCTAGTGTTTAGCTCTGTTGGCCTCGTAGCTCCAGTGCTAAACTAAGAAGCAAAATTTGGATACCAAACATGCCTTGGCTGATCGACTACATCTGGGATGAATGGAAAATTATGTAAAATTTGTTTTTTTGCCAAACCTTTCCCCGATGCAACTGAATAGTTAGTAGGATACTTTCGAACCTACGTATATATGCGAAACAGATATAGATTGTGTACAATAATAATGAAATGCTAGTGGAGGTTCTTTGGCCCATGTAAAGAAAAAAAAAAAAGTCTGGCCATGGTCCATGTGAGCATGTGAGAATGTGTACATTTGTCGTTCTCATATCCTCCCATTACTCAGCTCCGCTGCTCACGCTGAGTGTGTGTGTTTATGGATTTCTGACATTCAAAGCCCACCTCATGTCCCTCCAGTCTGCAGAGCCCACTTCACTCACCCTGTTTGCTTTGGCAGCCCTGGATATTTCCACCAAATTATGGTATTCTGTCTGCTTTTCTTGCCCTGTACAGCAGGCCAGAGAACACACTCAGTCCTGAAAGCACAGCAGGAAGGCCCAGCTGTATCTCACAGTCTGGTATAGATGGGGTTTCCCTGGTTTAAAGGAAGAAAAAAAACATACAGCAAATTCTGCCTTCCTGACAAACCCAGACCTGCCTGAAGTGCAGTGTGTTCAGAAGCCCAACTCCAGTGTTTGTTGTATTCCAGCGCCCCCCACACCAAACCCACACCTTGTCAATCACGAGAACAGAAAATGGAGACACAAAAAAGCCCTTAAATATCAGTTCTCACATGCCAGTTGTTCAGTTTACTCTCGATTGTCTGCTTCCTTGCATTCAGTTTGTTTTGTATGCACTACCTCAGGGGCTAATCATTTTCAATGCAGTTTACTTAAGAACCATATTTACATCTTGACTCTGCAATTCAAATTCATCCAAAGCCGGAGGTGATAAAAGTGCAAAGAAATTACACTTAAGTCAAAGTATAGATACTGTATCAAACACTTTAAAAAGTGGAAGGATAAGCCAAAAATATGCATCAGTTGAAGTCAAAAAGTGTCAACAAATGATCATAGTTGTGGACAGTTCTATTTTACATTGATTTGAAGTTGAAATTGGCTCTTGATCCCATTCTAAGTTGTCACTGCTAAATAATATAAAGTTTGACAATGCCTGAAACCTGATTTATCCTCACAGCTAATGTTTAGAACGTCGTTACAGGTGCTGACGTTTGATGAGGGGGGAGTTAGTGGACACGCCAATCACATCGCCATCTACAAAGCCTTCAGGTACGCTCTCACTCATTCATTCTTATCAGAGAGTCTCGCTTTCCAGTACGTACCTGTATCTGTAAAAAATATAGAAGTGTGTTGCATCTCTAAAGACAGAACTCAGCATCATGGAACATAGAAAACTTAAATTTTGCATATAGATACATTTTATTGTGCCAAATGGAATTATACATGCTCTGATGTTGACGTTTCCTTTTGAAACATTAGCTGTATTATTTGAACTGACTATAGATGTTGCCGTCTGGATTACTTTGGTTTAGAGGTCTGCACAAGCATGAAATTGAAGCCCAAACCCAACCCATACCCGTGACTTTAGGACAAGACCTGACCCAACCAGGTCCGTTCAGTACTGCCCACGAGAGCGGCTGCATCAGTGTGTTTACTGAAAAGACAGTCCTCTTGCTATCATAGCTCAAACTGCTATCACAAGTTTTACTTTATTTGTGACCAGTACGCTTTTTACCTGATGTAATGACTTGTGAGTCATTGGGAATTTTAAACAGTTCCCCTTTAGTGAGATTTATTTTGTCCTTGGAGAGCAGTTAGCAAGAGCGTTAGTGAGCGAGCGAGAGAGAGCAAGAGAGAGAGACAAAGAGGAAATTAATGTGATTTTAGCCCGAGCCCAACGTTGTGAAAAATGGTCCTCAACACGGCCCAAAATCATATATTTCCTCATCGGGCTTGGGTTGAGCAGCAGACCTCTAATGGATGAGCCTCATTACGTAACTTAACGTTATGTCATACTTTATTGATCTTGCAAGGGAAATTTGTCATTTTGCTGCCTAACTATGCCCAGTCTGGGAGGAGCACAGCATTGCCAGCAGAGCAGCGCAGTTAAGTGCCTTTCGGTTTAGGTGCTTTGCCCGAAGACAGGGGTGCTCTGTCCTGGCCCTGGAGATCTACCATCCTGAAAAGTTTAGCTCCAACCCAAATCCAGCACACCTGATCCAGGTAATGAAGTCGTTCACGGACTTCTTAATGTTACTGCCAGGTGTGTTGGATCTGAATTTTCTAGGACCAGGATTGGGCACCTCTGCCCAAAGACAACAACCAAGTACACCCAGTCAGTTCAGGGATTTGAACCCACAACCTTACGGTTGTGGGCTCACATCTTCTACTAGGCTACTGGCTACCCCAGTAGCCAGTATGCCTCAGCAAAGCCTGTCCATCCAAAACGTGAACATGCTGTCAGTGCATGTCCTTGTCTCAAATATAACAAGTTTTAGTCAGGGGCTGCGACCACATATTGAATTATGGATATTTAGCCATGAAACGCACCTTATAGGTAGAATTTAAAATTTTTTCTTTCTTTTTTGTATAAGCATTTTGATTTGAAACTCCTGGTTTTACTTCATTTGCACATACAGCAGTGAGTTGTTCTGTAAGCTGCAATGTGGCACACAATACCATCAGAAACTATGTTTTGTTCCTAATTGTAATTTAATGTTTAGTCCTCATGAGGTCTTTTCACACCAACTTTTACGGATGAAAAAAGAGGACGCAGTTTTTAACGCATTAAAACCTTCTCACCAAAGAACTTTTATTAAACATTTGCAGGAAGAAGACAAAAATGAAAGAAGAAATGGATTCTTGGAATAGTAACAGATAATAAAGTTATTTTTTTATTTTTATCTTTTTTTTTTTAGCTAGTGCTACTCCAAGACGCAGACACTGAGTAACAGCCCATTCTGCTAAATATGTTAATTGTAATTTGGTTAATTTTATAATTTGGTGATGAAAATGTCGATATTTATCCACGGTTTTATCCCAATTTATCAGTTTTTCAAAATTGCATATCATCCCAGCCCTAGTTTTTATGGCAGCTAGTTTTAGGGGAGCAGACTTTTGCCTTCAGAGCATCCTTGATTCTTTTATTGACATTATGCAGAAATTCTTCAGCATGTTTTTTATGTTGCAACACATTCCATGGTCAAGGAGTATAGCCTTCTCGATAGCCTGAGGACTTCTGGACACAAACACAGTGTGGAGGAGCAAGTTCTCAACCTTATCAAACAGACATTAGAGCCAGAGCCTGCTAAGCGCTACAAACATGTAAGACGTAAGTTTTCTTTAACCTTATATTTCACAGTGTGCAAATATACCCCAACAAGGACAAACATGTCTATACAGCCATATAGACATAAAATAAGTACATCCATACAGTACTTGGCAAAATTCTGAGATCAGCCTTCATTTAATTTCCAGTCAAAATGGTCATTAAGTACAAGTTATTCATTTTCAGGAAATATTTCTGAGGGGATTAGATATAGGATGATCGGACAAGGAAGGAGAAAAGCAAAAGAAAATTAGTTTCCAAAACTGAGCTGGAGTTCAATTACTAAGAAGACAGAAAATGACACTCATAACAACCATGCAAGACCTGGTAGACCACCAAAACTATGCCATCACATAGACAGTACTTAAAAACTGTAAAAAAAAGGAAATAAACAAAAAAGAATAAAAAATGTAAGTCAAACGGAGACGACATTAGTGATCTCAGAACAATGGCCTGACAAGGAGTCCAGACCTCAACATCACTGAGTGTATTTGGATTGTGAGAAGCAGAAACTGCAACCAACTTCTAAGACTGAACTTTGGAGGTGTGGAAAAATATCCCTGCCATTTTTTTTTTAACTGAGAGGAGGCTGCCTGAAAAGAGTGGAAAATTGTATTATATTGTGTTGTTTTTTTTTTGTTAAATATGTTTTATGTTTTTTTCCTGATGCTGAAAAATGAATAACTTGCACTCAATGGCCGTTTTGACTGGAAATTAAATGAATGAAGAGTGGGCCCTGACTTTTGCACAGTACTGTATATACAGCCCAACAGCGTAGAAACAAAATCATACTAAATCATGTACACCACATGGACACACACTTCTTAACCCACACAACATTCAAACACACGCACAACTCCCATCATCGGCTCCCGCACACACGCACACACACACACACGCATACACACACACACACACAGACCCATAACTTTCCCTCTCAAGATGGCTGTGATTTGCATAATTCCACATGCTGCATAGTTCAGAGATAACCCAAAGCCACATACAAACACTGCGCCATCAGACAATTCCACCAAATCATACTGTCAAGGAGAGAGAGAGAAAGGGAAAAACGGGAGAAAAAGGAAAGAGCGGATGTGCGAAGCCTCAGTCTTGGACTAGACAGCTGCGGTTGTTTTTCCAGCAACTGCATAATTCATCATGAGCAGACAAAAATTTTAAAAGTGCGTAGCCTTTTAAGCGAAAGTTCGGTCAACAGCTTTCTCCTTACCACAAATGTAGCACATCAGCCAAAACAGGTTTGCTTCTTTAGTTTTGCACTGGAGCTACAAGGCTAATGTAGCTAACAAGCAATGGAAGCTTATGTGTGTTCAGTTACCATGAACTGCATTCTAAACATGCTACACACTGCATCAAGTAATCTTAAACATACTTGGTAATATGGTTTCTGATGTTATACTGCTCTATCTGTGAAAATGGACGAAAGTATGTAGTATAGCTAAAAACAGCAGCATGTTAAGTTTTTCACGTTTTGAAAAAAATGTGTTTTTTAGTCATGTAGTGATTCATTTTAGTCTGATTTACTCTGACCAAAATGGCTAATAGTTCTAGTCAGTAAAAATAATACTATTTTAGTCAGCGAATATGTGAACATTTGTTTAACGGTATCCAGTGCAGGCCACTAACATTAGCCAGCTAATTTTAGAATTAGCTAGGTAGACTTTGCCAGAGAACTTGTACAGAGGAGAATTTACCACTCTGTAATGTCTTCTGGGTTTCTCAAACACTAGAGGGCGCTCCTGAGCGAGTACAAAATGAATGGGTTGATATGGAGCATTTGAGCAAAATCATAGTTTATAAATGCTTAAACATTTTTAATGTAAAAGAAGGCAATCATTTCCTGAACACTGAATATCATAACATTTTAACACCGCTGTTATATTTTTAAGAGCTTTTAAACTTTAGGAGTTTAAAACGGCGCCTCATGTATGTCCATGACGTCAGTGAGCGCCAACAGCCAATGAGCTGCTCCGCTCACCAATCAATCAACACTAATGCCCGCCTTCTGCTGCCCAAAACCTGTTTACTGTAGAAAAAAAGGAAATATATAGGTAAGATTCCTTTGTTTTTTTAGTGAAATACATCCTTCTACTTTCTAAAATTAAAGAAACGTTCTGGGAAAGTGATAAGAAACTATTTTAATTTTTCGTTTTTAGCGGTTGAGCTCCATTTGCTCCCATTCATTGAGGACTCACTCACGGGCGCCCTCTGCTGTTTAGCAGTCCTGTTTTTGATATAACGGGGGGAATAGGAAGTGGCCACGCTCCTCATAAACTGGCTTTGACTCTGCCTAACTATACATTACAAATCCGTAATTAGCTAACAGTTACGCTAATCCAGCAGCTACACCTACATCCATCAGCCACTTGTCTTTGGACAAATCATTGTTTGAGCCAGCTAGCTAACAGGCTAACAGGTTCCAACAGTAATATTTAGAAGCAGGATTCAAGTTTGATGTTTGCTGAATGAATCATTGTAAAAGTGCAACAGACAAAGCTAAGAAAGTTAGCAGAATAGCTGTTACAAGTTTCAAGTGTCCATGTTTCAGCTAGCATTAAACCCATTGTGGGAGTGTAATCATACACCGCGGCTGGCTAGGTGCTAACGTAGCAGAGAACTGCATTAGGGTGCTAGCATTATCATTGTGAAGTTCCCCCATCGTGCTTTCTTCCAGTCTACTATAAATACCACAAGTGTATGATTAGATTATTATAAAGTTATTTTTTTATTTTGTTTTAATTATGTAATTGAGCCAGTTTTTCATAGTGAAATTAAAATAGCCCTTTGTCAAGGAGCATCTTCATGAGTAAATTCATTGGCAAGTGAGATGAATCAGGCATGCAGTTAGCATTATGCTAATTATTAGAGAGTAGTCAGAATTTTCAATATTCCAAAATGAAAAGTTTAAAAAATGGAGTTGTAAAGCAGAATTGTTGATACGCAAAATATGATAGAGCTTCTCTCTAACGTTATACATTCGCATACAGAGGAACAATGAACTGTTTGAACTCTATACCAGTAGGTGGTGATGAGCCACCAGCTTATGTTTCTTATCTGTTCTTATCTATTTTATTTTTAAAAGCTCATTTAACATAGATATAGATATAATGGAACATCATTTAGTGACTGTAACTCACTGTTCTCTAGCTAAAAGGTATGAGGTAATATATAATGTGACTAGACAAGTATCTTTAGCTGACATTAAAACAAATGATTAGCACTTGATTGAACACTTTAAAGACTTTAGATTGACACCCTCCATTTTAAGCCACGTCATCTACTAATTAGTGAGTATAAGCTTCAATTACTTATTAGATCCATTTGCCTTGTAACTTCAGTTCAAAATTGAAGAAGCAAACGTAAGACGCCAAATATGGTTTGGCTGACTGACTATCCTCGAGTTAAGAGGAAAATTGTGCAAGTTTGATTTTTCTACAAAGTATTGCTTCAAACAAATTGTTACACCCCCACAGGCACTTTTTCCCCCTGAATAAACATATCCTCACACCCTCTCTCGCCCTCTGTACAAGGTTACGAGATCAGATCACTAGTGAAGTCCATTAAGATAAGGCAGCAGTGGCCAAAAGCACAGGTCACTTCTGCGGAATTACAAACACAGATAAAAAACGGCTAAGGTTCCCCGTGATACTCCCCGAACAAATCGCACACTGGATAAATCCGTGTTTGGTTATTGAGCAATGCTCGAGGAGCCAGCCAAGCACTCTGTCTCATCCAAGCCCTGTCCTCATTACAGCCGTGCGGAGAAGTGATAATATAGAGCCATCTGCGTGTTCTCAACTTTATTACCGCCCGACACGCCCCTTCCCCCCCCAACTTTCAAATCAGGAGGAGAGTGAACACATTTTGGCAGGCAGAGTTTGAAGATTGAGAAATAGGCCTTTGTACTGGAATAAACAGTGAAGTTCAAAAGTAATAGTAACTTACACAATGTGGATTTAAATAATATAAACTAGACACTAAAGGTGTTTTAGATGTTTTATTCCATATTTCAAGATTTTTTAGGGGGACAACAAGAAATTCCAATTTTCTTTACAGTGGATTTCTTTACAGATGTTTGTTTTTTTTTTTGTTATGTATTGCTTTACAATGGTGGTTGATAGGAACCAGCAGTCACTGTGTCTACATACTGGTCATTTTTATGGTCCAAATGATCAGGGAATGTACACGTGTCTATGTTAAAGCTGATGATGGTATAATAGTGGTAGATCTGAAAAAATATGTTTTCTGCATGTACAAATAAATGTTTTAGGCCAAAATCTTACCTTAAAACTATCGTAAAACAATGTGTCAGGATTCAGGTGACATATTTCTAACTGTTTGGTGTGAAACTTTCTGCAAAGTAGTTTTCATAAGCCTTAAACTCTTCAGATGTCTGGTTCCTATCACCACCACTGTAAACAGTTCTGAAGTTTTTCAAGAACAGAGCATGACATCAGTTCATCATTCTGAACTAAAATATTATCTTTATTTACAACTTCCTGGCTTCTTTTTATGTATTGGAAATCTGCATATATGCAAATAAGAATTATTTTTATACATGCATCTACAACCAAATTGGTTTTGTTATTGAAAACAATGATTTCCGACCTTTTGAACGGCGGCTTACACGCATGGTGGTGTAAACTGGTGCGTATGTGACTGTTGTGAATATGTGAATGACCCTTTTCCCCCTTTCCATCGATCATTCTTCATTTGAACTACATATCCCATGAGCCCGTAGTGTTCCAGCAGCAGAGGCGCTGCCGCTGCTCCGACCTCTCTCCTAGTTGGACTGTTGCCAGGAGTCGAGTCGCTGTTGGATGAGGGGAGAGAGTCAGAGAGTGAGAGAGTGAGATGGAAGGCTGGAGATGTTTTTTCCTTCAGATGAATTAAAGGAGGGCTGCCACGTGTGTAGCAGTTAATGAGTTGTGATTAAAGTTAATAGCAGTCGTTCGGTGCTGCGGTTCGCAGAGAAACGTCCGTGCAGACGGTGTCTGCGACGCCCTCGATGCGCCGCATGAAACGCATGCGATTACGGAAGACGACATCTGGTGGGTCAGATTTGACCTCAGTGTTGGTCAGCCTGGAGAAAGAGGCGGAGGGAGAGAGGGGTTTGGCAGTTTTGAGCAGAGCTCTTTGGCCTGCGCAGGTGGTGGCGCTGAGAGGGCCAGGCCAGGGCACCAGTGAGATTTCCAGGAACTGGGAATGGATTTAGAACTCCCTCTAATCTGAGAAAAGCCCAGACCTTGATTTGTGTATGTGTGTCAGGAAGAGAGACAGAGCTCATGCCTCTGAAAGGAATCCTATTTTTGGCTCCAAATCTAACCATATGCCAAAAATGTCTTAACCTTTTGAAATTGTCACCTGTTTTGCATGGTAAACAACAGATGTGCACACTTAAAGATGGTTCTTCAAGGGTTCTTTAGAAAAGGCAGTGGTTCTGTTCAGAACCATGAGTTCTGTATAGAGCCATTTTATCTACAAATATGCCTAAAATGTCCAAACCTTTTGAAATTGTCACCTGTTTTGCATTGTGCACACATAAAAATGGTCCTTCAAGGGTTCTTTAGTCAAGGCAGTGGTTCTGTTTAGAACCAGGAGCTCAGTATAGAGCCATTTCTTTTAAACATATGCCTAAAATGTCCAAACCTTTTGAAATTGTCACCTGTTTTGCATTGTAAACAGCAGATCTGCACACTTAAAGATGGTTCTTTAGTAAAGGCAGCGGTTCTGTTTAGAACCATTAGTTCTGCATAGAGCCATTTCATGCTTCTCTTGTTCTTTGCTTGGTGAAATGGTTCTTCAGATTGATGGAGAATGTGTTGTGTACGGTTCTATAGATAACCTTTTTGAAAATGGTTCTGTTTAGCACCAAAAAGTAGAAGAACGCTTTTTGGTGCTATATAGAACCATACACAACCCATTCTCCATCACTCTGAAAAACCATTTCACCATGCAAACAACCATGAAATGGTTCTATGTAGAACTTGTGGTTCTAAATAGAAACATTGCCTTTAAGAACCACCCTTTTGAGTGTGATAGAATGAATGCAATACTCTCATGTCTGATAGGAACCAGGAGTCACAATGTCTACAACACAAATATAGCCATTTTATTTACTATTGAAGATGACCAGAGAACCTAAACATGGCTTCTGAGTTTTTATATGTAGTCCTGATAATAATTGTGGTACATCTGGAAAAAATAAGTCTCTTTTGCCTCACAACATCCTGCATGTACCTTTCTGTCATAATTTGATTTTTAATAATACATTTTTAGCCAAAATCATATCTCAAAACTATCGTAAAACAGTGTCTCCGGCACTATATTACGTAATAGTGTTGTATGAGGTAGCTTTTACAAGGATTAACCTCTTCAGACATCTGATTTCCATCCCCACCACTGTGAATTATTTTCACTCTGCAAGTTTCTCTATAATGGGGCGTTTCACATGAAACCACTCTGAACAGCTTTATTTACGTTTTAACCATTTACTTACACAGCCATTTTGAAATACCAGTGGAGTTACACTTTAAAGGTTTATCTTGCTTTATATGAAGATCCTCTAAAACAAATGTGTCAGGCTCCAGTCCTCGCGGGCCAAAACCCTGCAGACTTCAGCACACTGTCTCATTAAACATACCTGATTTAGCTAATTAGCAAGGCCTTCATGAACTGAATTCAGAGCGATAGATGAAGGTAAACGCTAATCTCCATAGCACTTCGGCCCAGAAGGTACCCAGTTTGACATGCCTGCTCTAAAAGGTGCTTTCAGAACCATAAAATGGACATTTTTAAGCTTTAGACACAGATAGTGGTTCTAGTAATACATTGAACAGTGATTGTACACTGTGTTAAAATGAATAACTATTCAACTATAAAATCTTTTAGATGAAACTAAAAGAATCATATAGATGAGAAGAGTTCATTTACTAAATTTGACATTTTTATAGAGGAATGAACCCCAGAGTTCTATATAGAACCTCTTTAGTTGTATTAATATGATATGCTATGAAATACACTATAAAAAATGTCAATTCTGCTATAGCATCTTAACCACAAGTGGTCTTGTTTCATTGCTAAAAGCTTTTATTGTAGGTGTTTTCAATCTTTCAGCTAACACTATCTTTTTATTCGTCCCCAGGCATCTGGCCTCTGTCGGGAGAATACCAGAAGGTAAGTTTTCCGTCCAAGTTTGCTTTGAATACATATTTCTGTCAAAGTTTGACTGAGCTGTGTGTAAATGTGCACAGAGAGCCAAACTTTTCTAACATTTTCTAGGTAAATGGCGCCACCTGTTGTCTGCATTCATTCAGACCACTTTGTCCTGAAGTGAGAGATAAGCAATACTGTCAGTTATCAAGCAGAACACTAAGGGGGCAGCACTGAGTCATTCTAACTTCTGCTTGAGAAAGGCCTCTCAAAGCTCTCAGAGGCAGTGGTTCATAATTCTGGTCATGGAGACCCCCTGCTCTTCACATTTTAGCGCTTTCTGAACACCTGATACAACCCATCAGCTCATTTACAAACCCTTACTGAGATGAATTAGGTGTGTAAAGGAGGGAAATCACTTAAATCTGCAGGATAGTGGGTATCAGAGGACCAGGGTTGTGAAACATTGCTGTAAAAAGCAGTGGCCAACAGAGGTGTAAAAATGCATCAGTGCAACTTGATTAAATATGTATATTCATTTTGTCAAAAATAATACAATTCGGTCATTTTTAAAAATGCAAAAAGAAGACGATGCTTGGTATATTGATCTTATTCTGTACAAGTGCTATCCCGTTTAGGTGACTCATGGATGTTTCAGTCACATTTCAAGTGAAAATGAAAACATAACAGACCCTCGATTAACCCCCCAACCCCCTCCCCCCATCTAGTCCGTTTCATCTGAAGCAGTCCACTTTGTTTTGAGGCAGCAGTCATAAATGTATGGCTGGTATTTTGGGGTTATTTTTAGCATGGAACAGAGCCACTGGAGTGATTGCTGTGCTTCTGCTTTCTCTCATACCAACCGAGAAGCTGCCTAACTTGTTGAGCTGCACCACGCAACTCCACAGTCTGGGGGCCTTGTATGCAAAACCAACAGGTACTGATAACATGAATGACTGTAATATTTTCCAAATTCCAGGTCAGAGGCACAAGCGTATGGTATGGGATGCACGCATGAGATAAATGACTTGAGAAATTCGACAAAGCTGACAAAGCTGAGGTTGGCTTCTTACTGGAATTTCCCGTTCCACCTTAAATGGTGTAGCAGTTACATTGAAGTCCCTGTACTGCTGCTTCATTTAAGGTGGAATGGAAAATAAGAACTAACAGCTGCCAAATACGAACAGCTTTTTCTAATTTCCTGTGACAATAAAGGCATTTGTCTGAGACCACTTCAGGGAAAATGTGGGAATTTTGTATTTAAACCTGGAAATAAACAAAGTTTTGAAAGTTTTGAAGTAAGAAATATTCAAGATTCAGCACAGTTAAATTTCATTTAGTGTAATTTAAGCAGATTTGTGAGACTGATCATGTTAAGATCTTTGTACAAAAAAGTAAGATTGTTTTTTAATGTTGTTCTTTCTATTGAAGCTGATGTTCAGGTGGATCTGATCTGCTCATCAGAGGCCTTTTGTACAAACTTGTGACGTTTGTGCAGCTTGAGTGCACGCTGTCATTAAAGCAAAAGGGGGACATACCTCCTTACCCCCAAATACTACGAAGTTCTGAAATGAATGGCAATGTTTCAAAGATTCTACTTTCCACTCTTATTATTATGCTGATAATATAATTTGTAATGACAAACTTTTGTATTAAATTAGAAAATAGAAGCATTTGACCTTTGGACCCCACTGCATATGTACACACACCCCAAGATGTACACTAAAACCATCTGAAATTTTATTTATACTATGATATAAATGTTCGGCCATAGCGCCCACTACAACCTTGGTCCTTTCCAAGTGTCTCTCATTTACCATCTTTTGTGGAAACCACTGTGGAAAGCACTGTGAAGACTAGGTATTTGCATGCATCCAGTCGAAGTAATAAAGCCTAGAAGCTGTCATTTTTGGGGTTTATAAGAAATCAAAAAATCAAATCTGAACCTCAGAATAAAGTCATGTTGAACCTGAAAGTGTACATATTATTACATCCCTTGTGCATTTAGTGTATTTTTTTAAATAATTCAGAATTAAACCAAAATAGCTGAATTAAATTGAGTCATGTTGAAATTTGAGACTCCCATGATACACTGGGTTGTTTCCTAAAGAATCCTCGTCAGATTGTGAGAGATTTACACCCCTAGTGCCCAATGATTGGGAATGTGGGCGTTGAGTCCCTTGTTGGAAAGAACCAGCACTAAAACCAGGCTTCTTTTATCAGATCTTCCATTTCTCTCTATCTCTTTCGTTCTTTCACAGTGGGCAGGTCAGTTCCAGGGTAATCTTGCTCTTTCCTGTTGACCGTATCAAACTCTTGACTTATGTAACAGTCTGACCTTAAACACTGTGCCTGCACCACTCTTGGTGACCCACTCTGTCTATTACAGCATTTCTAGTATTCATTATGCTGAGGCTGAGTTTTACACTCTGGGTCACCGTCAGAATTATATATCGTTTCCCATTCATACAGGTATCTCACTCTGATCTCCATCTGTTCATCTGTCTGTCCGTACCATGACCTTTGCCCTGTCTACCTCACAGGTTGCTGTGTCCTCACTCTCCACACCATCAGCATCTTAAGAAAGTACCTCTCCATCTTAGAGCTGCCAATCAGCTGGTTGTTACCGTCATCGTTCTGCTGTGTCATAGGACGAGAGGAATACAAGAGAGCCAAGGTCAGTAAAGCAAGCTTTTAAGTAGTTCGTCTAATGCCTTGCTAAAAGGGACCTGACCTCTGTGATAGGGGACAAACATGTTCAGACTGTATTTCTATTAACCAGCATAGCTCCAAACTGTGCCTTGAATTTTAAAGCTACTATCAATTATTCAGTACTGTCAAACTAAAATATACATTATGGAATTATATGTAAAGGCTTTGCACTTTAGAGGATTACATGTGTGAATTGGTGTTGCATTTATAAGGACCATATCCTACATTTTTCTTGTATTTTTTTCCCTTGGTGTCCACTTGTGACATTTATGTAGTTTTATATACAAAAACCAGTCCTAATTGCTTTTTACATGGCCTCTCTTTATACCTTAAACAGGCTGCTTTTGTTACTGTGCCTTTAAGACTACTAAATGTAATTCAGCTCTGTTCTGATTGGCTGCCCTGTGTTGTAGGAACCTGTTTTTTATTTAAACTGAAAGGATGATAACTTAGGTTCTTAACTAGAACTAGGCTGGTCAGCTTACTAACAGCTAACTCCATCATTAAAATCACAGGCTTGAATTAAAGTACTTACAGTATGATTAACTGTAAAACAGCAGTATAAAAGTCTAAAAATGTCACTTAAATGGATTACGCGCTGCAAATGTTTGTGTTTCAGTCATAAGTAGCGTCAAACCCAGGCTGAATCCCAAACGGCTCCGTATTCCCTAAATAGTGTGCCAGCTATGGAAGTTTGGAAATGTCCCAAATGACTATTTTTTTACTATATTTTGAAGTATTTAAATTCCTATGTATTGTACTATGTAGGGAGCAGGGAGCCATTTGAGATTCAGCCCCGCGAGAGAAGAGAGGGCCACTGGATTGGTGCTAAATAAGACTCACAATGGTAATTTGGTAACTAAAAAGTACTTTTAAAGAGAAGGTTTTTGCATTAAACAGTGCTGTATTATATGTTCAACATACAGCAATTGGCGACTGAATGTTCTCCTCATTGAGTGGTCCATGGTTGCCTGGCAGCGATACCATAGTGTAAAGGAACGACATTTTTGGGGGGAATACTTGTTTATTTTGATTATTATTAATAATAACTTATTTCTTTCTTGAAAAAATTGTGCATTTCATTATGTTTTATGTTGGTCGCCTTTTTATAAAAGCAATAAGCCACAAGAGGCCATACGTTACTGCGATTTATTTTAGCAGAGTGCCTAAAACTCCCTTCCCTGTGATAAAATTCCCTTGCTTTAATGTACATTTGTTGGTTTTGGTCACATCACAAAAGTAATGAATTCCAAATGGACTGTTTTCGTAGCTTCATTTCCACATATATGGATTATAGAGGCTGGGTGTGTTTTGAAAACATAACAGTGGTTGCATACATTATCAAATACTTACGTTTCCACAAAAGTAAGGAAGGATGATGTAGGCCCTTAAAACTCATACAGCTCAGTTTCACTGCAAATGGCCTGAAAGCCTTGTGACGGTATACTATGTGTATACAGTGTAAGACTGCTGTGTCTACAATGCTTTTAATACAGTTAATGCTAGGCAGCGTCTCCTGCTGTAGGTTCTGTCCAGCCACGTGTGAGTGACGTCTGTAACCTGCTGAGGCTGCTAAAGCCTGATCTGGCCCTGCTGAAGAGAGTCTGGCAGAGACAGAGATCATTACAGATGGTCGTATGTTTAGCCTGTGTGTGTGTGTGTAGTTGTGCGTTCTGCGCCCTTGAGCCAGATCCTCAACACAACCTGCTGGAGCACGCAGCCATCTGTATGACTGATATGTTTTGTACATTGTGAATACCAGTCTGTCTATGTCAGGCTGCTTTTGCTAATGAATAACCTGTTGGTCCTGATGTCTGGAGGAGATTCTTCCAGTAATGGCATTTCACAGAATCTATCATGTGGCAGAGTCATGTCACATCTATTGTGTATGCTTTTCTTTCAGACAGGACTTTATACTAATTTTTCAAAATGTGCGCATAATTCAGCTGTTAAGATGTACATCGTCCAGAGTGGTTTGGTGTGAAATGCTCTGTTCTAGAGACACTTGCTGAATCCGGATTGTCGATAATAGTGGTGATAGGAACCAGGGAAGTACACAGGTGCTCAAGTGCTAGAATCTGATTACTAAAATCACTATTTGGGTATTTGTTATGTTCCATGTGTTATACCCCTGATAGCAACACCACCGCCGGCCCGCTGATGGCAAAGCCGGTTGGTCCACTGGCGTTTTGCTTAGCGTTTTCCAGGCGGCCCACCGTTGGTTAAGTTGTGAGCAATAGACACTCAATAGTTCCACTCATCATCGTTCATTTTCCACTCACAGTCCAGTTCACTTATTTTACCTTTCTTCCTTTCTTTAGTTGTACTTTGTAAATTAGTTTAGTAAATATTTTTAATCTAGCACAATGTCAGCAAGAACATTTTCTATAAAATCATTTTACAGTAGGCCTAGTCATTATTTTTTTTCTCTCAGTTGTTTGTAATATTTGTCTAAGTCTATTTTATAAAATAAAAGGCTGTGTGCATTTAAAATCTGTTTGAGGAGATTAAAAGCTAGTTAGAGCTTGTATGCAGTTCAGTAATCTGGGTGGTCCGAGGGTGGACCAGCAGTGGTAAACAGTCAGTGGGGTGTCAACCTTATCAAGCCGGTGGACTGACATATGCTTGCTATCTGGGACTATACTATGAAACATGAGTGTCTTAATGTGAGCATGTTGCTAAGGACATGACTGAGAAGGCAGAGGCAGCGCAGCTGATGTTATGTCTAAAACAATGAAGCATAACAAACTAGCATGTTGCCATCCAGTGTTGCATTGGTTAGCTGTAGCTTTAGCTCAGCTTACTTGTAGAAACAAACCTATTAGTAGAGTTCCTCATTCAACAGGAAAACCTACCAGTTTCCTCAGAAACTCAGAAGGCATGTCTAGGTTTAATGGTGGTCTTGGGTAGTAAATGAAATGGCTACATTTGTGTCATAGACATTCACCACTATCACTATCACCACCACTGTAAAGAAGTCAGTCTGTATGTTTCTCTACAGTGAACCACTTCACATCAAACCATTCTGAATGACTTTGTGTGTTTTTCAACCATTGAACTTGTGTGCAACACTAACAGAGATTCAGGCCTGCAGTAATCAATGCAGTGCAATGACTGCGGTTGTGGGTTATAACCACCTATCTCAACTTATCTACCTCAACATCTCTATATCTTGATCCATTGTGTGGGGCTTGCAGCATACAAACTGAAAGCAGGCTACATTAATGTATCCTTCTTCCCAGTTCTTACCCAGTTTTCCCCACTTACCCCAGTTATCCACTTATTTTGCGTCTTTAGAAGCTAATGTTGCTAGCAAAACCCAGTGCTCAACAGTCACCCAGATAGCCCAAATAAAATCTGCCCAAAAGCTTCCGTCAACCCACTATAGCAGTTTAGCTCCGCCCACTCATCTGAAGTTATAAGGAGTGTTTCATCCCGGACTGCTTTTTGAATGAGGCACGGTACGGGGCAACCAATCAGAATGGAGGCTGTTTACGTACATCATTCTTAAAGTCACAAACAAAAACAGCCAGTTTAGTTCTAAGAGATATAGAGGCTGGAAATTGGTCATGTAAAGATTAATTATGACTGTATTTGGTAAATAAACCCACACAAACATCAAATGTGGAAATGTTTGAACAATGTAGGATATGGGTCCTTTCGAATTAACTTCATAAACTAATAATTTGCTTTCAGTTTGTCAGAGTGAGCTTGTCAGTAAATATGAATATGAAAAAAACATGATAATAAAGAACAAAGAATGAAAAAAAACATACTTTTCTTACCTCCCTTACTTACATTTCATACTTCTCTCATGTCGTATTGAACGTGACCCTTTGAACGTATTCCAGATATTTCATAGGTGTGGATGTGTTTAGGCTGAGTGAATGTTGTGTAATGTTATCATAACCCACAATGGATGACTCATGGAAAAGTGTGTTTCGAGCATGAGATGTTAAATGGATTCACACATGAAGGCAAAAAGTAATACCATTTTTAAAGTATTTTAATATTGTCTTAAAGGGATGTGTTGGCTGTAGTGACTAATCGAAGCTCTGCTGTAGATCTCGATGAAAAAGGTGGCAACAGGCCTTAATATTGTTTTTAAATATCTAATTGTCTCTGCTAAAATATAGATTCTGTCTCTGTTCACCTTCATTCTTCTTTGTCTTTTCTTGTCTCTTCTGGAATCAGGAAGCCATGCTGCGCCACCGCTCCCAGCTCCTCTGGTTTCGACGGCTGTACATTCTCTTCTCACGCTACATGTTTATCAACACCTTCCGAGCCGTCGCCGTGGAGACCAAGCACGTGAAGATCTATTAGTAGACGAGTGTTGGTTCACTGTTATGCACTGTGCCTTGTCATGTAGGACTGAATTAAAAGCACTGAACTCCTAAAGAAAAGCTTCACACATTTTCCAGAATTTCATTCAATATTTTTCTACAGGTGGAGAACTGAGTAAGACTTTGTAAGGGGGTATAAATGATTAGCGGGTAAGACTTTACTTGAACCCTGCTACATAACTTTGACATAAACATGTCATGACAGATGTCATATGCCATCATAGGTTGTCATATCCAGTTAAGTAACCATGTATTATTTCCAGTAATTGTCATGACACATACCATAATGTTATGTGGTATATGTCATGACAATTATTGGTAATGATAACAACACAAGGTTACACAAATGGATATGATCTGTCATGACAATCTATAACAGCGTATGACATCTGCCATGACATGTTTATATCAATGTTATGTCACTTCAATGTAGCAGGGTTTAAGTAAAATGTTACTGATCAGCCCCACTGTAACACTGCCATACTGAATTTAGGAGAATACAGCTCTACACCCACACATGGACCACATCCTGAAATTCTGTAAAATGGATGAAGCTAAGCTTTATTTTTTTATATATATATATGAGTGTTTACAGTTCCTGTTACTCTAATCCTTTAAATGCTCCATTCCTTTGTCCCAGTTTATATTCCCAGCCATGAACTTGCATAACTTTCACACTACATAAGTGCGCTTCAATGACAATGCAAGGCTTTCTTGTTGTTCAGACATTTCCCTCTATTTCTGTTCAACTGATCTTCCAAAATAGCTGGATAGAAGAAGAAGCCAAAGAAGAAGAAGAAGCCATACAAATAAGGGCCTTCTTTGTTCTGAACTGTTCTTTAAAGGGGAATTCCACTGCTTATTCAAAATTTCTGCATAATTCTGTCATGGAGATGTAAACAAATTCATTCAGAGTGATTTGATGTGAAATTGTTCATTGTAGAGAAACGTACCAAAAATGTATTTACAGTGGAGGTGATTGGGACCAGGGATCACAATGTCCTCAACACAGATATTTTATTTAATATCTAAATTGATCTACAAATGTCTTCTGATTTTTATATGTAATGTTGTTGATAAAGGTAAAATAGTAGTAAATCAGAAAATAAATAACTTTTCTTTAAGGACTATTCTGCCTTACAACACCCTGCATGTACCCCTCCGCCATGAATAGATGTAAAAAAAAAAGTTTTAGGCAAAAAACTTGTCTTAAAACTTCCTTCAAATAGCGTCTAAAGCAGCATTTTCATGTAATAACTTTCTGTGAGGCAGCTTTTAGAGGTGGACGTCTGGTTCCTATCATCACCACTGTGAACAATTCTGACTCGGTTTATCTAAAACTGAGCATTTCACATCAAAGCACTCTCTTTGTTTACATCTTACTGATTTAATCATGCAGAAATTTAGCAAAATCGTCAGAATTCCCGTTTAATCTGCTGTGACCTAATTATGATGATTAGGTTAGGTTTTCACATACTGTACCAAACTGATGCCTTGAATGGAAATCTGAATGTTCTCTGTAAATGGTTTGTGGTTTATGCTCTTTCTTTGAAGTACAGAGATTAAAGAAGAAATAAGTTGTACACTGATTCAACATATGTATGGTTTGTTTTTTTATTTGATCGATTTTTATACATACATTACACAGAATGGCTAGAACATTTGAGTAACTTTTTACTCATTTTTTGCAATCTTGTGGCCAAGCAGGCCATCCCAGCACCACCGGTTCTGAGCTATTTGCTCACAAGTTGCATGACACACTTTGTAAATGGCAAAATAACACGTATTTGGCGAAGAACATACTTGGACGTATAGCTGTAAAATGTATATCAAAATGACAAAAAAATCACCACCACTGTGAACAATTATGACAATTAAGTTTCTCTACATTTCATATCAAACCAGTCTAAATGACTGTTTAAATCTTAAAATTTCAATTATGCACACATTCCCCTTAAAGATGCTTAACGATCAGTTAGCAGTAGCATTAGCATCCAGCTAATGCTATCGCCCCGTCATGCTCTGTGATTAATGCTGCAAAGCCTAGCCGTAGTCCTTATTTGGACATGTCGCCTACTACAAAATGACGAAACACCTCAGAGGTCTATGGTGGGTCAGTTGTTCTCCGATGTCTGTTTGGACATACTCCTGATAGTCTTGTGTTTCTGCATGCTCTCCTCCCAGTTCTCCCCACAAAAGTCCTCAACCTGTACACTCTTAATGGTTCCAGGGTCCAGGCAATGTGGAGCCACACCTGGGATAAACACGTGAGAAGGTGCATACAGTGATCATTAGACGTCAGCCATGCTGTACAGCTCAATATGGAAATGAACAATGTGACTTTAACTGAAATATCAGAAATAACAGTATCTGTTATATATCTCACATAATTAGCGGTTAAATAAGTGGTTCAATCACCCAGCGCTCACAATTACAGTACTGTGCCAAAGTCAGAGGTCTCCCTTTGTTTATTTAATTTTGAGTCATAACAGCCATCAAGTACAAGTTATTCTTTTTTGAGCATCAGGAAAAAATAGAAAACATATATTTAACAGAAATTTACACAGAAGCCTCAACAGCTAAATATATATTTTTAGTATTTTGTCCACTCTGACCGCCTTTATCACAGCTGCCATTCTTTTTAAGAGACTTGACTTCAGTTTTGCAAAGAAATCTGAAGGGATGTTTTTCCCCACCTTTAAAGTTCAGTCTCAGAAGTTGGTTTCTAAGACTTTTTAGCTTCTTAAGATCCAAATAATCTCACACAAGAAAATGCAGTGACACTTTATTTTGAGTGGTCCTTTCAGATGAAACAAACACTCAACAGACTCTCAGTAACATGTCAAAAACATATGTGGGTTAGGATTAGGTTTTGGGTTGAGTTTAAGGTTATGGTTAGGATTAAGGCCAGGGTGAGGATTAGGTTGTGGGTAAGGTTGGGTAAGGTTAGGTTTCACATAATGGAAGTAACATATTAACAATACATCTACTTAATATCAGTAATGTATCAAAAGTACATCAAGATATTTACTTCAATGTATTCAGACGCTTCACTACTGCTACTTCACTGATATGCTGTTGATGTGTTACTGATAATCTGTTAAGAGCTTATTCATCATCTACAAAGGACCACTCCAAATGAAGTGTTACCAAAAACGCATTCAGTGACGTTAAGGTCTGGACTCTGGAGTGGTCAGTCCATTATTCTGAGAACACCAGCAGCTTCTTTGTTTTTTTTTTCTTGCTTGACAGCTACCCATTCTTTCAGACCCTTAACACTGAGTTGTCTTCTCAGTGTGGAAGGATGGACAGAAACACCTGATTTTTTTTTTTCAGATCTGAAGCAAAAGTGAAGCTTGATGTTTTCCTATCTCCCAAAGATTGAAAACTTTAAGTACTGTTTATTCCTATGACTTTACCCTTCCTTAAATAAGTGGATAAATCAGAAATGCCTCCTGAAAAATGATACCTTGTACTTAATCATCATTTTAACTGGAAATTAAATAAACAAAGGGTGTTCTCTGACTTTTTCACAGTGCTGTACTTCATGTTTGTCTACAAACAAAGGCGTTCTGTGTAAACAGCAGATTTGCTGACAACCATGTGATTTTCCTAGTTAGAAGCCATCTGTGCCGAAGGCTGACCTACCGAATCCGTCAGGATTAGATCTCGGTGTGTAGAAACTTTGGACCCCACATGTCTTGCAAAACGTGTGCTTGGCTGTATGTGTATTGAACGTATACGTGGTGATGTTCTCTGACCCCTGAAAGACATGAGTCAGTCATGTCAATAAAGTTTCTCATTAATACATGTACAACAGTCAAGTGAACTCCTGAACCAGAAACAATCTGAACTCAGCTCAACTTCCTTCAGAATGTTCTAGAAATCTCCACCTACTGCCTTCTCTGGAAAGGCAGATAAAGGTCTCTGCTCAAGCTTGTTCAGATTAAAAGCGGACTTGCCACAGTGTGTTTTTCCCCAAAGGTGTTTTCATCAGTAACTACACTATACGTCCAAAGCTTTACTCATCCTGCTTATCAAGCTTTTCTTCTAAATTCAATGGTAGTAATAAGGAGTTTGCTGCAGTAACAGCTTCTACTCTTCTAGGAAGGCTTTACACTAGATGTTGGAACATTGCTGTGAGGATTTGATTGTATTCAGACACAAGAGCATTAGTGAGGTCAGGTACTGATGTTGGATGATTAGTTCTGGATCACTCCAACTCATACTAAAGGTATTGGAAGGAGCTTAATCACTCCACAGAACACAGTTACACTGCTCCACAGGCCAATACTGGGGGCTTTGTACCCCTCTAGTCAATGTTTGGCATTGAGTATGGTGACTTGAGGCTCATGTGTAGCTGCTCCAAAGTGCCCCATGCAACTGGTCAATGCTTTTCTATGGAGATTTTACAAAGTGTGTGTGCACAATTGAACATCAACAATGAGTGCACCTTAAAGTAGCTCAATTCACTCATTAGAATTGGTGCCTGGATATTTTTGGACATATAGTGTATCTTCAGAATGCATTTAGTTCAACTATCCATCATAAGCAATTTATCCTCAAAACATTCTACTTTAGCTTTAATGATAATATGTTTTAGCATCTGTCTATGAATTTTAAGAGGGAAACATACCTGAAGCAAGGTGAACTGGGACTTTGGGACAATGAAGTGGCGGTTTTGCTTCTTGATACAGATGCTGCAACTGAGGAAAGAGGCATTGAAAGGCAATTCCACACTTTTTTCAAACTTTATACATAATTAAATGGTTAAGATGTAAAAGGAGGTCCCTCAGAGTGGTTTGGTGTGAAGTGGTCTTTTCGAGAGAAGCTTAATATGTCAGAATTCTTCACAGTGGTGGTGATAGGAACCAGAGGTCTGAGGAGTTAAATGCCTCTAAAAGCTCCTTCACAGAAGGTTAAATATGAAATGGTTATGAATACACTGTCTGATGCCTGAGACACTGTACCCAAAATAGTACAAAGAAAAATGTACCCCAAAAAAGGTGTATTATTTTGGATTTAACCCAATTTTACCATTGTTATCATTGTATATAAAAATGCACTGGCCATTCTGAATAGCAAATAAAAGCAAATAAAAGCTATATTTCGTCACTGTCCAAAGAAAACTGTTTTTTTTTTTTATTTCTACATTATTTCAACACACCAGCTGTTCTTTATGTCGTGTGAAAACTTCATGATGAATGGGCAAACAGAAATGCTCAAAAATCACTTGGAAAAAAATCACTTTACATTAACTTACATTGAAAGATAAGAGTGTTTTTGCCTTCTCCTGTAAAGTTACTATTGTTGGAGATACTTGTTTTTATTTGGACAGCAACGATATGTGTTGTACGCATTCCACCACTGTTGTAAAGAAAATCTCAGTAAGATTCTCTACAAAGCACCATTTCACATCAAACAACTCTGGATAATAAATCTCAATGATTTAATTATGTAGAATTTATTAAAAAATTGATGGAAAGTCATCCTTTAATAGTGACATTCAGAAACACTTCATATGTCTTCGTGTACTAAAACGCAGCAACACCAAACTTCTCTCACAACTTTCTGATTATGAACACTTTCCCAATACAGAAATAACTAATCCACAAAGACAAAGCAACATTTTCTGTATTAAGCTTTTCCATTTCAAACCATTGAAATCAATAATATGGAAAAGCTTAATGTGGCACTAAATCTCTCTGTATCACAGTCCCATCCTTTTAGCAGCAGTGCTTATGCCCAGTAATGTGAAAAAGAACTGTGGTAGTTGGCCTAAGACTTTAAGTTACATTAAGCTTTTATCGCATTAAGTGTTTCCTAATGTCCAACTTTTTCCACAATACATATGATGTGAGAACGGCTTGAATAAGGTCAGAGAGACCTGCATCCTCTTTCCAGCCTTTGTGGGAACGTGTTAAAGGTTGCGCCTCTTGACAAAAGGCCCATACTTGCAATTGAATACGTGTAAATCCGGGGCACTCCACACCTCGAAGCGAACGGCACCACAGTGGCAGCCACCTCTGTGTCTCACTAGACCCCCCTGCTTCCTGAGAGAGAGAAGATCCTGAGGTCACCACAAGGCAGACAAATGCAGCAACAGATTGCAACACAAGCACTCCTCAGACTGTTTGTTCCTCATTGCCCCACAGTAAACAAACAGATGTATAAATAAAGTGTCTTAAAGGTGCAGTGTGCAAGATTTAGTGGCATCTGGCAGTGAGTGAATACCTGAGTACCTCTCCCTCATACCTCCCTTTCCTAGCATAGTACAGTCTAAGGAGGCCATTAGGCCTTCACGTTTTCGCTTCTTTGATGATGAAGATTGACCCGTCCTTGCTTTTTCTTGTGCTGAATAATAAGTATGTGGCAGCACAACGTGGCAGCCTCAGTTGGAAGAGGAACTCCTCTCTATGTACATTTGAAAGGCTCATCCTAAGCTAACAAAAACACAGTGATTCATAGTTACAGGTGATTATACGCTAATGAAAATATGGTTTTGTATACAATATTCCATTTCTACTAATAGATCCCCCTAAATCTCACACAATGCACCTTTAACAGAAGTCTTAACGGCTGTCTAATCATAGTGCTGTTTCTAATTATTTAGGGAAAATTCTAAAATTTCTGCATAAATCAATCTCCAAGATGTAAACAAAGTCATTCAGAGTGGTTTGACGTGAAATAGTGCATTATAGAGAAACTTACCAACTCAGATTTCTTCACAGTGGAGGTTATAGGAACCAGGGGTTGAGATGTCTACAATGCGAATACAGCCATTTTATTTACCATCCAAAACCACCAGTGACCTAAACCTACTGTGGTTTTATATGTAATGTTGATGGTAGTAAAGAAGTAAGTACTATTTTGCCTTACAACACCCTGCATGTACTTCTGTGCCATGAATGGATTTCAAGAAATATGTTTTAGGCCAAAACCTTGCGTAAAATCTAACGTAAACCCATGTATTAGGGATCAGGTAATGTAATCACAACTATTTTGTGTGACAGCTTTCTGTGAGGGAGCTTTTACAGCCATTAAATGCTGTCGACGCTTGGTTCCTATCACCACATCAATCCACTCTGAATGAATTAGTCAAAATCTTAAAATTTCAATTATTCAAAGTATCGGTCATCAAGCAGCATATCTCTAATCACTGAATGTAATAACTTTAAGTGAGGGAGCTTTTAGGTTCCTGTCACCACCATTGTGAACAATTCTGACTTGGTGAGTTTCTCCAACACTGCATTTCACATCCGACCACACTGTATGACTTTGTTTACATCTTAACCATTTAATTATACAGACGTGTTGCAAAATCAGTGGAATTTCCCTTTAATGATAACTGATTCATGCCCATTCATGTCCATTGCAATGACTGAGAGTGAGCCATGTACACTGTTTACTATACATGTTGACATATTCATTGCTTGATTCTTAGAGTTGGAGTTTGGGAATGAATAATAATCATAGAGGAACAATTTGATTTTCTTATTTAGGCCTACAGTCATGTTTAAGTGTGATTTAAAATGTCTTCTTCGTAAGTTAATATGGCGCTATGTACACTAAAGGTTCACGTCATGTGGATTTTAGATGCGTTCATTTAATCACTGAGGTATTTTTTCAAATCAAAGTATTTCAGAAGGGCACATTTCTGCTTAATCTTATACGCTGTAGGCGAGTTAAAACTTGTGAATCGTCGTCTGTGAGTCACACTCCCTACCTTAGCTCTTCACCAGCGCCCGCCATGACTGCTTTTGTTACAAACAAGGGAGAAGGACAGAAAAGTAAAGGCGTAAAGGTCGGAGTCTGGGTTTATTAACAGCAGGGCAGGTTAGACAGATAAGACGTACCATCCAGAAACATCTACAGACTGTAGTTGCGAAAGGACGAAGTGAGCGTTGTCTAGAACAGCTGACTCACGTGTAGCTCTGACCCACTCGTGAACGAATCATTCATTTCAACCGAATCTTTTCCATAACTCTGAACCGATTCACAAGCCCAACTGAATCGACGTTTTAGTGGAAGTTGCTCGCTGTTTAGCTCAGAGTTATTGGCTGAATAATAGCAGTACTTTTCGCTGTCTTATTGTCTTCACCACTTTTTGAACGTGTGGGCTGTTTTAAATCCTTTATATAATAGTTTGCGTTAGAAACTCGTCCAAATACTTTCTAAAACGTCAACAGAGCTAGTGGTGTAAGCGGTCGCTAAGGCTAGCATGTATGTAGTGTTTTGATTAATATTTTTCAGAGCAAAACTATACTCTTTTTTTTTTAATGGGGAGAGACCTACAAACTCGAAAGTTAATGCCAATTTACTGTTTACAATTTACATAACTGGTAAAATCCGACAAAAAAAAGACAGTTTGTAGCGTTTGGTTCAATAACGCACAAAAACACTGTTTTTTAGTTGTTCTGGCTACTGCGCTTGCGTAGAAAACAACTTGTGATCAGGTTATTATGTAATTGTGACAGGCTGTTGATTTCTTTTTTATCATTTAGTTGTCTAATTTTGTTTCCCGTGTATATAATTCATTATTGTTTTGTTGTATTTACTTTAGCATGAATAAATTAAGTATTCATTATTTTTCATTCTCACATAAAGTAATACAGCTGGAGTGGCAGTGTTGCTTAAAGGGGAATTCCAACAAAATGTTCAAAATTTCTGGATAATTCAGTCCTTCAGATGACAAGAAAGTCATTCAGAGTGGTTTAATGTGAAAGTTAATTTTACCTACAGACTCAGATTTCAGTGGTGGTGATAGAAACCGGGGTCACAATGTCTACAACACAAATCTAGCTATTTTATTTACTATCCAAAACCACCAGTGAACTTACACATGTATTCAGAGGTAATATCTGTGATGTCGATAATGGTAAAATAGTTATAAACCTGAAAAAATAAGTTTTCTTTGGGAACTACTTTGTTTAACAACACACTGCGAGAACTACATTTTAAGCCTAAACTTTATCACAAACTATCATAAAACAACGTGTCAGACATCAGACAGCATATATCTAACCATTTCATTGAATCACTTTCTGTGAGGGAGCTTTCAGAAGCATTAAACTCTTTGATATCTGGTTCCTATCGCCACCATTGTGAACAATTCTGACTCAACAAGTTTCTCTAGAATGGAGCATTTCACATCGAACCACTCTGGATGACTTTGTTTACATCGTAGCCATTTAATTGTGTAGAGTTTTTTTTTTAAAATCGTTGAAGTTATCCTTTAAGGCCCCCAAATTGTCCAGAAGAAAGCCCTGTTAAGAACGCTGTCTTGACTTCACTAATAGTAGTACAAAATGAATCATACGTTTGAAAGAACTGGTTTGAATTTCCCATCACGTAATTGAACGTCACGGGGCTGAAGCTGAGCTCAGGCTGTTAAAACAAATCCGGACATACCAGCGCTACTTTCAACTAAAATGTTAGTAATCTGGTAGGCTTAGAAAAAGGCTGGCCTATATTTTTGCCATAATGCTTCAGTTTTTGTTTTCAAATAGGGCAGGAATATTCTATAATTTTTACATGGGAATTATCAAGCCATTTTGCCTGTAGGTGGAAAGAAAGCAGTTAGAGAGATTTTAATTCAGGTTAAAAAGGAACTACAGTCTCAAGCTTAGGCTACAGTTTTAGACTTAAGTTGTGAGAAGTGACAGTCAAGAATGAGTACAGTTTATGCAACATGGCTTCATACTAGGTCACTGAATGTTGGTGAAAGGTCAGTTAAATGACTCAGCTAAAAAAAAACCTATTCTAAGTCACACAGTGATTTTCTTAGATAAAAAGAATCATTGTAAGCCCTTAATGTAATGTTTCCATGTTCTGTTTTTAGGGTCCAGTATTCCATTACAGAAGGATGTTGACAAACAGGCAGTGCAGTGGTTCCTGGAACAAACACATACATACACGAAGTCAGTCACAAGGGTAAACACCCAGTTCAAGGTACAGGACATCTAATGCTGAACAAACAGCTTTCTAAAGGGAGAATAACGTGGCAGGTCTTGTAATACTAGTCATATGAGGAACTTAAGGCCTAAACGACCTGAATAAAATTGCAGCTCTAAGCGTGACAAAGTGACTGATCAGTGGTTCAGTTACTGAACTGGATAGAGTTTTTCACATTAAAAAAGGTGATTTCACAATTCGGGTACCATCAAAATTGCCCTTCACAACAACCTATATGCATGTTTCTGATAAATAACTTAAAATATTAATGAAACCTATGTACAGCCTGTCCCATTATAACTAAACTTATCTTGAAATATAATCAATAAAATACTTCAAAAATCTTATTATTATTGCGTTCATGTGTGAATCCATTTAGCATATCATACTTTTTTGTCCCTTTTTCAAGAGCCATCCATTATAGGTCATAAAAAATTTAGTTTTGTCTCACAACATTCCCTCAGCGCTGTTACCTGAACACATTCACCCCCGATGAAATATCTAGAATATTCCACAAGACGCATATTCAGCAGGAATTCGTCTCATCCTGATCTCCAGAAGATCTTTGGAAGAAGGAAAGTAGATTTTCTTTCTTGTTTGTCTTTATTGTACAATTGATTGGCAAGGTCACTTTGAAAGTTAAACCTAAATTATAGACTGAAAGTAAATAATTAATTTTAAAAAATCATTTTAAGTAAATCATTAAAATGTCCTTAATGTCCTTACACAATCAGCATGAATGCTAGTTAGCCACATTTGCTACTTTTATGCTAAAAATAACTCAAATCTGTTACTTATTTGAGCCATTGCTATGACTTGAGACGTTAATCCTGAGAGGTTCCAAGGTTAATGCATATTTTGAATGGTTAAATGCATGTTTTCTTAGATTCAGTGTTGAAAAATCATAAAAAATCAAGTTTATATTCAATAGTTACAAGGGCTAAATGGCACCCCAATTATAGAATCATCCAATTAATGCTAGAAAGAAAGATATATACGTTTCAAGATTTCTTCCATTGAATTATACCAGCATGATTATCCTAATATAAGCAAACTGACATAATGATTTTGGTCATATATAATGTCTAAAGATTCATGGCAAACAAAGTATAACTGAGTAAGGTGCTGCAAACCCCCATGTTGATTTTGACCCCCATGACTCATTCATTTTCTAGTACACCATTACTTCTTTACACGCAGTGAGCACATGACAGATTACAAAATATATCAGGCGGGCACAAAATAAACTGAGTGACTGTATTATTATTAGAACGCTTCCAGTCCTGAATGCTGAGTCTCCCGAGGTCATTATGAAGACTGAAATTTATCTTCCAACCATCTCAAGCCTTATCCGTAACCCTAAAAATAGAAAAATGTGACCAGGCCTAATTCAGACCAAACCCCGCAGCTCCTACTTAGCTCTGTGAACTAGAACGCAACATTGACCAGATTGAAATCAGTTTAACAGAGCATTAAAAAGTAGGTATGAATTGGATACATAGACTTTGTGTGTGTGTGTTTAGAGAGGGAGAGACTGAAACTCTTTGTTAAAATGGCACACTTCCCCCACAACCCTTAGCCATAAAGGTTCCAGCAGGTGATTAGGATGATCTAGCAGCTGTTACTGCTGAGGAATGGAACAGCAGTTTGAACACTTGATTACAGTAATCCAATCAGTGGAAAAGGGTACAGCCACATTTCCTCAAGACAACTCCCTATTAAGCGCTTTCGTTCATATAAATGTTCAGAGCTTTACACGTGAAGACCGGGAATACAGTCTGAACTAATGAATAATTCATAGGCCAGGCAGCAATGAAGAAACCTTAGAGCAGGTTTAACCAGTTTTATGTTGGTGTTGGTTGGTACCATGGAAACAATGTAGGTCTCCAAAGAACTGTAAATGTTTACAAAACTTTGGTTTGGTAATATTCACAACGTTAGGTGAATGACAGTATGTTATGGCCAGAGTTGGGATGTAACAGAATACAAGTATTGGGAATATGTATTCAGAATACAGAAATTAAGCATCTGTATTCAGTTACACTCAGTTCCAGGTTAAATTTTGTAAAGGCAGTTTTCAGAATAGAGTTACTTTTTACATTTTTAAGTGAACACTTTTAGAATACTTACCCACTAAATTAAAAAACATACAATTTTCAAAGGAAACAGCATCGATGCTTGTTTATTAACTATTAAAATCAGTGGATGGCATGTAGCATGCTTATTAGACAAATTCTAACAAAGATTAAATTAACAGCTTCTTTACAAACACAGAAATTCCTGCTAAAGCCTGAGTAGACTGATAAATCAATGTGATGATCAGTTACTAATATTTGTGTTACTGAGCTCCATGCTAAAGCCTGAGTAGACTGATAAATCAATGTAATTATCAGTTATTAATCTCAGTGTTACTGAGCTCTAAGGCTGAGTAGACCGATAAATCAATGTAACGATCAGTTATTAATTTCAGTCTTACTGAGCTCTGCTAATGAGCATAAGGTGAGAATAAAAGTGTTGAGAATTTTGTAACTTCAGGTTCAAATTTAATAAATGAATTGTTCACTGAACATACACTACTGAAAACATTTAGGACAGTGTATTCAGTATTCAGCCATCACTACTTTTTAAACGTATTTTTCCCAACCCTGGTCTTGGCTGGCAATACAATGAACCATTTTCTTTACAGCAGCTGTTCTCAGGAGGAAGAGGGAAATAACATTTTAGACCCAACACAGCATGTCCTTGCTCGCCTTGTAGGATACACCCTGCAGCAGATTAGGGGAATTACTGTGAAACTGCGTAATTTCCAAAAAAGCTTTTCTACAGATGTTACTGTAAATTGTACAAGCGAGTATTACTTTGAACATATTTTGTGGCTAAGCACTGGATTTCTGAAGGGTAACTGGGCTGTCTGTTAGGCTAACTGATGATATGGCCGTCGGGCTGCCTGCTGCAGTGACCTACATTACAGCACAGTTTTGAGGGGGGGAGGGTCGACACAATTTCAGGCTATTGGTGTCACACTGCGCCCTATTTTGAGTGCACAGCCCCACAGAACGACATATAACTTAAAAATACAAAGGATTTGAAAGTTAACTTCTGTGTGGAGAGGCACTGTTACACAGTGTCACGAGAATCCGGTGACTCATATCAGTAACGTCAAAAATAAACACACAAATAAAAAAAATAAACACATCGAATTGACAACACTTCGATTAAATGCCAATCCGCTAGCTGCTTAACCGTTTTGGGGTGTCAAAAACGAATACCGTTAAACATTTAACGATCTATAAACCGATTCCAGTCAGTTCTCGTTATTTCTTTGTCATATTTCCCCATAGGCAACGATACCGGTCCGCTGCCTGTGTGCTGTTGCTTCCGCCCCAGGCTCTTGCCGCAGATGTGATCCACCAATGGCATTGCAGAAAAACAACCCAACCGTCCAATCACCATTCGCGATGTGTCCGGCATAGACCCGGCATATCTCGCATGTTCTAGAGACTTCTGTTTTCATAACGACTGTGTTACTCCGCACTGTCAGAAAATACATTTTAATTGTCGCTTTTAACTCAGTGTCGCTTTGAAAAATGTCGCTTTAATCGCTAATAAAACTCTTTTTTCTTTGTATACGTCCATTTTGGCCGAACACGAATACGGACTAGTTTCAAGCGCGGAAGGGACTTGGCTTATGACGCTGAGATACGTCACAGTGCAGGGTTTCTATATATATAGTTGCCGCACCATTTTGCCGCATTACAGTAGGCACTCAGCGAAGGCATAGGGGCTGTGCGAGAGGAAGTTTACCGAGAAATCGCTGGTTGAAAGGTAAGTCATTTTTTCCGGATAATTTCGACGCAAACTAATATAAAAGCGTGTCGTTTTGTAACTCGGGTTTTGTTTTGTAACGTGTTGTACAAACCGCGGTTCTCTCTGAGCTAATGTAGCTGACTAGGTTATCGTTAGCTCGCTGGCTAACGTTTGACAAACATATTGTAATTACGTTGTGACTTGCTACTATCTTACAAAAATGATAGAAATGGTGATTTTGTTTTAGAATCGCAAACAGCTTCTCATATTTCGGGAAATTTTTGAAGTACACCCCCGTTTTTTGTTCGTTGGAACGGTGACGTTAGTTCCCCCTTTGTTAGTCATTTTGCTGAATCATTTTCGCTTCTCGAACAAAGAACCCGGATGTTCTGAAATGGCGTCTGAGCGAGCGAGAGGAACCATTTGAAAGGTTCGCAAATGCGTCATTTCAGATTATGAATCCATAACGACTTAATTTTTTATTTGTCTCGTGGATTTCTAAAGGTTATTTCGGTTTTGCTGACATTTAGCTTTGGATTAACGTTACTTCACATATGTTTAGGATATTTCAGGATGCTTTTATTCTAACTTGTGGTACTATTTCAAATTAGTACCTTTAGAGAGTACTCATTAAACTAGAATGTCATTTAGTTTTTTAGTAGTAGTAGTAGTAGAAGTGTTTATGTACATTTAGATATTACCACATTTTATTAAATAAAAGCTCATTTTGTTCAATTATTTTTTTTATGCAGATTAAAAGATGCAGATCTTCGTGAAGACCCTCACTGGCAAGACCATCACCCTTGAGGTTGAGCCAAGCGACACCATTGAGAACGTGAAGGCCAAGATCCAGGACAAAGAAGGCATTCCTCCTGACCAGCAGAGGCTGATCTTTGCCGGCAAGCAGCTAGAAGATGGCCGTACTCTGTCCGACTACAACATCCAGAAGGAGTCCACCCTCCACCTGGTGCTGCGTCTGAGGGGCGGCATGCAGATCTTTGTGAAGACCCTCACTGGCAAGACCATCACCCTTGAGGTTGAGCCAAGCGACACCATTGAGAACGTGAAGGCCAAGATCCAGGACAAAGAAGGCATTCCCCCTGACCAGCAGAGGCTGATCTTTGCCGGCAAGCAGCTGGAAGATGGCCGCACTCTGTCCGACTACAACATTCAGAAGGAGTCCACCCTCCACCTGGTGCTGCGTCTCAGGGGCGGCATGCAGATCTTCGTGAAGACCCTCACTGGCAAGACCATCACCCTTGAGGTTGAGCCAAGCGACACCATTGAGAACGTGAAGGCCAAGATCCAGGACAAAGAAGGCATTCCCCCTGACCAGCAGAGGCTGATCTTTGCCGGCAAGCAGCTGGAAGATGGCCGCACTCTGTCCGACTACAACATTCAGAAGGAGTCCACCCTCCACCTGGTGCTGCGTCTCAGGGGCGGCATGCAGATCTTCGTGAAGACCCTCACTGGCAAGACCATCACCCTTGAGGTTGAGCCAAGCGACACCATTGAGAACGTGAAGGCCAAGATCCAGGACAAAGAAGGCATTCCCCCTGACCAGCAGAGGCTGATCTTCGCCGGCAAGCAGCTGGAAGATGGCCGCACTCTGTCCGACTACAACATCCAGAAGGAGTCCACCCTCCACTTGGTGCTGCGTCTCAGGGGCGGCATGCAGATCTTCGTGAAGACCCTCACTGGCAAGACCATCACCCTTGAGGTTGAGCCAAGCGACACCATTGAGAACGTGAAGGCCAAGATCCAGGACAAAGAAGGCATTCCCCCTGACCAGCAGAGGCTGATCTTCGCCGGCAAGCAGCTGGAAGATGGCCGCACTCTGTCCGACTACAACATCCAGAAGGAGTCCACCCTCCACTTGGTGCTGCGTCTCAGGGGCGGCATGCAGATCTTCGTGAAGACCCTCACTGGCAAGACCATCACCCTTGAGGTTGAGCCAAGCGACACCATTGAGAACGTGAAGGCCAAGATCCAGGACAAAGAAGGTATTCCCCCTGACCAGCAGAGGCTGATCTTCGCCGGCAAGCAGCTGGAAGATGGCCGCACTCTGTCCGACTACAACATCCAGAAGGAGTCCACCCTCCACTTGGTGCTGCGTCTCAGAGGCGGCATGCAGATCTTCGTGAAGACCCTCACTGGCAAGACCATCACCCTTGAGGTTGAGCCAAGCGACACCATTGAGAACGTGAAGGCCAAGATCCAGGACAAAGAAGGCATTCCCCCTGACCAGCAGAGGCTGATCTTTGCCGGCAAGCAGCTGGAAGATGGCCGCACTCTGTCCGACTACAACATCCAGAAGGAGTCCACCCTCCACCTGGTGCTGCGTCTGAGGGGCGGCATGCAGATCTTCGTGAAGACCCTCACTGGCAAGACCATCACCCTTGAGGTTGAGCCAAGCGACACCATTGAGAACGTGAAGGCCAAGATCCAGGACAAAGAAGGCATTCCCCCTGACCAGCAGAGGCTGATCTTTGCCGGCAAGCAGCTGGAAGATGGCCGCACTCTGTCCGACTACAACATCCAGAAGGAGTCCACCCTCCACCTGGTGCTGCGTCTGAGGGGCGGCATGCAGATCTTCGTGAAGACCCTCACTGGCAAGACCATCACCCTTGAGGTTGAGCCAAGCGACACCATTGAGAACGTGAAGGCCAAGATCCAGGACAAAGAAGGCATTCCCCCTGACCAGCAGAGGCTGATCTTTGCCGGCAAGCAGCTGGAAGATGGCCGCACCCTGTCCGACTACAACATTCAGAAGGAGTCCACCCTCCACCTTGTGCTGCGTCTCAGGGGCGGACAGTAAATGTCCTGTTGCCCTTGCTTTAGCCAACCCCATTACCAATTCTTTGACTTTCCCTATACCCCTCTTTTTTAAGTTTCCAAACCTTTTTCCACTTTTTTTATGTTCAACCATAATGGCATAATAAAGCATACAGAAGCATTAATTGAATCTCATGTGTTTTTATTACATCAGCAGGGATGGTTCTAATTATAATCATGTGATCACATTGTGACAGTGAATTTAGATAATTACAGGCTTTCTCTGTACTGCTCATAGTGGTGATGCATAAGAGTTAAAAATAGAAACCTAAATGTTTTTAGTAATGACCAAAAAGAGGTATTACTGATTGACACCAGTAGCTCAAAAACATACTAAACTGATAAACATGAAGTACTCAGTCTTGCTAATCCTAATGTGGAGATGAGAAGTAAGCATGTAGGAGGTTCTGAACGTTTGGGGGTTAAAAGCCCACATACTACAATTGCTACTAAAACTAGAGCATATATTGAAATTCAAACACCTATAACCATGTGGGACAGTTCAGTGTTGGAGAACAGATTTTATGGATTTTGAGCATTATTACTTCAGAGCACAAACCCATCCCTCATAATGAAATGTGATTATTGTGTATGGTGTAATAAAATTAAATGTTCCTTAGTTCTCCATTAAAAAAGAATGTTTTCCATATTCTTTATCTGTGCAAGTCTTCGGTAGCATCAAACATGATCACCATGAACTGGAAATGGTGAGATGTTTCAGAGCCTGGCGACAAGGTAGGTAATGTACACAAATCCATATTGAATGTCAGATATTTTAATTTGTGATGCAAATGTTTTTGAGACTTTAATAGAGGAAGGTCTGTGGATTGCTTTTTAATTTGCACTTGTGGACTAACAGCTACAACAGTGTTGATTTTACTTAACCTGAATGCATTATTTAAGTGAATATATAAAATACTGTATTAACTGGAGTTCCAGTATTTTTATTCAATACAATTACACCTTAGAATTTTGCTTTCTGTAGTTTCTCAGTTTAGATTTTAGTAACTTTATTTAGATTGCCTGTTTATGTAATTTTAGTATTTGACTTGCATGCAAATAAATATCTATTAAATTCAACTTGAATTTTTATTTAAGTCTAAATCTGGTCCTAATTGACAGTAATGCTGTTAATAGTCAGTAATAATTTTAACATCTGAAGATCTGCAGGGAGCTGTTCAAGTAAAGTGGAACATAAACTTTTATTTTGAAATCAACGCTTCAACACTTCGCTGTGGAAAGCGTCGCTGACTTCACGTCTTTCAGAAGGTGCCAAATGTACAGCAGAATTCCTGTTAAACAGCTCAACATGTTCTAGATAACTGTACGAACTCGAGATTTTGGGTCCTGTCAGCTGACATTATCCTCTTTAATGCCTCCTCACAGTGTGACGTTTCATGAGCATTATTCCTTTGTTCAGTCAAGCATTCATGGAAAACTTAAAAGGGGTCCTCCACCGATTTTTTCAGAATTCATACATAACTGAATTGTTAAGATGTAAGCAAAGTCATTCAGAGTGGTTTTGGTGTGAAATGCTTCGGTCTAGAGAAACCGGGCCAGAATTGTTCACAGTGGTGGTGATAGGAACCAGACGTCCACCTCTAAAAGCTCCCTCACTTATTATTATACTTATTAAGTTATTAGATGAAATGGGTATGAATACTCAGTCTGATGTCAGAGACATTGTTTTACAGTAGTTTTGTAATAAAGTTTTGGTTTAAAACGTAATACATTTATTTTGATCTATTCATGGTGGAGGTACATGCACGTTGTTCTACTGCAAAATAGTCCCCAAAGAAAACTCAGAAGACTAGGCTCACTGGATAGTAAGTAAAATGGCTATATTTGTGTTATAGACATTGTGACCCCTAATTCCATCAGCACTACTGTAAAGAAATCAGAGTCTGTAAATTTCTCTATACTGAACAGTTTCACATGAAACTGCTCTGAATGACTTACTTAAATTGCTTACATCTAAGCCACAAGGTTATGTAGACATTTTGAAAAATTGGGTGGAATTCCCCTTAAACTGTGTTCTGTGTATTGAATCCTGGCTGGTTGTTGTATTTTAGGGTGGAAACAACTCGATTTTTCGAAGTTGGAATATATCTGTGCTAAAATACTTTCATAATATGTTATTATGTGCTACATCTGTTGCTAATAACACTAACCTTGTCTCCTAGGGATGACATTTAGCTTTTTGTATTTACAAATAACACAGCTTTTTACAGTAGAAATATGCTATTACATTTTTACTTTTTAAAAAAAAAAATTTTTTTAAAAATGCAGCAATGATGGTCACATCAGTCTAAAGCATTTATTCATAAGAGTGCCACATTCGTTGCTGTGGATAAGAGGCAAAAACCTGCTAGTAAGTGTTTTTCTTAAATATAGCTTAAACATATTATTTATTATACATACCACATGAAAACCTTTTATAAAATAACATATGTATATACACTGACCAGCCACTTCATTCAGTTCACCTCCTTGTATCTACACTTTTTGTCCATTTTATCAGCTTCGCTTACAATTACAGACTGTAGTACATCTGTTTCTCTGTGTACTTTGTTAGCCCCCTTTTACCCTGTTCTTCAGTGGTCAGGACCCCCATGGACCCTCACAGAGCAGGTACTATTTGGGTGGTGGATCATTCTCAGCACTGCAGTGACACTGACGTGGTGGTAGTATACGCTTCCTATTTCTCCTATTGACAGCCTTACTCTTTGTTTTGAAGCAAACTCTTCCAAGTAAATATTGTTGTTTGTTGTAAACAACGGGTGTCAATGTCCACAGTACTTTAGCACTATTATTCACATTACTGATGCCCCCTTTTCTTGCATTATAATGAATGGGCCCAACTCCAGTCTTCCGGACCCCCTGCCACGCACATTTTTAACTATGTTCACCCCCAAACACCTGATTCAGCTCATCAGGTAATTGTCAGCCCAGAGAACATTTTTATGGCTCAATTTTTCTCTTTGATTATCTCAGCAAATCTGAATACAATGTGTGACTGTATTGAGATCTCAACTGAAACTCAAGACAGCTCAGTGTCATTGCAGGACCAACAAGGTAGTTCTGTGTAATAGAGTGGACAGTAAGTAGACACAGTGTTTAAAAACTTGATCTGCTGAAGTGGCCAGTCGGTGTATATGTATATATATATTTATATATATATATATGTATATGCTCCAGTGAGAATGCTCGAGTCCTTTGCTAAGTAGAAGCAGGCATCCCTTCCCTGTTTCTGGTATGAATTAATGCATTGTTAAAATGTAACAACACTGCAGTTGTTAAAGGTTACATCATTTTCCCAAAATCCACCGCAACCCACCACCACCATTTTTAAAAAATTAAAACTATATGTCTAAGATCAGAAAATTCCTAAAGCCAGTTTAAAAAGGAGGGAAAGTGTAATTAACAAAATCAGTGCTTCAGTCTCTGACAGATTTTATACATTTTTAGGGATGCAGGCACTTTTCCATCCCAAACATTGTGAAAAAAAAAAAAATAATAATAACAAGCTCAAGTATATAACTGTTTCCACATTAACCCACTCACCCATCTAAGCCACTTATCCTGTTGAGGTGAGGGGGCTGCTGGAGTCTATCCCAGGCTCATTGGTGGAAGGCCATTCCATCACAGGGCAGACAGACAGACATACACATTCATACCAAGGGGCAGTTTAGCGTGTCTAATTGGCCTGACTGCACGTCGTTGGACTGTGGAAGGAAAGTGACGCAGACACAGGGAGAACATGGAAACTCCACACAGAAGGCACCCTGTTCGACCTGACTGGGAAATCGAAACCAGGCCTGCCCACGCCCATATAACAGCGCTGCCCACTGCTCATGTAACACCCCAGGGTTGTGGTAAGGTGTTTGAAGATGGGTGTGCTGAAATTTTAAGTAGCATATATGTGACGTAACCAATGGTGTCATGCAAATTGATTTACGTGGTTGTTTTTTTTCTAATTTATTTTTTAAGTTTAAAAAGCAATATTAGGCTGGGTTGGGGCTTAGAACTGGCCTATAACTCTGCATAGCTTTTCTTTTTGCACCTCAAGCAGTGTGTGTTCTAGCGACGCAGCCCTAAAGCAGCTAACAGCTGTCAGTTCACTGTAATGAAAATACAGCATTCACTTAAACAGTGTACGACTGCAGCAGTTTGTATTTTATTTAAAATATAAAAATACAAACTCCACTCTAAAACAAGCACATGTGGGTCTTTACTACGATCAAATTGTTAAAAAATATGTAAGAACCGTGTTATTATCATAACTATTATTATTATTATTATTATTATTATTATTACTATTTTTAACAGTTTCAGTCTTGAAATCAGGAGGTGCTGCAGTTCCCTCAGCACCCCCACTTCCTGCGTTCCTGTAACACCCATATAAAAATTTGTCTGTGTTCTTGATTTCAGCTTTCCCCCATCATACCTTACTCACTGATAAAAATAATGTCATTTTATATGACGTTATATTGCCTCACAGCAAAAAGGACCTAGTTTCGATGCAACCAGGATCCTTTCTGTGTGGAGTTTGCATGTTCTCCGTGTCTGCGTCGGTTTCCTCCCACAGTCCAACGACATGCAGTCAGGCCAACTGGAGACGCTAAATTGCTCCTAGGTGTGAATGTGTGAGTGAATGTATATGTCAGTGTGTCTGTCCTGTGATGGCCTGACAACCTGTCCAGGGTGATTCCTGCTTTCTGCCCAATGACCCGCTAGGATAGGCTCCAGCAGTCCCCACAACCGAGAAGGACAAGCAGCTTACGTAATGTGTGTGTATAAATGACATGGGAAGTGATGTTGTTTAAAGGGAGCTGTGTTCAAAAGGTGGTTAAATTTTCATTTTTATTCAACATTGATAATTTCCCCCTACCTTGACAGAACACAAAACATTTTTAATTAATATTCACTGAAAAATAAATATTATCACAACAGCACTGCATCTATAATGAAACAAGTTGAGAATTTGAGGCAATGTCTAACGGTAGCTACAGTGAGGGGAAAGAAGTATTCAGACACTCTTGTTTTTGTTATTTAATATACTTTCATACTTCCGTATATATTCAGAAGCATGAACAAAGACGTGTATAAAAAATCACTGATAGATTAAAAAAGTCATCAACACCACAAATTAATAAAATGATCACTTTGTTGAAAAGCTGTTGTTGGCAGTCACAGCTTCGAGAAGTCTACAGTAAGAAGTAATTAGCTCTTTGCACCACTGTGGTTCAGTTCAGGCACTTTCCTCTTGGCAGTCTTACCAGTCTTGGGCCCAATCCCATTTCTTATTTTTACCCCTACCCCTTATTTTCGAGTGTCACCTTGCCCCTTGGAACTGAGTTACAAAGGGTAGTGGTTGAACTCTTCCCCTACGAAATGGAACAACCCTCAAATAAAAAGAACATTACTTCATTAACAGCTACTAGCGCTGCTCTGTAGGCGACCCTGCCAGTCTGCAGTGACAGCAGAGGAGGGTAAAGTTCAGCTCCTCACTGCTGGGCTTTAGTTAAATTATGGGAATCATATGCTTTTAAAGAGGGGGGATGCAAAATTATTTATTATCGCCCACCCCTAATTTTTCAGTGATATAAAGCTGAAGTCAGCTATTCGCCAGCTTCTTGTTCGAATTTTCCTGTTCTACCTTAAATGGAGCATTCTGGCACTTCAGGTGTCAGAACTGCTGGACTATTTAAGGTGGAACAGGAAATTTAGCTATCTGGCTACAGAGACATCGACATGCTACGAGCGATTTTTTATGCTTGTTATGAAGAAAAGGACCATAATAGCTTGAAATGACATTAAACTGAGATAATACAATAGTTTTCGTATTTTCTTAACAGAGAAAATACTCACATTTGTGCATTTCTTTGGTCGCTTTCACAGCCATCTTGCTGGTTTTTCTTTTTTTTCTCATAACACAGGAGTGTGCTTCTAAAAAACGTCCATTTGGAGGGCCATGTAGCCCTAACACTTCGCCCTACCTCTCTATCCCAACAAAAATCGGAACATCCTACCCATAGGCGTTAACCTGCAATACGGAGGGGTAAGGCCAAGTGGTAGGTGCAAGGGATGAAATAGGATTGGGCCTTGGGCATATCATGATGCTCCCACCTTCATACTTCACTGTTGGTATGGTTTGTACTTGAGAAATTATGCGCAGTTCTTCTTTCTTCTAACATGATGAGCTGAATTATTGCCAAAGGGTTCTCCTTTTATTTCGTCTGACCAGAGTACATTCTTCTAAAAGAGTTCTGATTTGTCTAAATGCTTGTGTGCTTCTTTTTCAGCAGAGGAGTTTTGCATGGGGTGTAGAAACAGAAATGATGATCGTGGTGCAGCTCATTGCTTATTGTTCTCAGTGTAACTTGTTCCTGCTTTTCAGATCATCCTGCAACTCTTTTGGAGTGACCACTGGCTTCTCACCTTCCTTATCATTATTCTAAGAGCGTGTTATGAAATCTTGCATGGCTCACCTGTCCGGAGACGATAAGCTGCGGTTCTGTGAACTTTCTACTTGCATATTATTGAACCAACTATGCTGACAGAGATGCTAATGTCTTTGCTATGGTTCTGTAGCTTTAGGAACATTAGGAAGCTTCTTCACCTTCATGTCTTCATGTTCACCTTCACCATGTTGCATGAAATCTTTCCACCCAAAGGCAAGGTCTTTTATAATGACACCATGATCACCCCGTTTCTAGGCCCTCACACAAAACTTCCCTGCTAAAACAGAAGCACAGAGATGTACATCTACAATTTGCAGGTGCAATTTGCATTAAAATCTGATTTACATAGCAAGCCTGTGTCACCACATTAAAGCATTTTATGCTATATAGTCATCCAGAGGAGGAAGGCGTCAAATATCTGTGTGTATTTTTATCTCATGCACTTGACTCTCCTCAGACGTGTTATCTGATAAGAGCAATATAATCCAAGCTGTATCTTTGCCTTCATTCTGTTTTCTTCTCTCAGATCAGGTGTACATACTCAACTATAGCCCCTCGACTCAGTTGGGGTGGGCTGGGGGGGTTATCATCTAAACGTCTCCAACGAGGCTAAAGTTAGTTTCTTATTCATAATTAGCCTTAAAGTTAGCTTCTTTCTTTTTCGAATTCGAATTTTTCCGTTCCACCTTAAATGCTGTAGCACCAACGTAACTGCTGCACCATTTAAGGTGGAACGGTAAATTCGAAAAAAAAAAAGCTGGCGAATAAGAAGCTGATTTAATCTTCGCGCTTCTTCTCGGCATTTCCAAGAACAGATCGTGTCACTGAGATAAAAAAAACACAGCATTTTCTGAAAAAGCCGCAGATATAAAGCTGAGGGGGACGGAAAAAAGAAACGTGTTTCCTATTTCACCGCCTGCACGCGCACTGAGGCGAGCTCATGACATCCAATGCTCGCTAGAGGTGACCGGCCACAGTGCAGCCGCGGGAATGGCACAGAGCTGGGGCAGCTTCTTCTACTCCCTTCTCGATTACAAGACCGAGAAGTTTGTGATCGCCAAGAACAAGAGAGTAGGGGTGCTTTTCAGGCTCTTCCAGCTGGGAGTGATTGGATACCTGATTGGGTAAGTCCTCCTGCTGCTTTCTCAACAAGTAGACCCTAAACACGGTGTAATGCCTGCTGCTGTTTTAATAGGCCAGTTTCTTCTACATTGCTCGTCCTGCCGCCCATAACCGTGTACGGCTATTTGCAGACCAGGGTTAGGCAGCTGCTCCGTGAAGCCCCTGAAGGAGCCCAGGCTGCGGGTCTGCCTGAGGCACTGGGTGTTAAAGGGGAACTCCATCGATTTTCCCCAAAATCTTACATAATTAAATGGTTAAGATGTCAACAAAGTCATTTAGAGCGGTTTGGTGTAAAATGCTCTGTTCTGGAGAAACTTGCAGAGTCCGAGTTGTTCACAGTGGTGGTGATAGGAACCAGACGACCACCTCTAAAGCTCCCTCATAGAAAGTTACTACATTAAAGGTTAGAGATATGCCACCTGATGACTGACACTTTGTTTTACGATAGTTTTGTGATAAAGTCTGGGCTTAAAATCTACTTCAATCCATTCTTGGTGGAGGGATACATGTAGGACGTTGTGAGGCAAAAAAAGAAATCATCATCAACATTACAGATACAAACTCAGAAGACGTCTAGGTTCACTGGTGGTTTTGGATAGTGGATAAAATGGCTGTATTTGTGTTGTAGACATGGCGACCTCCGGTTCCTATCAGCACCACTGTAAAGAGTTTCTCTACAATGAAACATTTCACAACAAACTACTCTGAATGATTCTGGGTTCCCCTTTAAGATTAAGCTGTGACTACAACATGGAAATACAAGCCAAAGCACTTTGATGCACTGTGCACATTTGCGTTCGATTTGGCTATTTGTCTATTAACTTTAGAAAAAAATGTAAAACGTTTATATTTCTCTTTACTCAGTGCATAATATAGTGTAATATAGGGTAATATAATATGTAATGTAGGGTATACATTTGTAATATACAGATCAAGAGAAAATGCAACCAACTTCTAAGACTGAACTTCAAAGCTGTGGAAAAATATTTCTGCAGATTCCTTTGAAAAACGGAAAGCAAGTCTCAAACGAATGTAAGCTGTAAAAATAAACACTGAAACTGAACACTGAAGATTTTGATGTTACAGTTGTATGCAAAAATTTGGGCACCCCTGCTCAAATGTTGTGATCTTTTCTAAGTGAAAGCAAGTGAACACATCCTCTACAGAGAACACCCTTCTGAACATTTTAATACACAGTTACTGTTTATACGCTGAGCTGAACATGCTTGAGAAAAATAAAGCTAAAATGTGGCTACTGCAAAAGGTATGGCACATTTCATATTTTATGTTTTATTTTTTTCTGTATAAGTTAGGATCAAGCAAATAAATAGACATTGCACTCTAAAGTTTGCAGGAAAAAATGTCACAACATAAGTTTGTAACTTAATCAAGAAACCTGAATGAAAAGGTGGTCTCGCTCCTGCTCTGTCTTTATGTATAATGTGTTACATTGCAACATATCTAACATTACACATGGCAAAATGTATAACAATGACATACCTGCAATGTGTGGGTTTATATCTATGAAATTATGATTTTTTGGACAGCAACAAGAAAAAGTTTAACAGAAAACATTAAAAACTTTAAATACTGGATGGATGCACTAAATGTACCAATACTAAATTTCTTGTCTTCACTCTTTGCCTTTATTACAGCCTCCATTCTTTTTTTTCCAAGTAATCCCAATAACAAATGTAGGGACTCATCAGTCCATAAAACCTCATTCCACATCTCAGGCGTCCAGTTTCAGTGTTCTAGTACAGTTTTACTTTTCTTAGTGGGGGCTTGTTAACAGCTACACATCCTTTCACACTCACAGTGCTGAGTTCTCTTCTCACAGTCGAAGGATGGACAGAAACACCTGTGGATTTTTTCTGATCTGAAGAAAGAGTGGAGCTTGATTTTCTCCTCTGTCTCTAAGATGAAAGCTTCAAGTGCTGTTTATCTGATAGTGATAGTTTTGGTGTCTACCAGGTCTTAGGAGTCCTATTTTCTCCGTGCCTGTAACCGGGGTGAGGCATTGGCAGGATGCAAATGAAGAGTGGTCTTTATTAGAGGCAGTCCCAAACTCATAGTCATCAGAGGCCAGGGTTAAATAACATTCTGGCATACGGATATTCTTATAATATATGATGAAGAAAGAAAAATATCAAGGACTGAAACAAGAAACAACAGATATTTTACAAAATGTACACTGAAATCAAGGGATTACATACATACAAATGAGGATGTCCGCCACAGGTACGCATGGCTACACATTTAAAAAAGATGGTTCTTCAAGGGTTCTTTTGTAAAGAAAATGGCTCGGCATAGCACCAAAAAGGGTTTTTCTGTTGTTACAACCTTGACATTCTAACAACAGAAGAACCCTTTTTGGTGCTATGTAGAACCCGTTTCAAAAAGGTTCTATATAAAACCATCTATAGCACATTCTCCATCAGTCTGAAGAACCATTTCACCATACAGACTGTTCTTGGAGTGTTCATGGTTTTATGTAGAACCATTTTCTTTACTGAAGAACCCTTGAAGACCCATCTTACACAAGGCTCTAGGGTGAAGCCAAAACTGGAGAGAGCCATTCTGAGGTGGACTGGCCCAAATGCTGGTCCACAGGAGGAGTAATAAGCATTGTGCAGTCTTTACCATTTTTAGGGCATTTCTTTAAGTCTTTATCACAGATGGCAGGGTCAAACAGTAGGAAGACGCAAGAACTTGACAAACGACTCAGAACTGCAAGATTCACAATCAAGCACTGAAACAAGAGGAAAATGTATATGTGTGTTTTTACCAGTAAAAGTACTATACAACATTACTATATATATATATATATATATATATATATGTGTACAAACTAGATGGCCAAAAGTATATGGGCCTCCCATATTAAGTTCAGGTGTTTCAGCCACACCCATTACTAACGGGTGTATAAAATCAAGCACATAACCATGCAATCTCCATAGACAAACATTTGCAGTGGAATGGGTTGTACTGTGACTTTAAACATAGCACTTTCATAGATTGCCACCTTTGCCACAAATCTGCCCTGGTCAACTGTAAGTGCTATTAATGTAAAATGGAAGCGTCTAGAAGCAGTAACAGCGTGGTCACAAAATGGTAGACCACAAAAACTCACAGAATGGGGCTGCTGAGTGCTGAAGCACATAGCATGTAAAATGGCCTGTGCTTTGCTGTATCGCTCGCTACCTGCCTGTGCAAACATTAAACTTTAAATAAATAAATAGAAATTCTACACTAATATTTGCAAAAAAGAGTGATATTTCAGTGTATTCTCTATAGAGGAATTGTTACTTATTGTCACTTAGAAATTGAACAAGACATGTAATATGAACAAGGCCACCCAAACTGTTGCATAAGACTCTATATGGAACTGTATTTTTAGTATTCAATTACAAAACGTATATGGATGGATAAAAGGACACATCACATTGACCAAATCTAAGGAGTAATCTAACTGCTGGTGGTTATTCACACTTTTTACACTTGTGTCCTTGTGGTCCATTTACTGCTGCAGAGATTTATTAGAATGTGGCACCAGCCTTTCTCTACTTTATTACACTAGTGCTCATTACATCACTGTACAGATGCCAGCTGAGTCACACTCATCATTCCCGTGTCCTTACACTTCGTAGCGACATTGAAAACTTTTAAAGTGATGCTACGGCCAAATTTACACTATTTTCTCAGAATTCCAAAACTACAGACAAAGTTCAGGCTTCAAGTACTGTTGTTAGCTAGGCGCTGCACTTTTGTCTATGTTTATAGATGTGACAGTGTCGGAATCCACATAAGCAAGTCTGTTTGAGAGTATTTTAAAGCTCAGTGTGGTTTGAGGTAAGTGTGTGATGAGTTTTGTGAAGTTTTCACAAAGCTAGCTGGCGTCTATAAGCTTCCATTACTTGTTAGCAACATTAGCCTTCAGCTAGATCCAGTGAAGAAAGAACCACATTTCACACACCAGGCTTGTGTTGATCAGGTACCTTGATGAGGGGGGAATTATGTAAATTCATTTTTTTGGCTGAAACATCACTTCATTCAAATTCATTCAGATGTGCGCAAATGATTTTCTGGGAATTTCTGATCTCTCATGCCATCCTACAGTGAAAGCGGAAATATTGTACAATAGAGAAAATCGTTGAAGCTACATTACTAATAACTTCTGCATCTAAAACCATTCACACTATACTTTTCTTATGATATGCAGTAGTGTTGCATTACATAAGCAGTGTAGACCAGGGTTTCACTGGGCCACCCACACTCTGGTGGTCCTGGGGCCAATACTGAGGTGGAGCAAGTGGTCTGGTCCATAGTGGGCCAGTGATGGTACTAATGGTAATAATAATAATGATACTTACCAATAAGAAAGAAATGTAAAATGGTCTCAAACAGTAAACAATATTAATACAGGTCATGCAACAGTGGTGCACAAAGCAACTTCCCCGAAGTATCAATCATCTACTTTAATTAAGCTTAATTTGCCACCTTTCTGCCTGATTTCAGGTATAAAACAGGCCTATGTTTGCCTAATCTGTTGATATTTAATGCTTAGGGATACACATGGCATGTTGTGGCACCAGAAAATTGCTGTGTTGAAAAAAAAATATTTTTTTGTTTTTTGGCCTTTGTGCTTTCTAGCGACAAATAGGTGGACTTTGAGGTAGAAAAGATTGAGAACCTCTTGTGTAGACCTTTCTTTTTCCTTTAATCTGCAGCATTGTTGGGTTTCTTCTTTAGGTGGGTCTTCTTATGGAAGAAAGGTTACCAAGAGAGAGAAGAGGCCATCCAGAGCTCTGTGTTCACTAAGCTTAAAGGTGTTGCCCTCACCAACAGCACAGATCTAGGCCTCCAGGTATGGGGCGCAGAAGACTACGTTATACCTTCTCAGGTGAGTGCAATTCCTGAGCCGAGGAGATGTACAGAGATTGTTCCTTCCAATAAATTTCAGCAGACAAACACCAATTTACACTGAGGAACCTTGACTATAAGAGCTGGACCTTCATTTCAGGCCATAAATGTCAAAATACTATAAAAAAATAAGGGAATAATTAGCGTCCATATGGGATTCTCATAGTATGTTAGCATAAAGCTAACTGGGATACACATAAACATTGTTTGGTCTTTTCTGTGTGTGATTTTAAAGATGACTGCAGACTTTCTTTCCACAGGCACTAGGTGAACTTTCTTTGCGCTTGGTACAAGGTGAACACACACACCCTACAACCTTGTGGTTAGCACACTATAACAGGATGCTTGTGTGAAAACTCAGACTGAGACAAAAGTCTAAAAACAACTGAAGGTGATGGATTTTAACCAGATAGGGCCTCTTTTATACATTTTGAGAATAATGATAGAATAATTAAAGGAATACAGGAGCAGTCAATATCCATGCATAGCATTAAAAAAGCATGGTAATTGGTAATAGACCATATGCTACAGATGCAACAGATACAGACTAGGTTGCAAAACTCTGGAGTATTTCTTTAAGGATGGCACCAAATGTACATTCCACCAGCAATAATATTACTCATTACATCTGGTCAAGATAGTATACATATGGCGCTTTTGTCTTATTTTGTATTTTCACACATACATCATGTACTAGTGTGCTAACCACAAGGTAGCACTGTGTGTGTGTGTGTGTGTGTTCGGGTGCACGTTTCACAGGCAGTTGTCTCTAAAAACACACACTAAAGCATTGGGTGCTTTGAGGTTTCCAAAGTTTTGTAAACCTTACCATTGACACACGCTGTTAATGTCATTCAGCAACATTCGTATCCACCAGATGTTAGGCCACAGTAGGGCATGTGGATGAATTATCTATAATTAATAATTATAATGATATCTAGAATACAATAGAACACAATAAAATAGTCTTTTTCAGGGACATCTATGCTTATTTCAGCATGACAACAGGAAAAAACATTCTGCACTCGTTACAGCAGCAGGGCTGCATAATCAGAGAATGCAGACACTGGACTGGGCTGATAATGAAATGAAAACGTGTGCCGCATTATGAAGCACAAAATATTACTAAGAGGGACCCACATGGTTGTGCAGTGGAAGAATGGCAAAAAATCCACTTTCAAAACTGGATCAGTTGGTGTCTACAGTCCCTATTTGATTATTATGCATTGTTAAAAGAAAAAAAAAGGCAATGGAACACAGTAATAAACATGCTCCAGCTTCAAATATGGAATAAAGATATAGTTACAAAAAAATGTTCATAAGGTAAAACTTGTTTTTTAAACTGTTTCTAAGTTAATACAGATCAAACGGAGTTTACTAATCACAGCTTTTTTTATTATTGAAATTGAGGTTTGTAAATGAGATGAGAAACTGTAATAATTGAAAGTGTTACAATATGATGATATGATGTGGAGTGTCTTTGTAATCGACTAGCAAATTCGTCCTTGAATTGGAAGCCAGGACGTATCTCGCACGCTGTTGCTGAGGCTTTATTTTTAATGGACAATATTCACTTAACTTCTGGCAGGCACTGACAATCAGATTTATTTTAAAAGTCTCTAATGAACAAGCTGAGGAATCTAAAGCTGCAGGCTACTGCAGGTTCAGAGGCGTTTGCCAAAGTAATATAACTATTTAATTAAATGTGTAAGGGAATATTTCATGACCACAAGGTTAATGTTTGTTTGAAACTAAAAGTCTAAAATATCATTCAGGATAAATACTGGTGAAGGCGTTAAGCAGAGTAAAGTCATATTTTTTTCATGAGGTTAATACGTGTGAAAGATGATGGTAATTTTCAAGTTTCCCATTATATAGTTAGCCTTGCATTGCTTGGTCATTTTTTAAACTTATATCTCCATATTCATTTGCTTTTCAAGGGGGATAGAGTCTTCTTTATAGTGACCAATTACCTCGAGACTCCGAACCAAAGGCTGGGCTTCTGCGCGGAGGTAAATATACTAACAATGCAAAAAGTTACTTTATACTGACACATGCTTAATAGAAGCTCAAAACTGAATTTCACAGATATTTAAACATTTCTGCACGATCCAGTCACTGAGATGTAAACAGAGTCATTCAGAGTGGTTTGATGTGAAATGGTTAATTGTAGAGAAACTTACATAGTCTGATTTCTTTACATTGGTGCTGATAGGAACCAGGGATCACAATATCTACAGCACAAATATAGCCAATTTATTTACTCCGTCTGTCTGCCCTGTGATGGACTGGCGACCTGTCCAGGGTGTATCCTGCCTTCTGTCCAATGACAGCTCGGATAGGCTCCAGCACCCGCCGCAACCCAGAAGTATAAGCAGTTTAGAAGATGTGTGTGTGTGTGTGTGTGTTTGTGTGTGTGTGTATTTACTCTCCAAAACCACTAGTGAACCTACACATCTTCTGAGTTGTTATATGTATGTTAATAAAGATAAAACAGTGATAACTTTTAGAAGCGTTAAACACCTCAGACGTCTGGTTCCTATCAGCACCACTGTAAACAATTCTGACTCTGTCTGTCTCTGAATGACTTTGTTTACATGTTAATCATTTAATTATGCAGAGATTTTTAAAGATCAGGTGGATTCCTCTTTAAGTATAAAGGCAAGGATTACTTTCATTACTTGGAAAGATGGATGCTGTGTGAGCTTTTTTCACTATAGAATCTCCAAGTATAATGTGAAGTATACACTGACCAGCCACTTCATTAAGTGCACCTCCTTGTATCTACACTCACTGTCCATTTTATCAGCTCCACTTACCATAGTAGTCCATCTGTTCCTCTGCATACTTTGTTAGCCCCCTTTTATCCTGTTCTTCAATCGTCAGGACCCCCACGGGACCACCACAGAGCAGGTATTATTCGGGTGGTGGATCATTCTCAGCACTGCAATAACACTGACGGTGGTGGTGTGTTAGTGTGTGTTACGCTGGTGTGAGTGGATCAGACACAGCAGTGCTGCTGGAGTTTTTAAACACTGTGTCCACTCGCTGTCCACTCTATTAGACACTCCTACTGTGTTGGTCCTTCTTATAGATGTAAAGTCAGAGACAGCAGCTCATCTGCTGCTGCACAGTTTGTGTTAGTCACCCTTTAGTCCTTCATCAGTGGTCACAGGACACTGTTGGCTGGATATTTTTGGCTGGTGGACTATTCTCAGTCCAGCAGTAACACTGCGACACTGAGATCAGGTGTACTGAATGAAGTAGTCGGAGAGAAAAGAAGACTAACCACCAGCATTATAAATTTGTAGGACGATTTTATTTCTGGCTGATGACATTTCAGCTATTTTGAGGTCCATTGCAGTGCACATGATCTACTTTGTGGTTATTGTCTTGTTCATCCGAATGATTTCAGAGTCCAAAGGTACCAGACGGTCTTTGTTCAAGCAGTGCTGATTGTACGGAGGGAGAAACAGTCACAGCAGGTCACGGTAAGGAAAATGTCTGAATGGAAGTTTGGAGAAAACCCACACACAGTTCTGTTTATCATGTGATTTACAGTAAATGGATGCTTGCTTTTGACCTACTCAGACCAAAAGTGAAACAAAGAAACTAAAGAAACTTAACCCTTAAAAGTAAAGGTGACAGGTGACGTTCTGTGGAGTGATGCTATACAAGAACCACCTTTGGTTTCCTGTTGAACCTTTCAAGAGATGGTTCGTTAACCACTTTAAAGCATATTTCTGATTTGTACATACTCTTCTCCTGTATTCACATGATTCCCACTGCTGTTGTCATCTTTATTTTCATATGTAAAGAACACAACGCTGCTCTCGGAACAAAACCTCGTATCTTGAAAATGATAACTTTACAGGAGAAGGAAAAAACATACTGTACTTTCAGTATAAGTCAATGGAACCAGACTTCTTTCCAAGTCATTTTGTTTTGGTCCATTCATCATGAAATTCACACACAGTGTGAAGGGCATTTTCAAATTATGCCAAAAACTAAAAAACGACAAAAATGGAGATACAAGGTTTTGCTCCGACAGCGGCGATAAGTTAACAGAGCCATAAATTTGGAATATACTTCACACTTTAGTGGCCTTTTTTTTGCTACTCTGATGAAGCAAATCAATAATACCCATTCCCACAGCAGTGTGAATTGCATTCTGAATGAATGTTGTAGCTTCTTGCTCTGTTTCTTGCTTTCTTGCTTGCTGTATAACAGTACATCCAACAAAAAAGGCAGCATGGAGCTTCTTTTATACAGTGATAGGAAACAGTAGCACACAGAAAGCTCAATTCCACCTGCTGATCTATTTACTATGAGCAACATGGACATGTACATGGCAGATCTGAATGGATCACCGACAGTTCGTTAGGTAAGATTGGCTTAAGTGAATACGCCGGCATTGAGAAAAGGAATGGGATGCTCTGGAGTAGCCACTCATGAGCCTGAGTTCACTATGCCCAATGCCAAGTGTCGGCTATAGGGGTATAAAGCCTCCCGAGCCTAGGGCTGTGGAGCAGTGAAACTGCTTTCTCTGGAGTGATGGACATGGCCGATCTACTGTACTAGTGAAAAAAAGGTTGCTAAAAAGTGCTCAGTTTTAAATGATTCAGTTAGCATTAAATAAATTCGCATACCACAACAGTCAGCCTGACAGCCAGCCATAAATATCCACAAAGCTTGGTCATTGTGTAAGTCTGATGTCTGTGTGAGTAAAACATAGATAATTTTGGCATCTTAAAGTGATCTTCTCACCCTGTCATTGGTCTGCCTGACCAATTTCGACAAAGCCTTAGCGGAGGAATTAACTCTAGTACAGTTTAGACACTTTGTGAAGAATTGATAGAACGAGTCTTCAGCAAAACCAAGACCTTTTCAAATGATCTTAGGTTATTACCAGTGGCTTTGTAGGGATACAGCACTATAGCGCTAATGCACAGGAGAACCACAGGATTTTAATTTGGCTGTGGTGATGGAGCTCCATTCAGTCAGTACCTTTGGGATTGGAGTGATCCAGAACTGATCATTGGCAATAATTGGCAATAACTGTACAATACTTTCAGTGCTTTATCCTGCAGGCTACTTAGGAAAGAACAGAAAGCCTGTTAACTGAAAACATGGTTCTGTTATCTTAGCCCTGTCACAGTTGCTACATGATCGCCTCAGGATTAAATCGGCCATAACTTCCTTATTACTCAACCGATTTTCACCAAATTTGTTTTATTATAATCCTAAGGCACAGATTAATCTAGGTTGCTCACAGGGATGAGGGAGTAGCTAAGTAGCGCACTACTTTTTGTAGCGCCTACAAATTTTTGTGTAGCTATAGTGATAATTTTTGCTACAATTTTGCTACAGACTTCAGTAAATCCGCGCAAAATCTGAACCACAGAACGCGGCCGTTAACCGGGCTGGTGACAACGTGCAGTCCTGACTGAGCCCCAGATAGTTCGAGCAAACAGGCAAGCGCTGATCACCCCTTACTAGTAGGCTTAGCTCAGGGGTTGCAACCGAAATGTTAAGAAGAGCCATTTTGTCCTTTCAACGAAAATGAAACCACCTTGGGAGCCACAACATGTTATGTCCATTTTACCATCTTGGCTGTAAATAAGTCTCAGTTTGTGCTGATGTGCCAGTACAGGCTAAAAATATAAATGAAAATGCAGACTCACTTTGCTCTGCTTTAACCTTTAGCTCAGCTATAGCCATTTTTCTCGCTCCACAGTCAGGAAACTCTTCTGTGAGTTTCTTGTAAAAAGTCTTTCAATGTTCGACTTTTTACGAGGCTGAAGTCGCTTCTCATTCGCCAGCTTCTCCTTCAAATTGTCCTGTTCCACCATAAATAGTGCCTGAGAACTTCAGGTTTGTGTAAGACGTTAATCTGTTATGAATATCTACACGGATTAAAGAATGCTATAATTTACCGAGCTACAAGGCTTTAACCATCATTGTACATAAGTACTACATCAAGTTAAGACCCCCTGAACAGACAAATAAATAAAATAAGCTTAGTATAAAATCAGAGGAAAAACAATCACACTAACAGGTTCTCTGTGCATCACCAACCACACGGCCATATCTACACATAAACATCACACAAACAACACGCGTCACACAAACATGAGCGTGGCTCTCAGGTGTTTCCTCCATTATATAATGCTGCTCTGTAATGATACTGAATGCAGTCCAGCAGCGATGTTGACCGCCTCAGAATGGCGGCACCGTTGACGTGCCTGGCTGGACCCAACGCAGCATCTAGATATGTATATCTATGCTCCTAATGTCCCTCAGCGGGACGTGGGGGGCTGAGGGTGCTGCAGCACTCCTGATTTCAGGATTGCAACTGTTAAAATGAATAATAATAAAACTTTCTGAACTTTATAATAATTTGATCGTACTAAAGACCCATGTGTTATCATTACCTTGTCAAGCTTGCAACAGTAAAAGAAAAAGCCTTTTTGGTGCTATATAGAACCCTTTTCAAAAAGGTTCTCTATTGAAACTAATACATTTTCCATTCATTCTCCATCAATCCGAAGAGCCGTTTCACCATGCAAAGAACCATTTAAACATGAAATGGTTATGGTTCTAAATAGACCCATTGCCTTTACTAAAGAACCCCTGAAGAACCATCTTTTTTAAACCAGAATTTCAGAAGAGGATTCTTTGGAATTTAAACTGCGTAACCAAGACGCATGTGTTAATGAAATGTATGTGTAGAATGTAGATAAATCATATCTGGACATGAGATGCATGAAATGACAAGAGTAAATTGGCTCCTAACAGCCCACATAACCTGCAGTAGAGCATCATGGCTGGAAATCACACCCACAGAAACAGTGAGCAGAATGTGGCTTAACCTCTTTCAGGCCCATCGTACCGGCCTCAGATTCATGTCACCTCTGTAATGCTTAAGGCACTGTTTTTAATGGAATCGTTAGGTGAAAAATCACAATTACATGATTTTCCACTTACCCCAAATTCATTTAATCAGCTAAGACATATTTAGTTTCAAGTTTTGCTTTTTTTTAGTTTAGAACTAGGACTGCTAGGCTAACAGTGCTAACAAACACTGGAAGTAAATAGTCACCAAAACTGTCTCCACAAATACATGCCAGAATCCTCATATACTTCAAATTACAAGTTACATAAGCTTGTGAAAAAAAAAGATTTAGTAAAAATACATTCTAGGACTATTTTATCGTCTGTGTAACGTCCAGTTTTCCGATACAATTCTGTTATTTTGAGGTAAGCGTTGTTTATTTTTGTCCATCTCCATTGTGCTCGCCTACTGTCATGCCATATGTACCTAAGAGCTGCGTCCAGTGAGTCACTGGTGGCTCCAGCATCAAACTGACACCTTTCTTCATGAGTATTTTAATGTTCAAATACACGGTTGAGGCTCATTTGCGCAGAAAATGTGTTGATTACACCTGATCAGCTTCTCCACTCTATAGAGCATCTGTGTTGTGAATTCTTTTGGCCTGTCTTTGGTCATCCTGCACGGAATGATACCAAATTATGCTTGAGAAAGAAGTGACTCTGGTTATCCTAAATGGCTGCCCCTTTACCCCTTCGACATGGAGAGGTTTTTTGTTTTTTCAGTTCATAAAGAATCACATTGTGTTCTAAATCACATTGAGTTCTCTGCAAGTCCTGAATTAAGACCTGGATGTGGTTTGAGCGAGTTGCGAGAGGTTTTGGGCATGTATTTACAGGAAATGTCTACTGACATCCACTGTTTGTCAGCTGTTAGACTAGCAGCTTCTGTTCTAAACTAAAGAAGCAATGTTTGGACACCAAACATGTCTTGGCTTAAATCTCCTTAAATCTTATGGGTTGATTTCCTGGACAGCTCCGGGCATGTCAAACTGGGAAACTTCCAGACCAAAGTACTGCAGAGATTAGCGTTTACCCTCATCTAACGCTCTGAATCCAGTTCATGAAAGCCTTGCTAAATAGCTGATAAGCTAAATAAGGTGTGTTTAAAAAGTCTGCAGTGTTTCGGCCCTCGAGGACTGGAGCCGGACACATGTCCTAGACTACACAACATGGAGATTCTCCATTGAAAGGAAAATGTAGTCCCAGACTAGGCCTAATCCATGTCTGGGAAACCAAATGTTTTGGGAAGTCTATAATGTTAAGTTTTAAATTGAAATATTTTATCCTTCAAAAGTGTAGCATAGATGTTTTCTGTAATATGAATCCATTTGCGTTGCAGATACATGTATAGAATTATTGTAATATGATACTGGTAAGGTACAATGGAGCAAAATGCCCTCTGGATTTACTCTCACAACACTAAATGGCACCAAACATTAATACAGTCCTCTCCTGTCAACACCTGTTTATTGGTATATGCTGTGAATTGCAGTGGTAGGAGATTCAATCTGAGGGATCTGATCATTTACCATTTTTACTATTTTTAAAAAGATGAATGTTTCTAAGGCCAGACCTGGAAATGATTATAGTACTGTTCAACCGTTAGGGACCAGCCTTTAATTTATTTAATTTAAATCAGTATTTAATTTACTTTTGAGCACCTTACTGCCACTTTTTGCCAATTTAATTCCATGGTATGAGTATGAAAGGATCAGTAGCTGTCATGAAGCTGTTACTGAGAAAAGGAACTTCACACTAGGATGCTGAAGTTGGACTTCTGAGATGTAGAGTAAAGTTTTAAGGACTGTTGAATCGGGAGGATTACTCTCGGTTCATGAGAAGCAGGAAATGCAACTCAGTTCTAAGACTGAACTTTAGAGGTGTGGAAAAATATCTCTTTAGATATCTTAAAAAACTCAAATCAGGTCTTATGAAAAGAATAAAGTCTGTAATAATAACACACACACACACACACACACACACATACACATCCTCTAAACCGCTTATCCTTCTGGGTCACGGTGGGGTGCTGGAGCCTATCCCAGCTGTCATTGGGCGGAAGGCAGGATACACCCTGGACAGGTCACCAGTCCATCGCAGTGTAATAATAATTTTAATTTTTATTAATATTATTAGTAATATTAGTGTTAGTATTAATAAAGGAAGGTTCTGCTGAATTTCCTGTTTGCTGCTTTTTTCCTGACACTGAAAAATGAATAACTTGTACTTTATGGCTGTTTTGACTGTAAATTAAATAAATGAATGGTTGCTTTCTGAGTACTGTATATTGTTTGATAAAAGCCTTAATTAAGGTTTTCAGATGTGTTAATTCATTTGTTTTTCAATCGTTGAAAAACTGAGAAAGTTGTGCTACATTGAAAATGAAGTTATAATAAAATTTACATCCAGAATGCATCAAATTTCCAAATCCCCAGGCAAGTTATAAAGATGACTGTAAATAGATCAATACAAAATGTTAATCATTTTAAGCCTTCTTGTTCTCAAGATTCTTGAAATATTGAATACAACTATTGAAAATACCTTTTGTTGCCTATGTTGTACTATTTAAATGTATATGCAAGTGAGCGTTGTATATAAATTGACAAAATTATTCACAAAACAAGTGATTCCAAACTTTTGAATGGCACTACATTTGTGTGTATTTCAGTAATAAACCAATCTTTTCCCTTGTGTTCTGGCTCAGGTGTGAAGACGGGGCGATGTATGAACGAGACGGCTACGTGTGAGATTCACGGCTGGTGTCCTGTCGAACGCAGTCACACACCCTCGTAAGCAATCAGCACGTTAAACTGTCACATGACCTGCCCTTCTTCATTATTTATGCAAGGAGCTCGGCTTACATTCCCTCAGCACCTGACGTCATACAGCCTGATACGGGAAAGTCCTCTGAAAAGTGTCTGAAGCTTGTGTTTTCATCATTTAGGGAGCCCTTGCTGGGAGAAGCAAAAAACTTCACCATATACATCAAGAACTTCATAAGATTTCCAAAGTTTGAATTCTCCAAGTAAGTCACACTGACACATGTGTTGAGTAGGCAGGGGTGAATGTGTGTGGGCAGAACATATCCTGTGCTCTTAGATCACACAAAGCTTGTGCAGCCATGTTTCACATATCTGAGCAGTACGATAAGAAAATTAAGAAAGTATTCATGCTTGTTGTATCTAAACCCCCCATGTTTTGTAGTAATTCTCATATTTCAAAAGGGTTACATTCTCGAAACGCCCAATGGGATATTGTCCAATCAGATTTTTTCTCTGTGGTATATAGGTAGATACAAGCTAAGCTAGCTCTTCCATTGGTTAGGACTTCAGGAGCTGAACTGAAGGCTGTACATGATAGATTACCATATTCATTAGGAAGTGACAGAGGAATCAACCAATCACTGTTTGACTTAGAATGGGTGGGACCAAAAACAGGTTTCAGTTAGCTGATAGAAATGTAATATAGCTGCAGCTCTATGTCACGGCTCTTTACTTAAAGATTAGCTGTAAAACATACAAGGTAAATATATATATTTTAATATTTGTTACACATTTCAAGTAAAACATGGAATGACATCTGAGTGTAATTAGACTTGAAAATATGTCCATGTGCTCCAGCATTAGTTTTGCACCAACATACTCATAGAAATCCCATATATTTCAGTATTAGAAATTCCATATATTTATATATTAGGAGGATGAAACAATGCCTATAGAAAAGCTGTTTTGAATCAACAATTTCCTATAATTTCTATTTGAACAAGTGAACAAAAGTTATTAATAGTAACAAAATATGTTTAACAAGCAAAAAATTAAATTCTAACATATATTTTAATATGTTAGAGTTCAGTTCTTACTAGCAAGAGTTAATGTTTTTTTACAGGTAATTTTAATGAATCATGTACGTTTTACTTGTATGAATTATATTTGAAATGTAAAATTTCTATGTGGTAATAATTCAGCTTTCACCAGTAAGAAATTAATTTGAATTTCTAATAATTACATATTTAGTTGTTTTTTTGAAGTAAAAAGATGTAAACACAAAGTATTGATATTAATGTATGTTTACTTTCTATTTGAACTTAAAAAATAAATAAAGTAGTAATTAGTAAAGTAGTACTAGTAGTAAAAATGTGGTCATCCGTCCAGTTGTGAAGTCTCAAAACTCGTTAGGCCTCAATTGACTTCTCAGGACTGGTTAGGCAGGTCATGAACTGTCATTGGGAATATTCAGCTGATGACAATTCCAAAGTGTTATAAATTCTTTGACTCATCAAATAGCCATGGTCTCAACACTCAACAACTATGGGCTTATCCTAGCAGCTGGCTGAGAATCTGAAAATAACGCTAATTGATGCCTACAATGCAGTGAAGGCTATAAAAAGATACCAAAGTGCTTCCAACTTGGAATTTCCAGTGGCACAGAAAACACTGCACAGATAGATGGAAGAATGGATTTCACTGAATATCAGCACTTTCTGGAAGTATTTGTGACAGTCAAGAAACCGGAGCTGAAAAGTGTCTGGCATCTACAGCAGGACAATGATCCAAAACACACCTCAAAAACCACCATTAACTACTTCAAAAAATGCAAGTTGAAGCTTTCGGCATGGCCACTCCTATCCCCTGACTTAATCTTTGAAAATTTGTGGGTAGATCTTAACCCCTAACATGGCCAGGGCCTACCAGCAGGCCCAAAGTTTTGTCACACATGTCTATAACCTAAGATTAGCTCAGCAGGTTTGCGCTGAAAGAGTAGTTACCCTGTAGTTACTGAATAATAAGCCTGGGATTTTCAGGGGTTAAACATGCTATGCCTTCAAGACTAGAACTAGAAGTGTCTGCTAAATAAGGTACTGACTGGATGTCCAAACTTTTTCTGTTTTTATATTCATCAAATAAAATAACTTGCAGAATTTGCAGAGAAAAATATTATATTATAGTTATTTTTTAAAAAGGTTGTGTTTACCTTTCACTTCACAAAGTAAGAAAATATGTGATTTGGCCAGGGACCCAAACATTTGCTTACAACTATAAGCTAACAGTTAGTCACACGTGATTGTTTATATGGTGAAAAGCCTGAAATATAAGAAATAAATGAAAGAATATGGAGTTCTGGAGTGGCTGCACCAATATGTGCGAATGATAAGCATCAGCCGGAGTTGCATCAAGCTCCCTGCCGCTGAGCCCTGGAGAAGCAGAATCACATTCTTTGGAACAGTTGAGGTCTGGGATTAACTGGAGCACCATTTGCAGTCCAGATCTAATCGGCCCTACATCAGTGCCTGAATGCTCTTGTGGCCGAATGGAATCAAATCCCAGTAGCACTATTTCAAAAAAAGTAGAGTAGAGGCAGTTATAGTTACAGGGGGTGTATGGGGGTGGTGCAACTCCCTATCAGTACCCTCAGTTTCAAAAGAAATGTGGGTAAGCTGGTTTTTGTAAACATGTTTTGAACATATAGTAATTAGTAAAGTAGCGATAGTAGTGGAAATGTGGTCATCCGTCCAGTTGTGAAGTCTCAAAACTTAACTCGTTAGGCCTCAACTGACTTCTCAGGACTGGTTAAGCAGGTCATGAACTGTCATTGGGAATATTCAGCTGACGACAATTCCAAAGTGTAATAAATTCTTTGACTCATCTAATAACCATGGGCTTAACACTCAACAACTATGGGTTTATCTTAGCAGCTGGCTGAGAATCTGAAAATAACAATAATTGATGCCTACAATGCAGTGAAGGCTATAAAAAGATACCAAAGTGCTTCCAACTTGGAATTTCCAGTGGCACAGTGAACACTGCAGATAGATAGAAGAATGGATTTCACTGAATATCAGCAATTTCTGGAAGTATTTGTGACAGTCAGTCAAACTGGAAACTGGAGCTGCAAAGTGTCTGGCATCTACAGCAGGACAATGATCCAAAACACACCTCAAAATCAACTATTAACTACTTCGAAAATTGCAAGTTGAAGCTTTCGGCATGCCCCCCCCCCATCCCCTGACTTAATCTTTGAAAATTTGTGAGTAGATCTTAACCCCTAACATGGCCAGGGCCTACCAGCAGGCCCAAAGTTTTGTCACACATGTCTATAACCTAAGATTAGCTCAGCAGGTTTGCGCTGAAAGAGTAGTTACCCTGTAGTTACTGAATAATAAGCCTGGGATTTTCAGGGGTTAAACATGCTGTGCCTTCAAGCCTAGAACTAGAAGTGTCTGCCAAATAAGGTACTGACTGGATGTCCAAACTTTTTCTGTTTTTATATTCATCAAATAAAATAACTTGCAGAATTTGCAGAGAAAAATATTATATTATAGTTATTTTTTAAAAAGGTTGTGTTTACCTTTCACTTCACAAAGTAAGAAAATATGTGATTTGGCCAGGGACCCAAACATTTGCTTACAACTATAAGCTAACAGTTAGTCACATGTGATTGTTTATATGGTGAAAAGCCTGAAATATAAGAAATAAATGAAAGAATATGGAGTTCTGGAGTGGCTGCACCAATATGTGCGAATGATAAGCATCAGCCGGAGTTGCATCAAGCTCCCTGCCGCTGAGCCCTGGAGAAGCAGAATCACATTCTTTGGAACAGTTGAGGTCTGGGATTAACTGGAGCACCATTTGCAATCCAGACCTAATCGGCCCTACATCAGTGCCTGAATGCTCTTGTGGCCGAATGGAATCAAATCCCAGTAGCACTATTTCAAAAAAGTAGAGTAGAGGCAGTTATTGCAGCACAGGGGGTGTATGGGGGTGGTGCGACTCCCTATCAGTACCCTCAGTTTCAAAAGAAACGCAGGTTTAGCCTCTCAGTGTAAGGAAGTCGCTGCTGTCTGAACAAAACCTTGTATGTCCATTTTTGCCGTTTTTCAGTTTTTGACATAATTTGAAAATGCCTGTTGCTCTATACATTGTGTGTCAAGTTTATGATAAATGGACCAAAAGAAATGGCCTAAAATGACTTTGAGAAAATTCTGGTTCCATTGACTTACATTAAAAGTAAAGTATGTTTTTTCCTTCTCCTGTAAAATTAACATTTTGGAGATACAAAGTTTTGTTCCAACAGCAGTGAAGTGTGTATGTATATGAAGGGCTCTTGTCAAAGAGGGGATTTCTGGAAACACAGTGCTATGTTTGGACTCAGATGACTCTGCAGATAAGACCGCTCTGTATGTCTCGCCTTTACCCCGCTCTATTTATACACACAGCGTCAGTTATGGGATCACCAAGGCTGCTCTTCTGTTGTTTGGGACGCTATGACAGCAACTCTTGGTGCACTACCGGACAGGTGTCACTGTGGAACGGCCTACAAGAGCCAGCATAGCAAGGACTAAGATTGCTTTACTGTTCACACTCAGCTTTCATGGCCTCTTGTCCTGTCAATCCTGCATTCTTCTTGTCATTTAAACAATTGTGTTCTTCTCTGAATGCTGTCCTTGCCTCCTCTCAAATAGCAGCCTACATGACACCTCCAGTCAGGTTCATATTTTTCAGTTTGAATTACTTTACATAATGACTAGCAGTGGAAAAAAATGATAAAATATTGATAAGTGCTGACGTTACTGATATTACTGGTATGGCAACATCAGAGTTGTGTTTTGCTTGTAAATAATACATCAGACTCAAAGTACTTTGGTGATAAATTCACAGCATCGCAGTAGCTGGAAATAACTTTGGTTTTATCAAGAGAGCATCAATGAAACATGCCATTTAAAAGATGGATTTGAACAAGAGGCCTACAGTCTTAGTTAGTCATGGCAACTGGGCTTCAGGCTGGAACTATGGATGGTTCAAAGGGTCAAAGTAGGGTTAACATTAGCATTAAGAAGGGTGAAGTTATTATTAGTTATTAATGCATTCAATTTGACACCACAATTTACTTGTGGCCAGTTCCCACTCACTAGCTAGGTCTGGGATGGTGATGATTAGGATGTGCTTCCTCTGAGACATGCTGCAAATGCAGTGTCACTGTACAGCTCAACACGCTTGGAGGAGAACACTAACTGCCAGTTTTGTCACATCTGATAATGGACGCACGTGTTAGCCAGCATCATGCTGAGTTAGGTGGGTGTGGACCAGCTTAACCACCCAGAGAGAGCCCAATTATGCTCTCTTGGAGTCCCACTCGCGGACGGCTGGGGCATCATTAGGACCAATCTAATAAACAATTATTAATACTTTTAATGATTATAGAGCCTATTGGCGGACTAAAAGATTTCCATTGTTTTCACACTTCTTTTTTTCTACAGTAAAGAGAAAAATTGAGATGAAGGGTAAATTTTACAGAAAAAAAGTTTTACCATAGAGTCAAAGTAATAAATCACAATTTTGCACTGTATGTCACATCGCAATAATTAGCATATTGCAAATCTGTAATAATCACAATAATCTTGTGATGTATGCGCTTATTAAGACAGCAGTAGGCAGTGATCAGAGAGCTCTGCTAGTGTCCAAAGTGCTGCTGTTTCAAATCCCAGCACTCATGTAGAAGAAGGTCAGCGTGAACAGCTGGGATAACGGGGCTGACATTTTGTCCCACTACTGCTGAGTTAACCACTTAGCCAGGAGCTGCTAATACAGCCCCCTGGGGAGGAATAGTCTACAAGTGTTTGAAATGGTACCTTAATCACTATTTCCTAAATTGGAAAAAAGGAGAACAATATGGGTCAATGGCATGACACGGATCTTTTGATCTTTTTTTGCCTTTTTTAAAAAACTAATAAAATCATATGTTAAAACAGACATCAAGCACATCTACTACATCTCTCATACATAACCACTTTATCTTTTCCAAACCTTTTTTGTGTATTATTCATTTTTCACTAAGTGAAAGAGTCAAAATATCATGTGGTGCGACCCTCTAACCATTAGTGCAATTTTGAAAACTTGTTTGAAATTACTGAAAACTTTTTCATATTTTTATTTTGCCCTATTTGGCATGCCTTCAGAAGTGTTTTGCCTTTCTGAGCAAAGCATTTTGTATTTGAAGTTTTATCATGATATACTAACATAATTGTCCATAGTTGTTAACTTTTTTAAATATCATCTGGTGCGACCATCAAGAAAAGACCATTTTGAGACTTCAATGTCAGGATATGACATCATACACCAAAATGCCAAGCATCTTTAGAAATATTTGAAATATTTGAAAGGTTTGTAAGACTCAATTAGGAAAAAAAACATCTACTTAAGTACGGCTGTGGAGTTGCCAGTTATGGATGTCATGTAATGTGACCTCAAAAACCAATGAAATTGCATCTGTTTTGATTATATCTTTTATTATGAATGTTGGTGGGATGAAGACCTCTTTTGTTTAGGTGGTCAGTGTTGTGTCTACTAAATTTATTGAATTTGAAAACCGCATGTGGTGTGACCGTGACCAAAATTAATTTGGTGCAACCACTGTGTATGATATAAATATGCCTTTTATAGGGTATTCCTGTTCTTTTATAATCAATTCATGATCTAAAAATGTGCTGTTTACTGTTACTGTTTAATGCATTTTAAGGCATTGTTAAGAGTCTCTCTACTCTTCTGGGAAGATGTCAGAACATTGCTGTGAGGATTTGATTGCATTCAGCCACAAGAGCATTAGTGAGGTCAGGTACTGAGTGTGGAAGATTAGTTCTGGATCACAAACATCAGTCCAACTCATCCCAGAATGCTCCACTCCAGTTTACATCCCTCTAGTCGATGCTTAGCATGGAATGGGCTCAGGTGTGGCTGCTCCAGAGCGTCCCATTTTATTGGGAAATGCTTTTCAATGTGTGAGTGCAATTAAGTGCCTGTGTCAGCAATGGATGCGTCTGCTAGTCACTTTACTAGACAGGGTGTCTGGATACTTTTGGGCGTATTGTGTAGAACCCTATTATGGTTAGAATTTATGATTCATGGAAAACAGTATCATTTGCTAACATTATGCTGTTGAATCTTGGTGGTGAATCTTTAAACCAGACAGTGCACTGTGGGTATTCTGTATCTGCTAGAGTACACCTTTATGCTTTCAGACACAATTACATAATGGCAGACTTCCAAATCAGTGCACTTTACTGTATAAAGACTAGGGCATGGTTTCGGACATAGTCTTGAATCCTTTCTCTAGCAGAAATGTGACACTTACTGTTTTTCCTCTTTCCCCCTTAAGATCCAATGTTCTATCCACCGCCAACAAATCATATCTAAAGACGTGTTACTACGACAAGGACCACCACCCCTACTGTCCCATCTTCCGCGTTGGAGACATGGTACACTGGACTGGTCACAATTTCCAAGAAATGGCTGTCAAGGCAAGTATCCCTGATGTCGTTGTACAGTTTTAATGTGTTTAAAATGTCATTAGATGTCAATGTGCCACAGCTTTGAACAAATGGAGATAAAGCATCACAGCAGTGAACTTCCCACCAAAGCAGAGGATGGGAGAGGCTTTGAGGGAGGATACGAGGTTCGATTAGTATGGAATTGATTTCATTATGAGTTCCTCTTGCTCATTTATTACTTGGCCTGTGTTATGTCCACAGAGGAACTCTTGAGCAGTATACAGGCCATTACAGTCAATTTACATTAGTTTCACTCTAATGCCACTTCCATGAAGTGGTCTTGCTCTTTAACAATGTATGGAGAAAAAGAAATAATGAAGCAGATCAGCAGAAACTTCATGTGTAGAGCCATAAGCTAAGTTGTTTTGTTTTTCTTGTCTTTCTTTGTCTCACACTTGCACAGGGTGGGTCTATTGGAGTGGTGATTGACTGGAACTGTGATTTAGACAAAGATTACTCCAAATGCAACCCTGAGTACAGTTTCACTCGCCTGGACACTTCCAAACACTCAACCAATTCTATCACCTCGGGATACAACTTCAGGTGTGCTTAACTTGCCAGTGTAAGCTTGTCTCGTTTAGAGAATTGAATAACAAACATCAGAAGTTTGACTTTGCCGTCCTTTTTAAAAGTAATATTTGTTTTTTGTAGTTACTTTTCAATTTCAAGTGAGAGCTTAGTAGTCATGGATGCACAGTGATATAGGAATCGTTTCAATATTGTCAGATATTCGCTAAACAAGACTGGGCAAGCCTAGGTTTGCCGGACCGCCAGGCTGCACACTGTCTCCTCTGCAACTTTTTGTAAATAATGCCAGGGTTGTAGCAGCCATTTTAAAAGTGAGGGGGCCACAGTTGTCAGTACCTAACACCCCTGAAACCCCAGACCCCACACCTCTAGGTTTAGTATTACTGGTATAAAGCCTGTAGCAGTATGTGCATTTATACAGTCAAGCCAGTATGAGGGCTTCAGGAAGCAATACACAAACACACCCCACAGGGAAGTTAACAAGCTCAGAAATATATAGTTCAAAATTAGCCTTTCACAGTTTTTAGCTAGACACACGATCTGCTTCAAGAATACAAAACCACGGTTATGCACCAATACAAGAAGCTGACCCATCACTGACCAGTTATTCAAAAAATATTCCATTACAAATGACTACTTATCTCAAACTCTAACTTATTACTTCCTGGAAAAAGTAGTCTCACAATTTATTACTTTACATCTACGTTACTTTCTGAACCCCAAACTAATCATAATTCATAATTCATTTCAAAGTTGTCTCATAAGCTACATCCAGTTTGAGAAAGTGAAAGTAAAACACCGTAAGCTGGCCGATGGGTGGGAAAAAAAGCTACTTAAGTTGAAACAGGGAATGCAGCATTAACTACCATTTGTTCACATTACAAGTTCACTTAAATAGCAAACGATGTGGCTATTCACCCCATTTACTTCTCCGTCGCTTAGTTTAATTCATTTGTTCGTCAACCCACAGCATAATATTTCGAGCAAGGACACACAGGGACATGCAACACAACAGCTAGCCTTAGGTTACCCAACGCTGTGTAGCATGAGAAGCCGGAGCCTAAGCCCCAAGCTGATGACTGATATGTATTGTACTCCAGAAGAGCAGGGACACTTGGTTACTGCGCTAAAATGTTATTGATTCATTTTACTGTATTTGTAACCCTATAAAAATAAATGTTACATTTCTCTGTAATGCTAATCCAGGTGGATCTAGTCTCAATTTCTTACTTTTTAGAAATGTTTATCTACCGGCATCAGCATCAGCACTTGCAGATAGACATGAAAAGCTTTGTTGTATGTTGGTATTGGCCCGCAAGTCCCGTATCACTGCAACCCTAGCTGTGTTCAAGGGACACAACAGCCAAATGAAAAATGTAACCATTATTACATCTGTTGTAAACATGCCTACTCGTGTCTTACTGTGGTGCTGCAGAAGTCTCTAAAGCGACATTTTCAAGTTTAACGATTAGAAAACCCACTTTTCGATGATGTATCTTGACAGTAGGAAGGCCTTTTGAAAACTGCTTTAGGGTGCATTTTTGGGGGACGGGCTGTTCTAAAAGTTTGCTTTTTCATTAGTTGGTGAATGCAGACGTATAACTGTGGTAACCATCTTCAAATCATTACTACAAAGAACATATTACTCCAACAGTGGAAATAACTCATCAGATGAGGGGACAACAAGCTAAATTATAAAATTAGCAAGGGAGCTAACCTGTCTATCTAGATACTGCACCTCAGTTTGGCTTGCTGAAAAGGTAAAAACTCGTCTCTGGTGTCCATTTTGTGCTGAATAAAGATCGAATCATTGTTTTCTTTATGATTTTGTTCGACGACTGAGTTATAAGTTACACTAATGCTGGGTTGGTGGTATTTATTAGCCTATAGGCCAGTGGCGAGGCTGGAAGTCAAGAATGATTGACGCCATACGAATTCACAATAGTTATATGCTTTATTTGCGTAATGCATGCTGGGATTTGTAGTGAGACAACATGAAAACAATATAAAATTGTAAATTCTGTGAAACTGCTGAAGCTGAGAGACACAGAACACTGCATGACATGACAAATAACATATTTAACTTTAGTTTTAGGCTGGAATTCCCCTTTAACACAAAACAGCTACTTATTAGTACTTTGGATATATTTCACAAAACACTTGGTACGACGAGCAGGTTTTTGTCTAAATAATGATGTTTTCTCTTCCAAATAAAAGTACAGAATACCTGAAATATTCATATCTATACATTGACAGTTCACCTTTGATTGATCACAGCTGTTTGTCTTGCAGATTTGCTCGATATTACAGAGATGCAGATGGACAGACGTATCGCTCTCTGTATAAAGTCTACGGCATTCGTTTTGATATAATGGTCAATGGGCAAGTAAGGCAGGCTACTGCTATTCATGAGCCATGATGCTATTAATATATTATTCCAGTCCTTGCTTATCTTATTTGTTTACTTTCCAGGCAGGGAAGTTTAATATTATTCCCACGGTGGTGAACATTGGATCTGGACTTGCCTTAATGGGCGCTGTAAGTGTGACTTCATGTCATTGACTGGTAAATTGTTCCATTATAATATAACAATATTTGCTTTTCACTTTTTTGTCTGGCACTTTACAGAAACCATTTCTCTGGTCATTTTCTGACAGAACAGCTGGCATATTATGATGAACTAAAGAGGCAGTTAATAATTTCTGAAAGAGATGCCCTTGGTAACTGATGAAACCATATACATGATCAATTGAGACAGACACTAAACCTGAAGACATACAGTAACTAATCAAAGGCCGCCCTTCATTTATTTAATTTCTAGTTAAAATGGCCATGAAGTACAAGTCACTCATTTTTCAGTGTCATTTTTTCTGTATATTTTCTCAGTAATGTCTTCTTGACAGCTGCACATCCTTTCAGACTCATAGTGTTGAGTTGTCTTCACACAGTGGAAGGGTGGACAGAATCACCTGTAGAGTTTTTCAGATCTAAAGCAAACATGGAGCTGGAGATTAAAGCTTTAAGTACTGTTTATCTGATGGGATAAACATATGTTGATGTTAGAAATTCATATAGTTATTAACACTAGCAAAATTTGTGTAGGTAGTTTTCATGTGATTGTTTTAGCGCTAGATCCATAAGATCCTAGTTACCCACTGGTACCCAAGCAGTTACAGAAGTCAATAAGCTGACTAAAGCTTTTACCACAAGAGGGCACTATTTTATCATTCTTCACCATCAGCAAGAGAATTGCAGCCAGTGCCACCTGCTGTTTTCCCACCTGCCTCACACTATTTTGTAAACAACAGAAACTGTGTTAAAAGTGTCTCACTACTTTCCGTTGCTTTAGAATATCTCACCTTTAGTGAAACGTGGTATAGAACAACAATAGGAATGGAGGCAGCTTGACAGAAGAGCTTGTACGTGCTATACTGTTCTGTTAATTCTGTATTTCTCACTAGGGCGTGTTCGTCTGTGACATGATCCTGCTCTACATGATGAGCACGAGCTCTTTCTACAGAGAGAGGAAATTCGAGCCTATTGGGTAAGACTCACTTAAAGGTATTTTTGAGGGGGACTGTAAAGCGTAAATGGCATCCACCCGTTCAGTCACATGTTCTTATGTCACCTGCTGTAGAAAGAGGGAGCGAAGGCCCAGAGACATGAAGCATGGCAGACACCACCGGCACGCCCAGGATGGACACCACAGGAAAGAAGACAAGACGGCTGCGGAGAAACAACCACTCACGCCGGCGTCGTCCCCATCGGCTCACAGTCCGGCAAAGCAGCCTGTGGCCGCAGATTCTTCACTGAAACCTCATAGTCTTGAAAGAAGACCACAGCCCACGGTCATACTCCACCGCAGTCCTGAGAGAAAGGCCATGTCTCCAGTCTCGTCTTCCAGAATACCGTGCAGCCCTTTGAAATGAAGGGACAAAGCAAAGAGACGGTCGCCACCACCCTCAGGATTGTCTTTATAGCAGGAAATGAAGGAAAGACGTTTGATTGAGCTCACCTGTCAGTCAGCTTTCAGAACCATTGGGAACCAACAGGTTGTCTGCAGGCAGTTCAATTTGATACTTTCTAAAGGGCCCATATTATGGAAAACTGAAAAATCCTCACTTTTTTAAATAGTTTGATGTAGTATATAAACATTGACATAAACATGTATATTGTTAATTTTAAAAAACATAACATCCCCCAATCCAGTCCATATATGGAAACTAAACTACAAAAACAGTCCATTTTGAATTGTTTATTCGTGAAGTGGTGAACCAACCATTTACACAGATGTGCCTATTCAGCCTACAGCATTTTAGCTCCGCCCATGTGCACTGAAGTTATAAGGAGGGTTTAAAAAAAATGTATACAAGAATGTAGAATATGGGCCTTTTTTTTGTTTGATTGTTTTTAATGCCATTTCACGTCATTTAAGACCAAATTTTGCAGTGACATAAACGAAGTATCAAAGCAGTCTTCAAAGTAATTCACACCTATATGAACAGATATATGCGTATGCTAGCTCAGTAGCAGGTAACATTATTTAATGCACACCCCTGTGACCCAGTATTATTGTTGTCAAATGCATCCTAAAATCATATTTTCAAATTTGATCATATTTAATTTATAAAACGTAATGTGACACAAATGACTTATTAAGGGCCTGCAGACACCCTGAACCAAGAGTTTTCTGTATTTGTGACTGGAAAGTGAGGGAGTGGACAGAAGTAAGTTATTTCTACATGGACATCATGTATTACTTGAAGCTTTGCCCAAGATGCACTCGTACCAGAGTCTGTCTGTTTAAGGCTTTGTGTCCACAGGCACCATCAACGTTGATGGACAATTCAGAGGAAATATTAATAGCAACTGAAGGGACAAACTTTAAACCTGTTGCTTTACACATACATTGTGCTGACTGAAAACTGAAAAACCAGTTCATGATTGTGCAATATGTGATGTGAAATGCACTAAAAAAAAGTCCCAAGGTTTCTACACACCTGCTCATCTAGTGTTTCTTCTTAAGTCAAAGTTTTTAACAGAGTTCGTTCTTCCTTTGTTGGAACAGTGCTGAAGGATTTGATTGCATTCATCCACAAGAGCATTAGTGAGGTCAGGTACTCATGTTCTGGACACACCAACTCATCCCAAAGGTATTAGATGGAGCTCCATCACTCCAGAGAACGCAGTTCCACTGCTCCCCAGCCCAATGCTGGGGGGCTTCATATCCCTCTAGCAGAAGCTTGGCATTGGGCGTGGAGACCTCATGTGCAGGTGCTCTATAGCATCTCATTGGTCTTTGCTTTTCTTTGAGGATTAAGGCGTTGCCAATTGAATGCCTGTGTCAACAGTTCAACTATAAATGCACTGGTGGTTGGAGGGGTGTCTGGATACTTTTGGACATAGTGTACATGAGCAATATTTAAAGGTCAAGGTTGCAAATTAAAGCTCATGCTGTTCAAGTTCAACGTGCATCACTTGAGGCTAAAATGTACTGTGTCTGCAAACTAAATTAATACATCCATTTAGTTGGCTTTCCTCAGAATAGTTGAATCAGATTCCATGTCATTTAGCTGTGTTCACGAATTGTACATCTCTTCACAGTCTAACCATCTGAAAACACGTAAACTGGGGCCCGCTCCAATAAGCAGTTGTTGGAGGTCACTGCATTTGCAATGTGAACTTACATATTTTGCCAGATGGAGAATAAGTATTGTGCAAAATATATAAAACAGCACTTGCAACATATATCTTTGAATATAAATAATTATAAATAGATAGATAGACAGATAGATAGAGAAAACACCAGAATGCAAAAGGAAACATGTACACCAACCGTGTTGAGGGATTAATTTATTGTAGAAGAAACCTTAGAAATACTCGGACACACTATCTGTAGTTATATAATTCAGAAGGTCTTACATGGTGCATTATTTCCCCTCGGTGGAATGAGAACATGACAGATCTGTCGCTCACAAAACTGACAAAGTTTGTCAGTTCCCTCAACCAGTATGCTAAACTCCAAACAGACCTACACAGCTCTTGCAGTTTCCACTGGGGAAAGGACTTGGTTCAGGGCTGCGAGCTTCACCCCTTGGCCTCCAAGCCCAGGTACTGAGGCAGTTCAGGATTGGGCAGCATTTCAGAAAAGTTCAGTGCAATCAGATACCAGCAGAGGAGCACAGAGTAGACTACCCTCTGGATATCAACAGGGAAAAAAAACACTTTAGATTAAATTATGCCTATACATTTAGTAGCTAACACATTCTTACGTTTAGCACGGTCTCAATCTATGCACAAATGCAAATCTATATTTTGTTAAAGCTATCCTACAGATTCCCACCCCTGATCCTCGGCTGCAGCCAAAACCACATACTACTACACTGTGTATTATACTAGTGAATTCATTAGTACTAGTGATCTACTATTCAGACATTACAGTATGCCAAGGGTTCCCAAAGTCAGTCCTGGGAACACACCTAACCCATCACAAAAGGAACTATTGTCATTTCATTAAAAAGTTGTATCAGGTGTGCTAGATGGGGGAAAGCACAAAAATGTGCATAGTGTGGGGTCCCCAGGACTGGGATAGGGAACCTGTAGTATGTGGTTCTGGACGCAGCCTTGGCCTGCCTATTTTTTGTGTTTTCTTGTTCAAATACACCCTTTTACTCTCGGGAAGGGCTTGTGAATGTGCTGATTAGTTGGTTTAGGTGTGAGAAAAATAAGGAAAACACTAAAATGTGCAGGGCAGGTTTGGAAACCACTGCACTACAACATAGCTGCTCGACCCCGATAGCCCGCGGACTGCAGAGTCCTCTCCTTTTTCAGTACACGTGCACCATGCCGTACAGGAAAGTCCAGAACAAAACGTAGGTGAAGAGGCCCCCGACGAGGCCTCCGGTGAACAGCAGCCGTCGCGACTTGAAGCATTTGTTCCACCGTCGACCAGCTTTGAGGATGAGAAGCACCGACAAGAGGAAGGAAGCCAGGAAATAGAAGATGAAACCGTACAAGCCAGTGAGACCGAGGATGCCCGCGGTGGCCCCGGACAGAGCGGACACCGAGGTCCGGCAGTACTCCAGCACCGCCGCGTTGCCCCTCACTGCCACCTCGCTGATGAACTGCGGTCCCTCGCGTTTAGCTGCCAGAGTGGCCATCCTTCCCCAGCAGCGAGAACGACCCTGCTTTACCGCTACGAGGAGGAAAGGACACAGAATCAGACACTTTAATAGCGACTTTCAGCCTTTTAAACGCAAACAATACGAACTACTGCCGACGTTCAGCTCAGCTTCATGCAGTTCGGCTAATGTCGGTTAGCTCGCTCGGACTTACCGACACTGAGCGCTGCTTCAGGGAAAACGCCACGTAAATAATCGTTCCAACTACAAAGCTACACCACCATTATTTCCATCGCACCTCTGGTCGTCGGTAACAGTAATTAATTCAAGAATTTAGTGTTTTTGCGGAATATATTTCCCACACAAAACGCCGTGCACGTCACTCTTCTGCAACCATGCTCCCTCGCAGTGCCTACTGGGAAATGGTTAATCAATAAAAGTCTCCTTCAAAACCAAATAGTCTATTTTATCTACTAAAAATATGTGGTTATAAAGCATACTTTTATTTATTGAGAATTTCTTATGCATTTTATATTAAAATAACTTAAATAATAGGCAAAACAACAATGATAATAATAATAATAATAATAATAATAATAATAATAATAATAAAGCTTTAGTAGTAATACAGCTTTATTAAAGCTGTAGTTGCGTCACAGAAGTAAAATGCAATTAAAACGAGATGGGGTAAAATTAATAAAATCGAATAAAGAATAAAATCAATATGTGAAAACAGTAGCAATAATAATAATAATAATAATAATAATAATAATAATAAAACATTTTTTAAACATGAAATATAGTTGGATCACAGCAATAAAATACAATTAAAACGAGAGGGAGTAAAATGAATAAAATCGGATAAAGCATGAAATCAATATGTTAAAACAATAACAATAACAATAGCAAAAAGAAGACAATAAAAGGTGAAACGACATTTTAAAATAAGTTAAACACGAATAAAAGTAAAACCAGTTCTCCGGTAAAACTACAAATTTAACTTGCCGGTTGTTTTTAATTACGTCACTACGGCAGCCTCAAAGGCTCAATTCACGCAGAACGCGGACTTTGGAAGCTAGTTAGTGATGTGGCTAACCCAGGTTTTTAACGTCCTCAGTCATATTTTAGCAAAACACTGCCTGGAAAAAAATAATAACACATGATATCAATGCGGGCATTATATCATTTTTGACTCGAGTATTTTGAAAGATAAGTTCAGTAGCATAAACAGCCATGGCTGCTCAGTATGTTTTGGGCATGGATCTGGGAACCACCTCCATCAAGGTGGTGCTGCTGGATTCGCAGTCAAAGAGCGTAACGGACAGCTGCGCTTTCCCCACCAACTCGGATGTCAACAACGAAGAGGTTGAACACGTACGTTTCAGCTGCCGCTATGACAAAGGTTTTATTATTCTTTCCGAATTCGTGTTGAAAATGACCCAAACTCTCCCACTCAGGCCAAGGAGCAGGACCCTGCACGAATAATCTCCACTCTTGACCGGTGCGTGGCTGCCCTTCCCAAGGAGAAGCTGAATAAGGTCATATGTATTGGGGTGTCGGGACAGATGCATGGGGTCGTGTTCTGGAAGTCTAAAACAGGTGCTAAGTCAGTATAAACTATATGTCCAAAAGTTTGTAGGCCACTGCTCAAACAAGGTTTCTTCTGAAATGAAATCAAGGGTATAACACTGATCATCCATAACATTAAAAGCATCTACTTGTATTTATACTCATTGTCCATTTTATCAGCTCCACTTACTATATAGGTGCACTTTGTAGTTCCACAGTTACAGACTGTAGTCCATCTGTTTCTCTGCATACTTTGTTAGCCCCCTTTTACCCTGTTCTTCAGTGTTCAGGACCCGCATGGACCCTCACAGAGCAGGTACTATTTAGGTGGTGGATCATTCTCAGCACTGCAGTAACACTGACGTGGTGGTGGTGTGTTAGTGTGTGTTGCGCTGGTCTGAGTGGATCAGACACAGCAGTGCTGCTGGATTTTTAAACACCTCAGTGTCACTGCTGGACTGAGAATAGTCCACCAACCAAAAATATCCAGTCAACAGCATCCTGTGGGCAGCGTCCTGTGACCACTGATGAAGCACTAGAGGATGACCAACACAAACTGTGCAGCAACAGATGAGCTACTGTCTCTGACTCTGCATCTACAAGGTGGACCAACAAGGTAGGAGTGTCTAATAGAGTGGACTGTGAGTGGACACAGTGTTTAAAAACCCCAGGAGCACTGCTGTGTCTGAATCATAGTAAACACTACTTGTTCATAAATATAAAAATAAAAAAATCAGGATGCATTGAGGATCATTTTAAAACTTCATCCCCAAATCAGTATCAATCTTGAGGTGCCTAGAATTCCCATTCCTACACTAGCCAGTACTTGGCATTGGCCATGATGACCTTTGGCTCATGGCTCATGTGTGTCTGAACCAAAGCATCCAATTCTATTGGTTGATGCTTTTCTATAGAAATTACATAAGCTGTGTTTGAGCAGTTGAACACCTGTGTTAGCAATGGGTGCACCTTAAAGTAGAGGAATTCACTAAATAGAAGGGGCGTCTGGATACTTTTGGACATAGTGTCTATACACACTTCACGTAGACAGCATTTCTATGGATAAATCTACTCAGGTGTTCATTGTATTGTCTTCTGTTGCTCCATTAGGTTGCAAATGGTCCAGCAGTGATGCAAGTCACACATTCATACCTCAAGATGTGAGTCGTCTGGTCACGTGGCAGGATGGACGCTGCAGCAGTGACTTCCTCTCGTCACTACCCAAACCGGAGTCTCACCTGATTGTGGCCACTGGATTTGGCTGCGCCTCCATCTTCTGGTACACCAAGCACAGGTGAGATACTCTGTACTGTTTCGCCTCATTGTCAGGAGTGATTTGAAGTCAGATGAAAGCAGTAATAGTACTATGAAAGCAGTAATAGGATGCTGGAGCCTATCCCAGCGGTCACTGGGCAGGAGGCAGGAAACACCCTGGACAGGTCGCCAGCCCATCACAGGGCAGACACACAGACATTCACACAGATTCACACCTAGGGGCAATTTAGCATCTCCAATTGGCCTGACTGCATGTCTTTGGACTGGATGATTTACATCTTCTCAATACAGGCCAGCGTTCCTTTCAGAGTTCAGCGTGGCTGGGACCATCCAGGATTATGTGGTCTCCATGCTGTGCGGCTCCGAGGGCTGCATCATGACTGGGCAGAACGCTGCTAGCTGGGGCTACTTCAACACCCCCAACAACCAATGGAACTTGGAGATGTAAGACTGCAATTGCATTATTTTGCAATAAACATTGTTATTATATATGAGACACATATGCTGTAGAGATAAACAAGTACAGCGTCATCAAATGGTGCTCATCATTACACTCTTGTGCTGTTCACCAGATTATTAGGGGTGTGATACATTTGATACATTTTGTTTTAAATAAGATTCTATTTTTGAATCAATTTTATGTTTGACTGTCTTGATTCTACAGGGCTCTGATTATGATTGTATGTGAAAGTTTGGTGAATTGTCAAAGTGAACATGAGTTAACACATCCCCTACAGACTTAAATATGGCGTCTTCCAAATTATACAGCACTGTTTGTGCAAAATCTGCCAAGTTTAATATGTAAAATATAACTTTCGCACAGGACAGATTTTATGTATTATCTTTGTTTCAGTTTGTTAAATTCAGCAAATAAACAGTAATTGTGTATTAAAGTGTGCAGGGGTGTGTTCACTGTGGAGAATGTGTTAACATCTTTTCACTTAGAAAATCAAGAGAACATAATTTGACCAGGGGTGTTCAAACTTGCATGCGAACATGTAAACTACACAGACTGGTTTGGCTCAGAAAAATACAATTTTATTTCAAAGCAAAAAATTGCAAACTCATATCCTTTTTTAATACTGGGGCAAATTTACAAAGAAATGGTACTTGCTAATGGTCTACTGACAGTTTTTGTGCTGGTGGGCGTGGCCAGTTTAATCTAATAATAACTTTTAATACAGGCTCAACTTCGTAATTAACATTTGACCAGCGCAGTATAAATCCTGTTTTGCTTTCGTTCTTTTTATGTGGAAGCCTGTTTCTGCCAGAAAGGAAAAAAATCGTTCATCATAATTTATAATTATTATAATTTATTTTTTTCCTCTCTTTCTAGTAGCAGTGTGTCTTTTCATCCCAAAATAATGCCTTGTTTTTGTCAGTAGTTTGAATTGGTCTGCTTTCGTGATTAAAATAGGTCATTATTTCAACAAACTAGGTCAAAATATTGAAAAAATGAGTCATAATAATTCAAAATATCAAAGGTTCAGACATAAGCCAGAATTTGACTTACTGTTGCCAGAAATGAGGGAAAAAACAATAGGCAACTTTTTCACCTGGTGGAGATGGGTTTCCATGTAGTTCGAAGGCCATTTCTGAGCAAAAATCATGGCTGTTAAAAAAGAGTGGCTGGTAATAATCTTCTCTAATAATATATATGTATAGTGTATATGTACAATGATCTCCGACGAGTATTCTGTGCTATGATATGCAGTGAAGCAAAAAAAAAAAAAGGAAAAACAGCAGCGACCACCAATTTGATCTTACTATGGTTCACTGAAGGCCCATAGCACCTATACAGGAAAGTCATTGTTAATTTAAAAAAGGGTTGTGATGACACAAAATGTTAGTAGATTTGCCCCATAATCTTCTAAATCAGTGCAAATGAGCTTTTAAAAATACAGAAACCTGAACTGCTTCATCTAAAACCTTATACAGCTCTTCTATCAAATGAAACATGTGACAAAAGCAAAATATGTGCACTGAGAATGAACTATATTAGTTGCTGTTTGAGTTTTTTTGTTTTTTCATGTTTCATGACTTCCATGGAAGATAGTAAATGAGACACTCAATTGGTGCAATACTGATTCCGTTTCAAATTTCTTCGATTTTTAAGAAATTACTTAAAATTGTTACACCCTGACTAATTATAGCTAAATTTGTGTAACATTCAAGTACATACTGATACTGAACAGATGTTTTATAGGCAGGATGATTCTGATCTGTGTCTGATCTTTTAATATTAGACTGAAAGGTGCTGGCTTCCCTGTGCACTTGTTGCCTGTGCCTGTGGAATCTGGATCTATAGCTGGACGGACCTGCTCAGAATGGCATGGAATCCCTGCTGACACTCCTGTTGGAGCGGCCCTGGGAGACTTCCAGTGCAGTGTCTACTCCTGTATGAGGGACAAGGCTGATGCAGGTATAGTTGAGAACATGGGCATCAAGCGCCAGTATCTGATCTAGGATCATCTGTAATGTGTTTGAATAATCCTGTAAGCAGTAAGCAGATAATATGTAACAGCGTTGGTTTTTGTGACATCACAAAAACAATCCATTCAAAACAGAGCTTAGTTTCCATATATGGACTGACACATTTTGATAAGCTCACCAGACCAAAAATTAGTTGCACGAATCATTCCTTTTCTAATACTTGGTTATACGTCTCCTTGTCTTAAAGGAAAATTACACTGATTTTACACATTTTCTGCGTAATTCAGTTGTTAAGAGGTATACAAAGTCATTCAGAGTGGTTTGATGTGAAATAGTTAATTGTAGAGAAAACTGACTGATTTAAATTATCTGTACAGTGGTGGTGATGGGAACCAGAGGCCAAAATGTCTACACTGTAAAAATAGCCAATTTATTTACTATCCAAAGCAACCAGTAGCCCTACACATGTCCAAGTTGATAAGGGAGAAATAGTGATGAATCTAAATCTATTCTTTGAGAACTACTTTACCTCACAACGCCCTGGATGTACCTCTCCACCATAAAGAACAGATCTTATCTCAAATGTACAGTAAAACAACACCTCAGACATCAGGCATTGTATTCATATCCATTGCATACAAAATGTTCTGTGCTGAAGCTTTTAGAGGTGTTAAACTTTTTGGACATCTGGTTCCTATGACTACCATGGTAAACAATTCTGACTTGGTAAGTTTCTCTAAAACAGAGTATTTCACATTAAACTACCCTGATGACATCTTAACAGTTTAATAATGCAGAATTTTTCAAAATTGGTAGAATTCCCCTTTAATAACAGTGTCAGTCCTGTGAGGTAAGGATTATACCTCTCTTGAGTTTGGCCCACTCTTCTACAAACAGAGTGCACATTTCAGAGGTCCTGCAATTGATCTGATGTTACAGATTGTTGTTTCTGCTAGTGTTCAGTCATGTCCGTTGAACCAGTCACATACAGACACCCTACAGTTGATATCCTGGAATGTGGGAGTGTCAGTAGCCACGTTTACATGCAGCCTAGTAATCCGTTAATAATCCGATTTATAGTTCAATCGGAATAGAATATGTCCATGTAAACACAACGCAATCGGAATAGACTAGTCTGGTTGAGGCCATTCGGAATACAATTTCTATCTGATTGAACGAGGTGGGTAATCCTGTAAATAATCCGTTAAATAGAAGAATAATAGCCATGTAAATGCTTGTATCCGATTATATTCCCAATCGGAAGGTTTAAGTATGTTCTGCACATGTGCGTTCGCCATAATTTTAAAGCAATTAAAAACACAAGCATGCCAGCTGAAAACTCATGTCACTCACGTGATGCTCGCTGTCATGGTAACTCTAAGTGGTACTCTACGCATGCGCATCATTTTGGATCAGATTACTTGTAGTGTACATGTAAGTGGAGATTTTCCATCAGATTGTTGAGTAGAGTGAACATATAAACACCTCAGTTTTAATCTGTAATCGTGATGTATTCAATCGGATTGGCAAAAATCTTTGCATGTAAACAGCCAGTGTTACATTCTGCTCATACATAGTGGAAGAGGAGACTGCTGTAATCCTTACCTGACACTGGCGCAGTCATTAAGGCAATTTGATGTGTAACCATGGGAAGAGATACTGCATAAGGCATGATGCAGATAGAAAAGAGATAATGCATGCAACTAATTTTGTCCACTGACTTATTTACATACTAGGTCAAACTGTGTTTCAAAAAAGGAGGAAAATTGAGTTTTCCTTTAACAAAATTGACCCTAAATCAGCAGTCTTTCTGTGAGAAATTCCTGTAGCAATAAACTCTTTATAAGAGCTTTTTTATCACTGTAACTCTTCATATGTCATTTACAGTACTAAACCTGAGCACTTCAGCTCAGCTGACGTTTGCCATGCCAGCTGACTTCACTCCTCCAACAGCACCAGACCCTGTTTCCCCCATCGCGTACTTCCCTTACTTCCACAACACCTACCTGGCAGTGGCTGCTTCACTCAACGGAGGCAACGTCATGGCAACGTTTGTAGGAATGCTGACTTCTTGGATGAAAGAATTTGGTAAATTTATGTTCTAATTTTGAGTCAACAGGAAATCAAATTGATCTTTTTAAGCTTCCCAAAAAAGAGTTTAATCTTTACTTCATCAGATCACAGCACTTGTTTCCAAAATGCCTCCGGCTTGTCTAGATGTTGTTTTGCATACTTCATAAACTAACTTTGTGAAGAGGTCACAAATGTAGCAGCCACCATATTTTAGACTGAGAAAACAGAGAAAACCAAGCATAAACCAAAACGAAGAAAATACAGCAGTGAGTAGCATCCACAAAAACACAGCAGTGCGTGAGAACTGAAAACAGGCGACTACCGCTCTGTGCTGTTTGCTCAGAGGTCTTGAGATGAGTCAGAAAAAATGTTTGAATCGATGTAATGTTTATGTGGACCGCGGAAGCTTTTGTGGTCGTTTGTGTGACCCGTGAGTTGCAAAAGTTTAGCATCCCCTCATGTGGACAAATGACTTTTATTTTGTTTGAAGGTTTTGTTGATATTCAGTAATGATCAAAACAATTCTGTTTCCAGTTATCTGAGACAGAGACATTGCAGTCGGTGGTCTCGAGCAATTTCCAAGTCCATCTTAACCTGAGACAAGATCGACATTAAGAACAAGACCAGACCGAGACCGCTAATTTGTGGTCTTGAGAACCGACTCGAGACCTACAACACTAGTGTCAGCTAAACCATTCGGCTGGACCTTTGCTGTCATTTGGGGGTTTTGCTTAGCATTTATGTCCAGTGTACAATCAGTTATATCTGACAAGCTTATATAGCATGTAGTATCACTTTATGTTAATATAACAGTATAGTGGTATAGACAGTACATTCTGGTCCATAAATATTTGGACAGTGACACCATTTTTGTAATTTTGCTTCTGTACGCCACCAATGGGTCTGAAATGAAGCAATCAGAGTAGATGTTCTGCTTCAATTGGGTTTAACAAAAAAATTACATTAACCATTTAGGAATTATAGCCATTTTTACATAGTCCCTTCATTTTCACAGGCTAAATAGTTATTGGACAAACTAACATACTTATGAATGCAAGGATTATTTTAATACTTGGATGCAAATCCTTTCCAGTCAATGACTGCCTGAAGTCTGGCATTCATGGACATCACTAAATGCTGAGTGTCCTCCCTTGAGATGCTTTGCCAGGCCTTTACTCTAGGTGTCTTCAGTTGAAGCTTGTTTGTGGGTCTTTTTGCCTTGAGTTTTGTCTTCAGTAAGTGAAAAGCGTGTTCAAATGTATTAAGGTCAGGTGACATTTCAGAACATTCCACTTCTTTGCCTTAAGAAGTGATATGTTTTGGGGCGTTATCCATCTGTACTGTGATGCGCTGTCCTATCAGTTTTGCAGCATTGGACTGAATCTGAGCAGAAAGTATAGCTCTATACATTTCACAGTTCATCCTGCTACTTCAGTCAGCAGTCACACCATCAGTAAACACCAGTGACCCAGTTACATTGGCAGCCATGCATGCCCATGCCATAACACTACCTCCACCATGTTTTACAGATGATGTGGTATGCTTCAGCTCAGAAGCCCTTCCTTTCTGTCTCCATACTCTTCTCTTCACATCATTCTGGTACACCTTAATATTGGTTTCATCTATCTAAAGAATGTTGTTCCAGAACTGAACAGACTTTTTTTAGATGTTTTCTAGCAGTCTAATCTGGCCTTTCTGTTCTTGAATGTTACCAGCGGTTTCCATCTTGAGGTAAACCCTCTGTATTTACATTCATGAAGGCGTCTCTTGATTGTAGGCCATGACAATGATACGCCAACCTCCTCTAGAATGTCCTTGATTTCACTTGATGTTGTGAAGTTATTTTTCTTCACCACAGAAAGAATTCTGCAGTCGTCCACTTTAGTCTTTTGTGGTCTTCTAGGCCTTTTGGTGTTGCTGAGTTTGACAGTGGAATCCTTTTTCTTTTTAAGAATGTACCAAATGTTGATTGGGCCACTCCCAAAGTTTCTGTTATCTCTCTGATAGGTTTGTTTTATTTTTTCAGTCTAATGACGGCCCCCTTCACTTGCATCGACACCTCTATGAACCACATATTGAGAGTTCCCATGAACAGCTACTAAATGCATATTCAACACTTGGAATCAACTCCAGACCTTTTATCCCCTTGATTTGTCAAAATAAGGGAACAGTCTTCAGCTGGCCATGAAACTGCTCATCCGTCAACTATACAATTACCTTTAAGCCTGTGAAAATGGAAGAACTATGTAAATAAATGGGTGTAATTCTTAAACGGTTAATGCAATATTTTTGTTAAACCCCTTGACTTAAAGCTGAAAGTCTACATTAAATCCCATCTTGATTGGTCACTGTCCAAATACTTATGGACCTGACTGTATATCAGGCTTTACATCCAAGCCAGGAGCCATTAGGGAACCTTTATTTTTAACAACACACATTTAATTTGCTAATCAGATTGTTCTTACCAAATATACTGCTTTACCTTCTTTTGTCTTTTGGCATCTCTTACTTTCATTTTGCAGGAGTGGAGCTGAGCGAGTCCAAAGTGTACTCCACACTGGTCCAGTGTGCCCTGACCCAACCCAGCACTGACCTGTGCGTGACCCCGACCCTGCTGGGCGAGAGGCACGACCCCACCAGCCTCAGCCTGGTCTCAAACATCTCCCCCACCAACCTCTCACTGGGTCATGTGACTCGCGGCATTTGCAAAGGGATTTTAGCTAACCTTGCCACCATGATGCCCCCTCAGATGCTGTTGGCTGCAGGAGTGAAAAGGATTATGGGTAGTGGGAGTGCTTTGTCTCGTAACCAGGTCTTGAAGCAGGAAGTAGAGCGAATGTCCCCCCTGCCTGTGGTCTATGGGGAGGATGTGGACTCAGCAGTTGGTGTAGCAATGGTTTTTAATGACAGACTGTGAGAAGATACAGCACGTAGCATTAGCCACAGTGTTCGCTGTAAGCACGTAACAATACCTCAGTGGCTATGTTTACATCCAATAATGTGACGAGTCGGTTGATCGGAATAAAAAGCTTTCATGTACTCACCTAAATCAGGATATAGTTTTCCAGTTGAGCTTAATCAGAATGGAATTCTATCCGATGGAAAGATTTGGTGTACACTTTTAATATTCTGTTAAATGAAAGGATAACAATCATGTAAACATACTTTCACAGTCTGAATCCTTGCGTACTTGGTAGGGGTGTAACAGTACTCTTATTTTCTGATTTTTAATTAAGAGCGTGATTCATTTTTTGATGTGTTAATACTGTCTTGATTGTGTTGAGCTCTAATTCAGTACTACACAAGCAGGTTTTCCATCTACCAGTTTTTTGTGAATTTTGAAAAAATGAAATTCGAAAAATATTCCAAAAAAGTTTTACACTAAGACAAGGTGAGAAAGTTAGAATATCATCAACGCCAGAATGCGAAAAAGAGTGATGGAAAAAAGTTTTTCGAATAAATGATGACATATCAAGCTATAAGTCCTGATTCCATAACATGATTCCGTGATTCCTCCAGATGGTCCGATGGTGGTGCATAGCTTTTGGAAGGTCGCCTTCGGCATTCTGAAATTTCCTAATCCAAAGCTTGTTTCCAAAATTGCTCTGCACAGCGTGTTCCCAGAATTGTCTGGGGTGTTGCCAGATGCGAGGTGGATGTCTTCAGGGTGGCATGGAGATTTCAGCCCTCATTAGGTGGGTCATTGCTTGTCCTGCCCGGCATCTCTGACCTGCAAACAATACAAGTTTCTTAGCTGTAAATGTGACTTAGTTTGCTTTTCTTCCAGCCAAAATTTCATAAGTGTGCATATCATTTGCAAATTGTTTGAATGGACACCCGGCAACAGATTGGTTTGTCTCAGAAAAATAAAAATTCTCAAACAGAACTTTTTCAACATTTGCAATTCTGCCCTCTAACAAAATAAACCCCTGAAATCAAAACACCAAGAATTTAAAAATGACCTCAGGATAAAAGCCCAGTCACTTTGTGGATGTGTTGTTATCCTAATTATCGCCCCTCCCCTGTCCAAATATACCCCAAATGTAGTCAGTCAGCCAAGACATATTTGGTGGGCAAAGTTGGTTCTTTAGTAATAGTAGCAATAATGCAAGTAATAGAAGCCTCTGTCACCCAAAAACATTTCTACGACTTAACTACATTAGCCTTGTAGCTTTAGTGCAAAACTAAAGAAGCAAACTTCAGACACTTTACTGTAGAAAATAATGTAATAAATAGTAGAAAATATATTTGATCATACTTAATTTTGAGTTGTCCTTTTAGATAAAACAAACACTCAACAGACTCTCAGTAACATGTCAAAAACATATGAGGGTTAGGATTAGGTTTTGGGTTGAGGTTAAGGTTAGGGTTAGGATTAGGGCCAGGGTGAGGGTTAGGCTGTGGGTAAGGTTTGGTAAGGTTAGGTTTTGCGTAATGGAAGTGACATATTAACAATACTAACTGTAAGTAATGTATCAACAGTACATCAAGATATTTACTTCAGTGTATTCAGATGCTTCACTACTGCTACTTCACTGATATGTTGTTGATGTGTTACTGATACTCTGTTAAGAGTTTATTAATCATCTACAAAGGCCCACTCCAAATAAAGTGTTACCATGCATTTTACCGTCTAGTCTTAATCACAATATAGGTCAGAAAAAACATAATTAGAGATTTTCCCCAAATCGTTCATACCTGAACTGAACCATTCCTTTAACATTTCAGTTTGGAGCAGCTGTTGGACCTGTACTGTATATTGGACCTGTATTTATTACAGTTTGATTTAAGTGTTAATTTATTATAGCATATATGGATCTTAAATCTCAACAGTGATTGTAGTTGGTATTCTAATGTGAAAAATCCTTCCTGCACTTTTTGGATTGCTCATGTGTTTGGGAACAGATGTTGTAGTAGTCCGTATTTGAAATTGCATAAGTACTAGTGCCTCAATTCTTAATATTTATAAATGAATGTCTTTATATATCAAAATATGCAGAATGTTTTATAACTAATGTTTCTTTCCAGTTGAAATAAAAGATCACTCTGTTTGACATGGAAATAAAACCGTTCTTGGTATTTTTTTGTGTGTGAGAGTGTGTGCGCATGTGTGTATGTGTGAGTGTGTGTGCATGTGCATGCTTGTATATACAACCCCATTTCCAAAAAAGTTGGGACGTTGTGCAAAATGTAAATGAAAACAAAATGCGATGATGTGCAAATCATTTAAACACAATATTTATTTGAAAATTGTACAAAGACAACAAATCAAATGATAAAACTGAGAAAGTTTATTGTTTTTTGAAAAATGTATGTCCATTTTGAATTAGATGGCAGCAACACGTTCCAAAGAAGCTGGGATGGGGCAACAAAAGACTGGTGAAGTTGTGTAATGCTCAAAGAACCACTTGAAGGCTAATTGGCAACAGGTCAGTAACACCACTGGGTATAAAAAGAGCATCCCACAGAGGCTGAGTCTTTCAGAAGTAAAGATGAGGAGGGGTTCACCACTCTGTGAAAGACTGTGTGGGCAAATAGTGCAACAATTCAAGAATAATGTTTCTCAACATAAAATAGCAAAGAACCTTCGCTTTTCATCATCTACAGTACATAATATTACAAGATTCAGAGAATCTGGAGAAAACTCTATGCAAGGGACAAGGCTGAAAACCAGTATTGGCTAGCGAAGATCTTTGGGCCCTCAAGTGGCACTGCTTCAAAAACAAGACATGATTCTGTAGTGGAAATCACTGCATGGGCTCAGAAACACTTCTGAAAACCACTGTCTGTGAAAACAGTTTGTCGCTGCATCCACAAATGCAAGTTAAAACTCTAAAACACAAAGAAGAAACCATATATAAACAGGATCCAGGAATGCTGCCACCTTCTCTGGGCCCGAAGTCATATGAGATGAACTGAGGCGAAAAGTGTCCTGTAGTCCGACGAATCAACATTTGAAATTCTTTTTGGAAATCATGGACACTGTGTCCTCCGGGCTAAAGACCACTCAACTTGTTATCAGCGCACGGTTCAAAAGCCAGTATTCATGATGGTATAGGGGTGCATTAGTGCACATGGCGTGGGTGACATGCACATCTGTGAAGGCACCGTTAATGCTCAATGATATATACAGGTTTTAGCAACATATGTTGCCATTCAGACAATGTTGTTTTCAGGGAAGGCTGCTTATTTTAGCAAGACAATGCCAAACCACATTCTGCATGTATTACAGCAGTATTGCCCCATAGTAAAAGAGTCAGGGGGCTAAACTGACCTGCCTGCAGTCCAGATCTGTCACCCACTGAAAACATATGGCACTTTATGCAATGAGAAATACAACAAAAGGGATCCCGAACTGTTGAGCAGCTGAAATTCGATATCAAGTAAGAATGGGAAAACATTTCACTTTCAAAAATACAGCAATTGGTCAGCAGAGAAGAGGTGATGAAAGACAGTGGTAAACATGCCCCTGTCCCAACTGTTTTGGAATGTGTTGCTGCCATCAAATTCAAAATGGGCATATATTTTTTCAAAATATAGCACTTTTAGCACTTGATATGTTGTGTTTGTACTATTTTCAAATAAATATAGAGTTTAAATGATTTGTACATCATTGCATTTTGTTTTCATTTACATTTTGCATAGCTTCCCAACTTTTTTGGAAATGGGGTTGTATATGTGTGTGTGTGTCTGTGTGTGTATATATGTGTATATATGTGTGTTTGCGTGTGTGCATATGTGGGTGTGGGCATGTTTCTGTTTATGCGTGCATGCGTGTATTTGTGTCTATGTGGGTGCATCCTTTACAGAGAGTGCTGAAGTGAGAGACGCTTTTCAAGATAAAACACACTGTTAACCACATCCGCTGTGTGGCCAAGATGTATAACTTTGCTCACTGCACCTGCACCTTGTGAGTCAGTACCAGTGTGTGTGTGTGTGTGCATGCGAGAGAAAGAGCATACTTGCACTTCTTACAATGTCATACAAGTTGTAAATCTAAAAGAGAAACTGTTGCAGTAATAAAGATTTATCATTTTGTGACCAAAACATGTTTACAAACATAAGATAAAGGTAAAATGTACAGTTGCAACTGATACAATTACGATGTAATCTGCAATGGAGTTTTGTCTTTCATGCCTTTTATCAAACGTAATTCATGTATTCTCTACATGTGGTTGAAAACATATGGAAATCGTGTTCTGGAGTGAAAAACTAACAAACATTTTGATCATCATCATTTAGCTAATACTGCATCAGAGTTCCAGCCTTCTAATGTTGCTGTATTTGATTTGTCTGTCATAGTGAAAGGGCTCATGCATCAAGGCACACTAAACAGATTTTATGCTTTCATCAGCAGCACATTATGAAAATCAATAAAACCAGTGGTCTTGGGCAGCTGTATGGTCAGTAAAGTATGGATGTAAGATCACTGAGGGAGTTGAACTGCAAATGTTAGCAAGGCCCAATAGGAACTGGGTCTGATTGGCCTTGCTATGTACTTTTAAAGTCAACCTTAAATCAAAATGACTGTTTTATTTTTTTACCTTGTCGTCTAGTTCTTGGCCATATTAAGCATAATTCATCTTAACATACTACTTAAAAGACAAGATAATGGGTTTTCTAGCAATATTTGATCGTAATGACTACTGATCATGACTACTGTAATGACTACCTCTAAAAGGTCTTCTGAGTTTTGATGACGTCACCATGCACCAGGGGCAGAGAAAACAATATTAACCAATAAATATAATGTTTCACATATACCTCCCACCTATCCCTCAGAGACTGTCCCTGATAACGTTTCACTCAGAACTATATCACAGTACCTAAAAATAAAGACTATGGTTCTAGTTCTACAGTTCCAGGAAAACCCCTTTCTTTAGACTTTAAAAAGGTTCTTCAATCTCGTATGTACAAGCATAGTTCTTCCATGGTATCACTTTAAAGAATCCTCTTTTCTTCTATTAGTGCAGCAAAGGGGCCGTGCTATTATACCTACTATGGGATGGGCCTGAAACACATGTACGACAGTTATCTCTCTCTCTCTCTTTCTCTTCCTCTCTCTCCACTCAGAGCTCATCAGCAGAAGCAATACTTGCAAAGTGAGCGCTTCCTCTTCCTCCTGCTTTATTTCTAACGAAGCTGTGAGGTGCTATATGAAAGCAACTGTGCATTTCATCTCAGCACACATTGGATAATCTACTGAACGTCTGGTAAGTACGACCACCTCCTTTCATGTTATTTATGCCCTTAATGTGTGCATGTTTATGATCTTGAGGTATTTTTCATTTCCTTTAGTCAGAAATGTTGCAATGTTTTTTTTTTTCAGTCATAATTTTCCAGGTGAAAGAAATATCCTAAATGAGATCTCCTCTTAATCTCATATACATCTCCTAGACATGGTTTAGTCCTGTTTGAAATCAGAGTGAGACTTAAGCCATTTTGTCCTGTTTCTGTAATGTGGCTCCTGAAAAATAACCCTCAGATTTTCTCACTTTGATCAAAATATTGCCACACGGGAATGAACTCTTGTGTCTGACACATCTCACCCCAGTCTCAGCTGAATATGTCTGTAAGAAAAGTGTAAGATCTCGTCGTTTTTCTTATACAGCTCTATTTATATATCACAGAACTCTTTTAGCAGTGTGTCAGTGTAGAAGGAGAACTCATGCTTTTCTCATTCATCAGCAGAACTTCTTACAATAAAATGCTGATGTTAATCTCCTCTTTTCTCCTAAGGGGGGGTTTAGAAAAAAAGAATTCAGAAATCAGTGATCCATCATTAATTCAACATCTGCTTTATTTCTTTGAGACAATTTTGCATTTTTTCTACTATTGTAACCAATTAATGTTATAATTAAACTGTTGAGTAAATAACAGCCCATTTATAGTGTGTGTACAACTACTTTGAACAGAGTAATCACCTTGTTTCCCATTGTACAGAGATCTTCCACATATTCCATGTCATTTTATTGGTTGTTAAGCCTTTTGTGGTCACTTTCATTGTGATGAAACTCTCAGATCGGAATTTTCACTTAAATGATGTGAAGATGTTCTTTTAAACCAACCTAAAAATCAGCCATAAAGACAATCTATCTTCTGTTCCAGCCCTAGCTCACGGTTTGAGTCACTGCTATTGATGACAGGCCTAAGTGATGCAGTAATTTTGTTAGCTTGCCTGCATCCTTGCCTCAGCCTTTCGCTCACTTACCTTAATGGAGCCAATAACATATGCAGGCATCCTTTCACACATAATGAACATCACAGAAATGCTAAAATAGCAAATGCAAAACATTATCCAAACATCTGTACAGATGTGCACATAATATGTTTCTGTACAGGATGTACATACAATATGATGCTATCATGCTAATTTAGCTTGTGATGTGGCTTTGATTTGCCCTTGTAAAGGCTACTTTTTTCACTACAAGAAGGAGATAAAATGTCCAGTGAAGGACTGACCCTTGAGACTGAATATGGATTCTGCCTGAGGGGAGAATCATGTAACACCAGCATAAAGATGCATCAATAATTCAGTTAACAAAGTTCTGCTAGTGCTTACAATGATCTGCCTGACCACTCTCCCTGTAGCTTGAACATATGCTAATGCTAGCAACTGTTCATGAGTTCCTAGCATATGTTAGCAGTCACACAAATAAAGGTTCCTAAATGGGGGTTTTCTTGGACTTCACATACCATATAGATGCACTTTGTAGTTCTACAATTACAGACTGTAGTCCATCTGTTTCTCTGCATACTTTATTAGCCCCCTTTCACCCTGTTCTTCAATGGTCAGGACCCCCACAGGACCACCAAAGATCAGGTATTATTTCACCTCAGTGTCACTGCTGGACTGAGAACAGTCCACCAACCAAAAATATCCAGCCAACAGCGTCCTGTGGGCAGCATTCTGTGACCACTGATGAAACACTAGAGGATGACCAACACAAACTGTGCAGCAACAGATGAGCTACTGTCTCTGACTTTACATCTACTAGGTGGACCAACAAGGTAGGAGTGTCTAATAGAGTGGACAGTAAGTGGTATGAGTGGATCAGACACAGCAGTGCTCCTGGGTGTCCACTCACTGTCCACTCTATTAGACATTCCTACCTTGTTGGTCCACCTAGTAGATGTAAAGTCAGAGACAGTAGCTCATCTGTTGCTGCACAGTTTGTGTTAGCTATTCTTTAGTCCTTCATCAGTGGCCACAGAATGCTGCCCACCAGACACTGTTGGCTGGATATTTTTGGTTGGTGGACTGTTCTCAGTCCAGCAGTGACACTGAGGTGTTTAAAAACCCCAGCAGCACTGCTAGCAGCATTAACACACCACCACCACATGAGTGTCACTGCAGTGAGTGGTTAGTCACAGTCTATATCTAGACTGGTAATGTGCTAGCAGTTGCTAGGGCAGCAATATACAAACACAATTTGAGATTTCCGAGCTGAAATACATTTTTTAATCCAGCAGTGAGACTTCTCTTTTTTCTCATCTGCTTCCCGCCTCAGAGTTTCCATCACGGGATGTCTTCCTCTTTCATGTTGGCATTTATCATACTAGAAGACACTGGACGCGGAAGCAATGCAGGATCCTCTCAGTATCTTACTCATAGCATCTTATACAATCAGGATCAATAAACTAATCCATTTGGCGAACCAGGGAAAAGCATTTAGCCAGATAAAATCACATCATGACGTTGCACAAGGAAGATGCATGCATCTTAAGAACGGTCTATCTCATTGAGGGCAAATTTAGTGGTCTGAAGCTGTGAATAGAAGCTAGTTGGCTTTGTGGCTGGGTTGGGTTGAAAAACCCATCACAAGACAGAGCACATTCATGCCCGTGGCTATACTCATGGTCGATTTTGAAACAAGCACAAAAGCTGTTATGATCAGGGCTTGTTTCCTCAAGCTCAACCCTTTTTCAATGAGGGTCTTTTAGCCATGAACTATCGCTCTTCAATTCTAAATAGCTCTTTTTGTTTCCTGAAGTTGGTGAACTAACGCCAATATATGGTCTGTAATGAGGAAGTGATGTTTCCCCTTTTAAAAAACATCACACATAACATTAGAGCTTCAAACTCTATAACCTTCTTGGCCGTATATGGATGATTCTGCCAAATTGGTTCAAAGTCAGAGGTGAAATCACATTTCAGACTTTTAACTGACGTTTTGCATTGAGTGACTCCTTAGCTTAATTATGTTTATTTTTATTAAAACATATGATCGAACATGCCGTATGATGGAGTGGCGACCTGTCCAGAGTGTTTTCTGCCTTCCGCCCAATGACTGCTGGGATAGGTGTCAGCACCCCTGTGACACCTATCCCAGCAGAAGGATAAGCAGCTTAGATAATGTGTGTGTGTGTGTGTGTGTGTGACTGAACATTCCATTTTGTCCCTAACAAAACAATCATAACACTACCGAAGCTCTACCAAATGTTTCAATAGTGACAATTTTAGCTCATTTTGAGCAGAACTCAAAAATGCTAGCCAGTACATGACTAGCAAACACAGCTTTGAACGGTTGTACACACATAAAATCATAGCATTCTTTATTAAAGCACCAAAAGGTTGACTTAATTGCAGAAAATATGGACACAGGTTACACACTGATTTTCTGACTTTGGGACACTTCAAAGCCATTTACTGAGATAATAATAAGCTAAATATATACAAAATCATCATTTATACCACGTGTCAGGCTCCAGTCCTTGCAGGCCAAAACACTGCAGACTTCAGCACACTGCCTCATTAAACACACCTGATTCAGCTCAGCAGCAAATTAGCAAGACCTTCATGAACTGAATTCAGAACATTAGCAGAGGGTAAATGTTAATATCTGCAGCACTTTGGCCCAGAAGGTCCCTAGTTTGACATGCCTGATTTGTATGGTACTTTCTTTTGGGAGGTGGCTTTCTCAAACCCTAACCTGTAAATTTCAACATTTGAACATTTTCAGCACTTTTTCACTGTTGTTTCTTTTGTTTCTTTCTTTTTAAAAACTGCTCACCATGTGGCCAAAGTGAAGTTCAACGATTTAGATTTATCAAGAGTTTAATAAAAAAAATATTTATTGAAAAAATGCTGTGCCACATTTTCATATCACTACCAAAACAAAGAGTTTTAATCCATGGGCGGAGCCTTATTTTAGCCACACCCTTGCACGTTAGAACTGAAAGGGAGACTGTGTCTCTGTCCCTCGTGGCCACACAATGAGCAGTTAGATCCCACTGTTTTGAAGTAAATGTGTCCCAAAGCCTGAAAATCTGAGTGGAACATTAAGAACTGTCACTACCGAAACACATGTTTTAATGAAAAATGTTATGATGTTATGTGTGTATGGCTGTTCAAAGCTGTGTTTGTTAGTCATGTACTGGCTAGCATTTTGAGTTCTGCTCAAATATAGCTAAAATTGTCATTACCGAAACATTTGATAATGTTTCAATAGTGTTATGTTTGTTTTGGTAGTGACAAAATGTAATTATTTGTTTTAATAAAGTACACATAATTAAAGTATAGGGTCATTCAAAGCAAAAGCATGTTAGCCTTAAGTCTAGCAGTTAAGTTTTCAACTCTGACCCAATGATCTGTAATGATCCATATATGTAGCTTATTACTATCTCAATTAATGCCTTGGGTTTAAATAAATCATAACATAATCCTTTGTAAATAACTGATCTAGGATCAGATAATGTCAGCGCAAGATGTCAATGGCCAATTTATTAGAAAGCCCTTTCTTTTAGCTCTACCTTGCTAATAGAGGGAGACATGTAGACCAGTGAGATAAGTGGGTCTCATAAAGTGGCCAGTAAGTGAAAATACAAGCTAGGTGTTTCTAATAAAGTGGCTCTATTAGTTAATGTATATGAGTGTATTAATGTGGTTGTGAAAAAAAATCAGCAATTACGATTTACCATTTGGCCTTATCTCACAGAAAGAGTTGAGCTGTTGTAACACACCTTGCTGCTGTTAATGTTAATATTTATATCTCTAATATTCACAATAACTCTTGTCATTAACATTAATGCATCCACCTTTTTCAGAGCTGTGACGCTGAAAACGAAAGACAATGAGCAGACCCTTCTATTTGGAGGCAGATGACGGCACAGATGAGGAGAGGGCAAAGGCCAAAGCGGCGAGGAAGGCATATGGGAAGGGCTGTCCAGAGAGGGCCAGGGGGCCAATGGACACGGACTTCCTAGAGGACCATGGGGAGATCGCCTGCCAAGTCAGATTTAATTTGAACTTCGATAAGTGAGTGATAATATGTTTTTTTTTTTTACTGTAAGCCAATTTTTCTTTACATTTTACTACGTTTTCCACTTAATATAAAGTAAAATACAGCTGAAGTATCGATGAGTAAGTTGTGGAAGGATGTAGTTTTCAGACAGGCCATCTAGACAATGACAGCAGAATATCTCATGTTCAGTGTCTCCAAACTTGAATGTGTCTGAGTGGAATCGAGTCCAAAGCTTTGGAGTCGACTCTCAATCACAGAATGCCTAGAATCGAGGCATCGATTCTTTTCGGATCAGCTCCCAGCTCCAGTGAACGACGTTTCTTTTCATTGAAATGCACTCGCCCTCGGCTGGTTAGACTGAGTGAGCTAAACAGCTTGCCATGCAAACTATATGACTACATGCAAAAGTAGAAAAGTTACAAAATATTCTCTGAATAACTGCTTGGTTTGGCTGTAAACTTTTGGTTTACAACTATTGTGTAGAGCAGGGGTGTCAAACTCAACCACTAAAAGGACCATATTAAAAAATCTCAACAAATCTGTGGGCCAGCAGTGTTTTTATTTTATTTTTACGTAACATTTTGCCATGACCCAAACTGGCCATCAGTTATTCAAAATATGCCAAAACTGCAACAGCAAAATAGGCACTGAATACTTATTCAAAAATAACTATATAAAAATAAATTATTTTAGGTAGTTTCTTTAAACTGCCTATTTGCTTGAACTAGACACCAGCCATCTTTTCTTTTAGTGTAACCGCTGGCCCAGAGATTGTTGTTGGGGGAAGGGGGTCACAACTCACTCTATGTTGCAGTGCATGCTGGGGACTGTAGTGCATCTCAGGGTGAAACGGGCTAATAAGAATAGAAAATTAAAATCATTTTGCGGGCCAAATAGGATTGTGTCATGTGTCATGCGCCTGACTTGGCCCGCGGGCCTTGTGTTTGTCACATGGTGTGTAGAGCCTTTATTTTTATTTATTTTTTTGTTGCTAACTGTGTAGCCTTTAGCTTGCTAACTAGCAAGCTAGTAGAGTAAAGTACTGCATTAGCTGTCATGTAAAACAGTGGTTTGCTACCCAAGGCAATATTAGGCATTTAAAGTATTTTATTACTGTGGCTTATAAACAGCTTTGTCCGCCATTTTGTCAGGGTTTGAAAAGGCAACTGCGCCAAGTTGCAGTGATTTTTGGGAAAGTTCTGATGCCGATGTTGACACTTATGTTCACTCTATTCCTCACCCTTCCAATAGATAATTTAATAAACTTCACTTATGCTAATACAGTAATGAAACAGCCCTTAAAATGATGTCTGGGAATCCCTCAAGGGGATTGCTGACTATGGCTTATAAACACCTAAGCCCGCAATTTTTTTCGGGTTTGGAAGGGGAAATGCGTCAGCGTGCAATGATTTTTTTGGAAATTAATTCTGAATTTAAGAGCAAGCTGGCTAGAACTAGCTAGAATTTCTCTGACCAACAAAATATCATTGTACAAAGCTAGTTTACACTCTGGTTAAGGACCAGGAAAAAGCCTTTCTGATGTTGTAACTATAACTGCAGTGGGGCTGATATTGGGGGTCACTTGTTAGCTGGTGAATACAGAAAGAAGTTAGAAAGCTAACATTACTTCTTATCTTACTCCAGCTGTAAACCTTTAGTAACTGTCTTCAAATGATCATTACAGTGGAGAGAATGGATCACTCAAAGGACAGGAATGACTTGCCAAACAAGGAGGAAAAGCTAAATAATAAAGTTAGCAAGGCCACGTTAGCTGGCTATCTAGATACATGGCCTCAGTTTGGCTTCTTTAAGTTCTATATAGCATCAAAAACGGTTCTGCTATTGTTTCGATGTTAAGGTTGTAATAAGAGAAGAACCCCTTTCAAAAAGGTTCTATAAAGAACCACCTACAGCACATTCTCCATCAACCTGAAGAACCATCTCACGATACATAGAACCCTTTAATCATGCAAATGGTTCTTTGAGGGTTCATGGTTCTATATAGAACCATTTTTCTGTACTAAAGAACCCTTGAAGAACCATCATTTTTAAGAGTGTAGGTGAAGGTGGAGATGTAGACTGAGTGGTGAACAGAGAGCTCAGCTCCCTCTTCACCACTATAGCGACCGCATTACTGCTGCTTCCGATCTCACGATCCCTGTTCCCACCACTCGTGAACAAGACCCCGGGATACTTACACTCCTCCACCTGGGGCAGGTCCTCTCCCCTTACCTGCCGGTCCGCGTGAGTTGGAGATCAGTTGGGCGACTCCATAGCAACAGTAAACCATCTCGCGATGCGCGAGCTGAATGTAGTGCTCTCGTGTCAGAGAGTAACGGTTAAGAGGAAACCTAAACACACAACAAACGGAGGAGAAGTGAAGGAAAATGACACAACCAGCTGGGTCAGTAAACGAAACATGATCCACAACAAGAGCAGTGTTCATGATTACACACAGTACAGTCGTTCATAACGCAGTTGTCTTACTTACAAGCTAAATAATAAGCAGTGCTGAAAGCAGGTTGTCCTTACCTGTTGCCACTGTGTAGCTGTTAGCTCTGGGCCTCGCCCCGCTCTGACGGACAAACTTCGACCGTCTCGGTCCGGTCTTTCTCGTGCAATTCTTCCACCTAATTCACATATTAAACGGTTCGTTCCTCCTCAAGTTTCCTCTCACATCGTTTGTTGCTTCGCAGATGTAGAAGATAATGGTGTGTTAACTGAGGCGTTTGCTAAGTGTCGTTTAAACAATGCAGTAGGAAATAAACTGCACCGGGAGACACACTAGACGACCAAAACACAAAGAACTGGAGCTCATGAAAAAAAATGTAGTTGTTTTAGTTCTTTGGATAACTAAGGAGTACGGAGCCCCGCTGGTGACATCCTGTATAAATAAAAATAATGCGTGGCCACGCCTTTGTAAGGCGAGGGAATGAGATGATTAAGTCGTGGTTACGACTTAGTAAAGCATGGGAATGAGATCCTAATGTGTGGCCACGACTTAGTAAGCCATGATCTCATTCCCACGCCTTACTAAGTCATGGCCACGACTTAATCATCTCATTCCCACGCCTTACTAAGTCGTGGCCACGCATTAGGATCTCGTTCCCACACGTTAATAAGACATGGCCACGCATTACTTTTATTTATACAGGATGTCACCAGCGGGGCTCCGTAAAGGAGCCCTGATGATCCTGTGTGTTCTATGCTGTGCTTTCGTGCTTAAAACACGCCCTGTTCACCCGCTGTGCCCACTAGGCTCAGTCATACTGCCACCACAGGCTGCACTGCTGGTTACCTTTGACTAATTCTTTGGTCTACACTATGTGGACAAAAGTATTGAGACACCTACACATTACACCTACAGGAGTTTTTATGACATCCCATTCTAAATCCATAGGCATTAATATGGAGTTGGTCCACTTTTGCAGCTATAACAGCTTCCACTCTTCTGGGATGCTTTCTACAAGATTTTGGAGAGTGTCTGTGGGAATTTTTGCTCGTTCATCCAAAAGAGCATTTGTGAGGTCAGACACTGATGTTGGACAAGAGGGTCTGGCTCGCAATCTCCGATCTAGTTCATCCCAAAGGTGTTTGATGGGATTGAGGTCAGGGCTCTGTGCCGGCCAGTCAAGTTCTTTCACACCAAACTCACCCAGCCATGCCTTTATGGACCTTGCTTTGTGCACTGGTGCTCAGTCATGCTGGAACAGAAAACCGTTCCCACAAAGTTGGAAGTATACAATTGTCCAAAATGTCTTGGTGCTGAAGCATTATGATTTCTCTTCAGTGGAACTAAGGGGTCTAGGCCAACCCCTGAAAAACACCCCCATAACATCATCCCTCCTCCACCACACTTTACAGTTGGCGCAATGCAGTCAGGCAGGTAATGTTCTCCTGGCATTCGCCAGACCCAGACCCGTCCATCAGACTGACAGATAGAGAAGTGTGATTGGGGACATCATTTGGAATTAGCAGTTTGCTGCCTGTTTACGCTTATTTTTAATGTTTGTTTCTTTGTTTCCTGCAGAAAAATACGAGGGATAAAAGAAGACCCATCCCAGAAGGAAAAGGAGAGGTTCGACATCAAGAGGCTGTTTGAGGCTGTGTCCAGCGGTGATGTATCTAAGCTAGAAGGCCTGCATGAGTACCTGTGCAAGACGAGCAAAAAACTAACAGACACCTCATGTAAGGACGCCTTTTTAACTGTCTATATATCTACACAAAGGACAATACTAATAAAACCGGCTAATGTAAAGATGTTGTAGAAAGCAGTTACATTGCTTTCATTGCAGTGAAGAACAGGGTGTTAGATTCCAGAAATTTTGAAGTTGACTCAGATGCCAAGTGATTCCAAGTGATGGGAATCGATAGAGTCAATTCCAAAAGTCGATTCCACACAATAATCTTGATTTTACAAAAACAAGACATAGGAAAGGACATCTGGCAAAATCAAGTCCAATATTAAGCTAGCTAAATTAACTTAGCTAACTAATGGGGCTGGCTAAGTTGTACCTTTATACATTTTCTCTGTCAGCTCCTTCAGGTGGGTAGATGTCTTGGCAGTGGCAATGTTTTTCGATTGTAAGCCAATTTATCATTTGTAAAATGTAAAATTTCACATTTTGCATTTTATCTAAAGCAAAATACAGCTGAATTGTCAATGTGTGAGCTGTGGAAGGATGTATTTTTCAGACAAGCCATCTAGACAGTGACAGCAGAATATCTCACACTCCTTGTGGGCAAACTTGAATGTCTGTGGAATTGAGTCCAAAGTCTTGGAGTTGACTGTCAGTTCTTGCATGCCTGGAATCGAGTCCTAGCCCAAGACTCCCAGCTCTAGTGAGGAATGGATTTTTCAGTTGGAACGCACTCGCCCCAGCTAGCTTAGCCTCTGTGAGCTAAACAGCTTACTATGCAAATATGACTCCATGCAAACGTAGAAAAGTTCTCTGAATAATTGCTTAGTCTGGCTGTAAATCTTTGCTTTTGAACAGTGGTTTTAGCAGCTTTTTGTTGTTGCTAGCTGTATAGCCTAACTAGCAAGCTAGCAGAGTAAAGTAAAGAAGTTGTATTAGCTATCATTTATAACAGAGTAGCTTTCTATCCAAGTCCCAGTATAAACACAGCAAATCGAATGTAGTCGTTTTGAAATATTAAGCTATTCTATTGCTATGGCTTATAAATGTTTTTTCGCCATTCTTTCTGGGTTTGAAAAGGGAAATGTGCCAAGTTGCAATGATTTTTGGCTGAAGTTATGTTCAATCAGTTCCTCGTCCTTCCAAGAGCTCATTAATCTTCACTTGTGCTAATAAAGTAATGTCTTTAAGTAAGCCTTTAAGATGATGTCTGGGAAAGGGAAGTGATGACAAGTGGCATTTTAAAACTGCTCTTAAAAAAGAAGCGGCTAGTGAACCCTTAGTTACAATAAGTTTTGGAACCTCAATAGGCCATAACCTCAACCAAATAAATTCTTAAGCCTGTCAGGCCCATGCGGTTCAAAACACATGAACACATTTGACTCCATTTAGCCTCTTTTCAAGAGGCCACTATCTTAGAGGTTCACATACTTTTCAATTTTTTTCAGATATGGATCGTTCTACCAAAACGGCTCAGTGTGAGAGTTCAAAACACATGTCAGACTTTTAAATTACTTGGACTTCAGACCAAAATCTTTTTGCCTTGAGTGACCCTATACATGCATTATGTTTATTTTATTAAAACAAATGATTGAACAATCCATTTTGTCACTACCAGAACAATCATAATGCTACCGAAACATTTGGTAAAGTTTCAGTAGTGCTATAACTTATTTTGGTAGTGACAATTTTAGCTATTTTTTTAGCCAGTGCTAGCCACTACATAACTAGCAAACACAGCTTTGAACAGTTGTAAACACGTAAAATCTTTTTTTTTTCATTAGAACAGAAAAAAAGTTTATTTAATTGAAGAAAATGTGTGTTTTGGTAGTTACAATTCTTAAGGTTACATGCTGATTTCAGACTTTGGGACACATTTACTTCAAAACAATAGGATGTAACTGCCGATCATGTGGCCATGAGGGACAGAGATGCGGTCTCACTTCCTGCTCTAAAATGGCAAAAATAAGGCCCAGAGGCTAAAACTCTGTGTTTTGGTAGTGACATGAATGACATGGGGCACTATTTTTTAAAAGTTTTTTATTTAATAATTAAACTCATGATACATCTGCATCTTTCAACTTCACTTTAAAAGAAATTTAAACAAAAAAAAAATCTAAAAAAAATAATTAAGTGTTATTTTCACAAATTTAAATTTAGAGGTTGGAGTTTGGGACAGACATCTCCCAATATAAATTACCCTATAAATCATGATCTTGTATATATTTAGCTAATTACTGTCTCAATTAAGGCCTTAGGTTTAAATAGATCATAACTAATCATTGTAAATATCTTAGATCTGAATGCTTGACTGTTTTTTAAATAGTTTTTTGACTGTGGGACTGCAGTTTAAACTTATTTGGTAGAATGGTCCATATATTTGCACTTCTTTGTAAAGACATAAGACTGCAAAATTGACTGTCTTTATGACATAGTTGAAGATCAGGTGACATTTTAGAAGCCATTCATGCAGACATCCAGATCTTTTCAAAGTGTTCACAAACTTGTTCCTCTGTATACATTAGAAGATTATACTTTTCCAGATTAGACTTGAATTAATTGTGACATTGTCACTCTCAGATCGACCCAGTGGTAAGACCGCTCTGCTGAAGGCTCTGTTAAACCTGAAAAATGGAGAGAATGAAACAGTGGAGTACTTGCTGGACATTGCTGAGAAAATGGACCATCTGGAGGAGTTAGTGAATGCAGCATATACAGACTGCTACTACAGAGGTGAGAATACTTTAAAGGAATATTCCAGCATTTTTCAATCTAATCTCTATCTGCTGCATCTGTAGCATACTGTCAATTATCATGGACAACAGTTTCAACAAATTTCCTTGTAAATCTGTATACAAAATTTTGGGTACCCCTGGCTAAATTACATATTTTGGTAATTATTATTGTGAAAAGAATTAAACACAAGCTCTGCAGGAAACTAAAAAAAAATAACTGGTAATTGTGAATGCACAGTTTATATTTGATTACCTAAAAAATAAAAAAATAAAAGAGTATTTATGGCAAGCGCAAAAGTTTAGACACCCTTCCGTCCAAACTTAGGCCTTAATTGCCTTGTTAGGACTGATAAGGTGGGCCAAGAACTCTCATTAGGGATTGTTAGCTGATGTCAATTCCAGAGCATAATAAATTCTCTAATGTTTTCAAACCTTGTGCTAACACTCAATTATCATGGGCTTCTTTAAGAGATGGCCCTAAAGGCAAAGCGAAACCCCCATATTGCCACAAAGGACCTGCAGGAAGGTTTAGCTGACACAAGCGTGGTGGTGCACCGTTCTACTGTGCAGCCCTGCTTGCACAAACATGATCTACATGTAAGTATGCAAAACATCTAGATAATCCAGATGCATTTTGGAAACAAGTGCTGTGGACTGATGAAGTAAAAATGGAACTCTTCGGCGACATATACCAAAGGTATATTTGGAGAAAAAGGAGCAGCATTTGATGACAAGAACACCTTGCCAACTGTTAAGCACAGGAGTGGATCTATTATGCTTTGGGGTTGTGTGGAAATATTAATTCCACAAAATATCAGCAAATTGTGGAAGCAAATGTGGCACAGTCAGTCAAGAAACTGAAGATGGAAAGAGGGTGTCTTCTACAACAGGACAAAGATCCGAAATATACCTCAAAATCCACCATTAGCTACTTTAAGAAATGCAAGCTGAAGCTTGTGGAAAGGCCTTCACAGACCTCTGACATGAATATTGAAAATCTGTGGGTAGATCTTAAACATGTGCATACAAAATAGCTCAGTGATATCACAGAACTAGTAGTGTTGTGCAAGGACGAGTGGGTGAAAATTCCTAAAATAAGAACAGAAAGACTCCTAGCTGGCTTCAAAAAACATTTGCAAGCTGTGATATCCGCCAAAGAGGGTGTTACTTAGTACTTTTTGCACAATGTTGTTTTCTTAATTAATCAAATATAGAGTAACTGTAAATCAGCTCCAATGTTTTTTTTTAAATAGTTTGCTGCAGACGTTGTGTTTACTTTTCACTTCAAAAATCAAGTAAATATAACTGAATTTTATCTGTGTGAAGATGGCACAATGAGTGTCTAGTTGTTACACCAATGGTACTACCAAATTTTTCTGGCTATTAATAAATCTTAAAATCTCAGTGGAGTACTAACTGTGTAATCATATGACCACTTACCTCATAATTTAGCTTAGGACTACACTCTCTGTCAAAGGTTTGGGCACATCTAGCTTTTCCAAATGAGCATATCTTCTTTGCTGGGTTGTGGCAACCTAACTTCATATTGAATAGAAAGTAGTTTAGGTGTATGCAGGTATTTTTAAATATTTTAACATTTTTAATTCAGAACTAACAGTGAAAAACAAACGATGCTCTGAATTTTTCAGAGTCCCCAAAATTTCGAAAGGCAGTTAAATTTCAAGAAGTATCTGGAAAACCATCCCTAAATTCTTCTGGGAGACATTTACAACAGTGTTTATGTGTGACTGTTGCAGGGCAGACAGCTCTACATGTAGCCATTGAGAGGAGGAGTAAGCGTTTTGCTGAGTTACTCATTCAGAAAGGGGCTAACGTCCATGCAAAGGCCTGTGGGAGCTTCTTTCAGCCTCGTGACGGAACATGTTTTTACTTTGGTAAGTCCAGTGCTGGATGCCAACTTCCTCTGATTTGTTAACTGTATTTTATTTGCTGTCCTGTTTGATGTTCTTTCCATTTCAAAGATAAAAAAGACAATGAATTATAGAGACTACAGTGATTGGTTGGTACAGTTTTCATTCTCTGTGGTGTCCCTAGTGTACTATGTGTTGGGATAACAATCTATCCAGCATGATCAGCAAATTGCATCTTCAGGAAAAAAAAGGCCTATAAGCTAAAGTTAGTTCATTCTTTGTGTTTTGAACTTGTGCCAACTTGCCCCAAAATTTGGGTTCTTTTGCACAAATTATGGTGGTAAGATGGTTGAAGATGGTTGGCACAATGTTAAAATGCTGTAACATTTTGAAGAATTAGAATCAAATTTCAGTTGGATTTTTTTACCATATATTATTTTTGAAACAAACATTACAAATGTGTTCCTTTTGACTTTTAAAATCAGTATTAATAACAATCAAAAACATGTCATCAGAAGATCATTGAATGTTTTTTTTTTTGCTGTATTACAAGGTCACATTAAACATATGGACAAAACTTATCCAGTACATAACACTGCCCACTGTGGCCATGACATATATTTTCATCTCTATTAACCCTTTTGTTGCCATATGAAGGCTAAAGCAGAGAGTTAATGGCAGGTTTTACAGTGATCTGGCTGTGTGTTTGTGCTGCATTGTGATGTTAGAGCTGGTTTCTCTCACTCTGGGTAGTGATGGCAGGTTCCTCTGAGTGTTCTGGTGTGTGAATCGTTGCGTTTTTTAACCTTTCGTTTATAATATGAAGGCTATGTAATATAACAGTAGCAAGTGGGTGTTGGGTGATTTTGGAGCTGGATTGCTGGCCGATGGATGGTCACAGGTGGATGAAATCACTCTGGATTGTGAGGGCAGAGTCAATGAATCATGTTGCTGTTTTAACCCTTTGTTGGAATATAAAGGCCAAAAAACAGGGCAGTAATATCAGGATTTTGGGTGATTTTCTGAGCTGAATTACTCACTGATGCTGACGTCACAGCTCGATGAAGTCACGTTAGGTAGTTTGGGCCGGGTCTGCTCAATGGTCTGATATGTGGATCTTGTCTGTATCTTAAACCGTTCTGGAGTTATGAAGACTAGAAGTTACCTTTGCTTTCGGGTTCTATGAGTTAACTAAAATCTGTATATATTCAGTACCTCTCTTTTAAACATTTCTATGACATTTTTATTCAGGGATTCATTTTTTGATTTGGAACAGAAACTAAAAAACACCCAATTATCGATTCACTGACTGAGTGACTGATGACCATTGTTTGAATGTGCAAGTGTTGCCGTGCATGCAACAGGTGGCGTGATACACCATTAAATATAGCCCTCATATGCATATGAAAGTCATTTTGGCCTTATGAAAAACCTTATGAAGGATAAAATGATGTGTGTGACTTCAGTTGGAATTGTTCCTTTATCTTGCTGTATAAGCAGCATTATTTAGCTATAAAAGCTGTTCAAGGTGTTGAATACATGCACCAAACTGTATAGTCCAAATAGTCCACATTTATGGATTGTGACCTTCAGAAATCTTGACAGATCAGAGTAGATCAAAAGTCCAGGCATTCTTACATTTCCGTTTTTTCTCCCCCCCATCAAGAAATTAACACTGTGCTAACCAACCCCACTCTTTCTAGAACATGTTTTGTTTTTATCTTAAGCAGTAATGCACATCGTATGAACGTTTGACCCTTTTCCACAGGGGAGCTTCCTCTGTCTTTGGCTGCCTGTACCAATCAGAAGGAGATGGTGGACCTGCTGATGAACAACAATGCAGACGCGAGGCAGAGAGATTCTCAGGGCAACACTGTGCTTCATGCCCTCGTGATGGTGGCCGATAACAGCCCTGAGAACACAGACTTTGTCACCTCCATGTATGACTACATCCTTATCAAAGCTCACATGAATCCAAAACAGAAGAAGCTGGAGGACTTTGAAAACAATCAGGGGTTCACTCCCATCAAGCTCGCTGCAAAGACAGGAAAGATTGGGGTAAGAGTACAATCAATAGTACAGTAAAGAGTCAATCAAAAGTATTGTAAATGTTAAACTGTGAGTCAGCAATAACAGTATTGTGCAAAAGTCAGACATTAGGTACAAGTTATTCATATTTCAGAAGCTATTTCAGAGGAGATTAGGTATAAGATATCTTGCATAAGGGAGGGTCAAAGCAAAATAAGTGTGACCTGCAAGACCTGGTAGACCACCAAAACTGTCCCTATCTGATAAACAGCACTTAAAGCTTTCATCTTTGAGAGAGAGGAGAAAAGCAAGCTGCTTCAGATCTGAAATTCTTTCCACGTGTTTCTGTCCATCCTTCCACTGTGAGAAGACAATTCAACACTATGAGTCTGAAAGGATGTGTAGCTGTAAAGAAGCTCTTACTGAGAAAAGGAAATAGCCAAACATTTGTAAATCAGTGAAGAAGCTGCTGGTCTCAACACCACTGAATGATTTTGGGATTATTTGGATCATGAAAGGCAGAAAATGCAACCAACTCCTAAGACTGAACTTTAAAGGTGTGGAAAAATATCCCTGCAGATTTCTTTAAAAGAAACTGAAAGCAAGTTTCCTAAAAAGAATGGATGCTGTAATAAAGGCAAATAGTGGACACACTAAATACTGAAACTGTGATCCATATTATATCCATTATATTTAGCTATATTTAGAGGCTTGTGAGTAATGTTTCGTTAAATATGTCCTTTCTGCTTCTTTCACTGATGCTGAAAATAAGTAACCAGTACTTAACACACACAGACACATACTATCTAAGCCGCTTATCTTTCTGGGTCGTAGGGGGTGCTGGAGCCTATCCCAGCAGTCATTGGGCATAAGGCAGGAAACACCCTGGACAGGCCGCCAGTCGGTCACAGGGCGCCGTTTAGACAATAAAATAAAAAAAATGAAGAGTGGTCTCTGACTTTTGCACAATACTGTATTTGTTTATCTGCTTCGTATAACTGCTCAAGGTTTCTAGCTTGCAGAATGTGAAGTTTGTCTGATTTATTTTAGGGGTTCCCTTCCAGCTCCACTGCCCATGTCTCTGATTCAGTGTCCTTAGTTCAGTTGTTTTGGGTGCTGGAGTAGAGCATGAGACTGAGCTGCCTGGGGGATCTAGGACTGAGTTGAGCCCAGTGGTTTGTTTTAGTCAGACATTACATAATTACATTCCCTTTTTATTTTGGTGGTTCCTGATTTCAGATGGCTTATTCATTCAAATCATGTGATGTTTTTTCCCCAAATGGTGAAAAAGAGTGGAAAATAGTACCTTCATGTCTGCAGTAGCCTGGTAGTCTATGCCTGTTTCAAAAACTGCTCTTTAGAAATTTCCAGCTACCCTCTTCACTTTTATACTCATAGAGCTGTATGTTCTTGAAGGCAGACTGTAAACTAAGGATGTGGCCTCAGACTATTTTCCTGTGGTTGTATATGTTAGCCTGTGCTTTAACCAACAGCTTCAACATTTAAGAATCAAAATATGCTCACTGATGCTGTCAGTTACACAGTGGTTGGAGTGGGCCTGAAAAAAACATTTGAACCCTTTTAGGTTTCTAATGGTGTGTACATCTTGAACGGCCCTTCTTACATAATTATTCCTCATTTCTAGTCAATTGAAACAAGAAAGAGAAACCAGAGCAGAAGAGGAGAAATTTTATAATGGAGAATTTAAAGGGGAATTCCACCAGTGTTTTCAAAATTTCTAAATAATTCAGTCATTAAAATGTAAACAGAGTCAATCAGAGTGGTCTGATGTGAAGTGGTTCATTGTAGAGAAACTTACAGACTCGAATTTCTTTACAGTGGCGGTGATGGGAACCAAGGATCACAATGTCTACAACACAAATATTTTATTTACTATCCAAAACCACCAGTGAACTTACACTTGTCTTCTGAGTTCTATATATCATGTTGTTGATGGTAAAATAGTAATAAATCTAAAAAAAATAAGCTTTCTTTGGGAACTACTTTGCCTTACAACACCCTGCACGTCCCTAATCCATCTATTTTAATGGATGGATTAAAATAAATGGATTAAAATATATTTTAGGTCAACATTTAAGAATCACAAAACAATGTGTCAGACATCAGGTGGCATATATCTTACCACTTCATGTAATAACTTTCTGTGATGGAGCTTTCAGAGATATTAAACTCTTCAGACATCTGGTTCCTATCACCACCACTGTGAACAATTCTTACTCGGCAACTTTCTCTAGAACAAAGCATTTCACACCAAATCACTCTGAATAACTTTGTTCACATCTCAACCATTTAATTATGTCAAAATTTTGAGTTTCCCTTTAAGGAGAGTTTGTTTTTATTTTATTGTTTTTCTTTTACTTTTTTTAGAAATTGCAACATTAGAAAGTAATGCACAGCTGCCTGTTGTGTCAACAACACCAGATTTATAGCATTGCACTGAATTGGAATAGGCAAGGCATGTTTATTTATATAGCACAGTGTTGTCATTTAAAGTGCTTTACAGATGAGAAAATACAGAGTCAGAGTTCATTGAAAAAAAAGGCTGATACTCACTTTCTGACTCATTAACTGACTAGTTACAGTAGCAGCCCAGGGCTGTACCACTTGAGGAGGTTACCAGCAATTTAACCCTTAAAATATTAGAAATGTAGACTTGGTTTTAACTTTTACAGTTTTTCTGTGCCTTCTCACATTTGTGTGGGTTTATATGGATCATTCTACTGATTTGATTCAAAGTCATTTTGGACTTCAGACTAAAATCCTTTTGCCTTAAATGACACTGTACCTTAATTATGTTTATTTTATTAAAGCAAATGATTGAACAATTCATTTGTCACAACCAATTTGATAAAGTTTCAGTAGTGTTAAGGCTGTTTCAGTAGTGACAATTTTAGCTTACTTTGAGCAGAACTCAAAAACACTAGCCAGTAAATGTCTAGCAAACACAGCTGTGAACAGTTGTACACACATAAAATCATAATATTTTTGATTAAAATACAAAAACATTTTTTCTTACTTGCAGAAAATGTGTGTTTTGTTAGTGACAGTTCTTAAAGTTCTGCACTGATTTTCAGAGTTTGGGACACATTTACTTCTAAACGATGGGATCTAAATGGTCATCATGTGGCTTTAAGGGACAGGGATGCAGCCTCACTTCCTGTTCTAAAATGCAGGGGTGTGGCTAAAATAAGGCTCCACCCACAGACTAAAACTCTCTTCAGTAGCGACATGAAAATGTGGGACAGCACTTGAATAAAATGTTTCAATTTAAAGAATAAACTCATGATAAGTCTACATCTTTCAACTTCACTTTAAAAGAAATTGAAAAGATCAATGAAAAATATTTTAAAAAATTGCAAAAAAAGGAAGTATTAATTTCAAGTTGAAATTTAGGGGTTAGGGTTTGGGACACCTCCCATAGAAAGTACCTCATAAGTTATGATTTTGTATACTTTTAGCTTATTACTATCTCAAAGCCTTGGGTTTAAATATATCATCACATAATCCTTGTAAGTGTCTAAGATCTGAATACTTGATTTAAATTTAAACTTTTTCACATTTTTACTGTGAAAGTGCAGTTTGCAGTAATTCAGTACAATGATCCATATATGTGTAACCAGACCAAAATGTTACTGTCCCACTGGTAATTCTCCCGATTACACATTACTATATTACTGAATATAGTGAATATGCAATCAATATCAAATATATTGCAAAATGACAATAATAACTCTAGACTCTGAAGACATAAACTCAAATTCCCTTTGTTCCAACAGCTGTTTGAACACATCCTGCATCGTGAGTTCCAGCAGGAACAGTGCAGGCACCTGTCCCGAAAGTTCACAGAATGGGCGTACGGTCCTGTTTATGCCTCCCTCTACGACCTGGCCTCCGTCGACACCTACGACAACAACTCTGTCCTGGAGATAGTCGTATACAGCACAGAGATGCCTGTAAGAGCAAATGAATATTAGATTAAGCGTTCGTCATATGAGTTGCTAGTAACTGGCTTGTATCTACACTCTCAATCCACTTTATTGTAAACACCTTGTACTTGCATTCACTGGTCACTTTATGAGCTCTACCTACCTTACAGCTCCACTATATACAGTGAAGGGAAGCATGTATTCAAGCATGTTTAGATTATATAATATAATTCCAGTGCTTAGATCCGCTTATGTACACATTTCATATTTAATGTTCATATTTATAAGTACCACTTTTTTTATTTGAAGTGGAGATATGCACTAGAAGTATATTAAATAGCCAAAACAAAGGCACCCGAAACTTTCCTCACATGTATAGACGTTTAATTGCAGACTGCAATTTGTTGAAGTACAATTAGTGAGTTACACTCTACTTCATTCAAGTCAGGTGTTTCTGATAAATTGACCAGTGAGACTAAAATCACCTAATGCATAATAGCAGACTTAATTTCACAAAATTAAGAACATCATGGATGATTTAACATGTTAACAAATCATTCTGAATTAATTAACAGCAGCCAAAAGGTGTTCTGAGAAGCTGATGGTATGTGGTCTGGTTTTAGAATCGTCTTGAGATGCTCCAGATTGAACCTCTCAATAACCTGCTGGAAGACAAATGGAACAGATTTGCACATCGGATATTCTTATTTAATTTTATCTGTTATCTCATATACCTCGGCATCTTCACAGCCATTTGTTGTCACCATAAAGATGATGAGGTGAGCTCATGCCACAGGTCTGAATTCTCCAGGCTGTGGTTTTGTTTTCTCATCAGCAATAAATGCCATTCCTTTAGATTAATGCACAAATTGTTAGCAAGCAATATGGTGAAACTCAACCGCATTAGGGTTAGGCTTAACGTTAGGTTTAGGGTTAGATTTAATCTGTTATGTTCACTTTAGAGTTCAGTTGCATTTAATAGATATTTAGTTGAAGATTTATGTGGTACATAATATATAACCAGTGCAAACATGTTGTTGTCAGTGTGTCTGACCCAAACATATCTTCATATCAACACATTTATATTTTGTTCGTGAATCTAGGACCTTTTTCCATTGAAGACCACCAAAGGCTACCTGTACCTTGCAGCTGGGCTCTTTGTACTTGCTGCATCGATATATTTCTTCATTAAAGGGGTATGTGTTGCTCTTTTGTTAGTTCAAAAATGGAAAAGTTCATTAATCACAGGATCAGCCATTTTAACAGTCTGCACCTGAAATCTGTTTTTGTAGCTGATGGACATGAAGAGAAAACCTCCAAGACTGCGAACACTGCTGATAGATGGTTATTCTGACCTGCTCTTGTGAGTTCTCTCACTTTCTGCTGGTTTTGAATTGCATTCATATTGTATATGATAACGCTGCCACCAAACGGTATGTGAACAGTAGTCCCCATATGAGAACAGACAGCATTAACAGAGCTCATTTAAATACAACACATGCCAATATTATCCTTATATAACACTGATATTAATATTAGGAACCTCTCTTCCACAGAGATGCCCAGCGTCTGGTCGTTTGCTAAATGATAAGTCTGTGAATCATTATTGGCCCAGAAATTCTCTATCTGTACATCGCTAATAAAAACCCCACACACTACCATTTCATTACCATGATGTCACTGCTGTGCTGAGAACCACCGAAGTAATATCAGGTCAGTGGTGATCCTGTGGTGGTCCCTTCCCATTGATGGGTGGGATAGAGGGGGGCTGATAAACTGTGCAGCAGCAGATGGGCTACAAAATGTGAGCAGTTATACAACAGAACCACTTAATCATGCAAAAAGTGTTGCTGTCATTGTAGTGTACAGACTGCCACCTAAATGGGCGATGTTTCTAATAAAAGGGCCAATGAATGTAGATATGAGATACAGTACTGTGTAAAAGTTGGAGACCACCTTTCATTTGTTTAATTTGTTGTCAAAACAGCCAGTCAGCAACTACATAGTATAACATTTCTTAGTTGTCAGTGTGGCCAACTTTAACTGTATTACAGCTAAAAAGAAAGTTCAGTCTTAGAAGTTGGTATTTTCTCCTTCTCGTAATCCAAATAATCCCAAACACATTCACTAATGCTGAGGTCTGGACTGATGTGGTCAGTCCATTTTTCTGAGGACGCCAGCAGCTTCTTTGTTTGATTAGCAAATTTTCTTCTTTTGTTCTTCAAATCCTATTTTTATTAAATGCAACTGAATTGCAGAGAAGTCTTTATTTCCTCTACTCAGTAACAGCTTGTGACAGTTACACATCTTTTCAGACCCATAGCGCTGAGTTGTCTTCTCACAGTGGAAGGATGGACAGAAACACCTGTGGATTTTTTCAGATCTTTAGCAAGAGGGCAGCTTGATCTCTCATTAGTAAAAGTACTTTTTATCGGATGTTGACAATTTTGGTGGCCTACCAAGGTCTTGCACAGTTTTTAGGAGTCTCATTTCTCTTTGTATATTAATAATTAATCTTGTATCTGTTCTTGAAAAATGAATAATTTGTAATTAATAGCCGTTTTGACTATAAATTAAATAAATGAAGGGTGGTCTCTCTGATTGTAGGTGTTTCTAATAAGCTGTCAACTTTGTGTATTTGTCTGTTGGTGCTGTAGTTTCTTTCAGGCAGTGTGCTTCCTGCTCTGTGTGGGGCTGTATGTGTCTAAGAAGAAGGAGTATCTGGCTTTTCTGGTTGTCTGTCTGGCCCTGAGCTGGATCAATCTTCTCTACTTCTCCAGAGGATCCCAGCACATGGGCATCTACAGCGTTATGATCCAGAGGGTAATGAGGGCGTGCTGCCGCTATGTTTTCTGTTGTTGTTACTCTGCCTCCAAGTGGTGGAGATCTGCTATGACAAGCTATTTCTATCTCTCTATGTTTGCCTCTGATTTTACACCTGTATGTGTAACCTTTTTGTTCTGTTTCTCCCTCAGATGATCCTTGGTGACATCCTGCGCTTCCTCTTTGTCTACTTTGTCTTTCTCATTGGGTTTTCAGCAGGTACTCTTCACTAGAACATTGAATTTAGGCCTGTGCTGCCTGTCAAAGGTTTGGGAACATCTTGCCTTCTTTTGCCACCTTGCAAAAGTTTTGTTAGCATAAAACAGCTATTTGCTAATCCAGGAGTCATCAACATGCAGCTTTTTTACTTCTCTGTTCCAAAGCAGAATTAGATTTTTAGGTGAAAATAAAATAATCCTTCTTTGCAATAAAATAAAGCTCTGCTGATCGTTCAGCACAGTTTTAACACTAAATGGTCTTAAACACTGGAGTTAATGTATAACTGCTAATGCACCCTTCAACCCTGAAGGTTGGCGCGCAGACTGCTGGTCACCATAGCAACGCAGACAAGACTCTTGTCTAGCTAGTAGCTAACAAAAAGGCAAAGAGAAGGATTTAAGACGAACGTCGATAATTTGGAGACGAATGGACGTATTTGTATTTATAAGCACTCCAGCTGGTTTCCTGATACGATTAATCTGCAAAGAGAAACACTAAAAAGTCACAAACTGAAGTCAGTTTCTCATTCGCCAGCTTGTTCCAAGTTTTCCTGTTCCACCTTAAATGGTGCAGCAGTTACATTATGGTGCTGGAAAATTAGAACAAGAAGCTGGCGAATGAGAAGCGACTTCAGCCTCGTAAAAAGTCAAACGCTGAGAGACATTTTACAAGAAACTATTCTACTTTTGAGGAAAAGTTTCCTGCCAGAGATGCGAGAAAAGCAGCTATAGCTGAGCTAAAGCTTAAAGCAGAGCAAAGTAAGTCTGCATTTTTGTTTATATATTTTTAGTCTATACTAGGACCTTAGCTAGCACATATTAACACATTTTCAGCCAAGATGGTAAAACCAATAAAATTGACATAAAATGTTGTGGCTCCCAAGGTGGTTTGATTTTTGTTGAAAAGATGAAATGGCTCTTCTTACCAGGGGTTACTGACCCCTGTTCTGATCCTTTGGGAATATTCTGTGTTGACTCAGCTCAATGGTCATTAAAATGTCTTCCTTTGTATGAAGGGCAGGTTTTGCTTGAATAATAATTTGACCGTTTCATTTTCCAGACTATTGTTAAAAGGGCACTAAAACTCTTTTGGCTGATATGATTTGAACACCTGAAAAGTTTGAGTGCTTAGGGGGAAGAGAAGCCTGATTATTACCAAGCTGGAATAAGGAGGTCACCTACCTGTTAGTTTTCTGGTAACAGGTGGTAAAGCTGGGTAAAGGTATGAATATTGTCACAAATATTTACATTTGTGATATGGTTTCCCTCAAAATAAACCTGGTCAAAAACAGCACAGAAAACATAGTCATGTGTATTTTAACTTTAGGTGTCCCCAAGCCTTTTGCAGGCAGTGTACTTTCTTTTCCCCAAAGCTCAGACCAGTGACTGTTATCACCTCCTCCAACAGCTGTGATGACGCTGCTTTATGAGACGCCAAACCAGAACAACCAGACAGCCCCTGGCCGCGGGCGCTCGTTATTCAAAGACTCGTCAGAAGACTGCACAAAGCCCACCTTCAAAAACATCTATTTCACCACTCTGGAGCTGTTTAAGTTCACCATCGGCATGGGAGATCTGGAGTTCACCGAGCAGTATCAGTACAAGCATGTGTTTTATGTGCTGCTTATTTCATATATAGTACTCACATACATCCTGCTGCTGAACATGCTGATCGCCATGATGAGCAAGAGGGTGGAGAAGATGTCCGAGGAGACCACCAACATCTGGAAACTGCAGGTACACACTGTGCGCTTGTGTCTCATTGTGTTTGTAGCTTTAATATAAATAGGGCAACTTCAAATTAACTCTCTTTAATATCCATTTAATGTTTGCAAATTATACACTTTTTGGCTAAAAGTATGTGGACCACCTATCCTAATTATTGAGTTCAGGTGTTTCAGCCACACTCGTTGATGAACTGGAACTTCTGATTGTAAGCCAGGCCTTCTCATCCAACATCAGTGCCTGACCTCACAAATGCTCTGAATAGGCACAAATCCCACAGACACACTCCCAAATCTTGTGGAAATCCTTTCCAGAAGAGCAGAGGCTGTTATCGACTGTTATTAAGGGGGGCCAGCTCCTTATTAACGCCCATTGTTTTGGAATGGAATGTCCAACAAACTCATATAGGTGTGATGGCCAGGTGTCCACACACTTTTGGCAATATAGTGTATGTCTTAACTAATAATAACACTCCTCGCTGCTGGAGGCTTGTTTGAGGGATGGGCTGTCTGTGTGGTTGGTAGAATTTTCTGCTGACTGAGTGTGATGGAAGCCATTAAACCCAGTCAGATACCACTCAGTTTGGTTCCAAGCCAGATGGGCCTCATTTAGAAACCAGCTTTATTTAGAAACTTCTTCTTAAAACCCAGTTTCTCAGTTTTCATGAAGATTCTGACCTTCATCAGTGTTTTCTTATTTGGGATTTGTTCTTAGGTAAGAACAGAATCTACACACACTCAAGAGCACAAAGGTCCGAAAAGTTCTGCGGTTTAGGAACGCATCATGAATCTGATGTAGACTTCTTCTTAGAACCTTTCTCAAAAACACATTAAAAAAACTTAGGAAGATATTGGAGAATGATACTTATTGTTTTTCAACTGTCAGCCTTACTTGCTGACAAATTTTTGGCAGAGTGGTGAGCCTCCACCCATCCTTGTTCATAAAGGACTAGGCCATTCCTGGATATTTTCCTTTCTACCCAAGCATGATTACTCAAATTACTCCTGTCCCAACTTTATTGGAACATGTTGCAGGCATCAATTTCAGAATGTGTGTATATTTACAAAAGAGATTGATGAGATAATACATTGCATATCTTTTCTTTATACTGCTTTCATTTGTGGATTTACAGATCATTGCTTTCTGTTTTTATTCGCATTTCATACACTGTCTCAACTTTTTTGGAAGCGGGTTTGTTCAATTAGTATTAATAATAACTGAAATAAACAAATGTTCCACTAAGCAGTGTAGTCTGTTTACAGCTATGATTGCCAAACACCATAACTGTTGATTATTCCATGAAATGATTTTTAATAATTTGCCCCAGTTGTACAGAATTGAACTGATGTCTGTGGTCATATAGGTGTATATTGAGTATTTTACGACTTGATAACATGGCTTAGTCATTCAGTTTTCAGAACCAAAACTGTCTGTTTTAAAAAATGCAAATGCCAAATTGCTGAACCAATAAAGTGTTGCTCTCATTTTACATACAGAATGGTTATAACAGTAAATGTGTGTGTTCTCCCAGCGTGCCATCACCACCTTAGATCTGGAGAGAAGTCTTGGTCGGTGCCTGAGAACAAAACTGCGCTCAGGAGTGGATAAAGACCTGGGCAAGAAAGAGAAGGACGTGCGGCGGTGCCTCAGGTGAAAGGAATGAGTAATCACAGAATTTGATTTATAGAAATGTTTGGAGAATAAGAGGGCTGGAGCGCCACTTGGAGGCTGTCTTGTTTGGTGAAATGTATGAGCATTTTTCATTTTTTTACTAGGAATCAAGGGACATGTACCTTTCTATTTTCGTTACCCGATTTTTCTCCCCAATTTAGTCGTCTCCAATTCCACCCGCTAGTGGACATGTACCTTTCTAATATCTAAGCAGGGCTGTCACGATCATACATTTTAGCTGCAGATTAATTGTTGTATCAATAATTGCGATTAACGATTTAATTGACTTTATTTGTTCATTGTATCCAGCTGCTAAACTAAAAGCCTAAAGTGGCGACCTTGGCTGATTAGCTATTTTGCTTTCTAGCTGTTTATTCAGTAGCTAATACTGGTTATACTGTGAAAATGACTTACATCTGATATTGGATGATTAGTTCTGGATCATTGCATCTCACCCCAAAGGTACTGGATGGAGCTCTATCACTCCAGAGTACACAGTTCCACTGGTCCACAGCCTATTTTTCTGGGAGGGGGGCTTTATACCCCTCTAGCTTTGGGCATGGTGATCTTCATGTGTGGCTGATCCATTCTATTGGTCATTGCTTTTCTATGGCGGTTATATAAGCTGTGTGTGCACAATTGAACGCCTGTGTCAGCAATTGTGCACCTTCAAGTAGTTCAGTTCATTAATTAGAAGGAGTGTCTGGATACTTTTGGACATATAGTATACATACTAAGACAAGTTCAGTTAAATGGTTCATGTGGATGCTTAGCCCTAGCACTCATTGGGAAGTCCTCATTTTTTTCTTTTGAAAATAGAAAATCAATGATTGACCAAACGTCTCTGTGCAAGTAGACATCCAGTGCAGTACAACAGCTGTGACTGAGCACTGATTTTACAGCACAGACACTCTCATGTGGTCTCTCTCAGAATAATACAGTAGTCTTTTGGTCTATTGATCAGCGTTTACCACCAAACAGATTGCTGCAAGATGGTGGGTGATAATTGAAGCATGTGTTTCCATCTCGCTTGCAGAGTGGAAGAAGTCAACTGGAACAAATGGAACCGCAACCTTGGCATCATCAGCGAGGATCCTGGAGACTTCATAAGATCCCCACCAGCTCCCAGACCTCAGAGAGGTACTGAACAAAAAGACTCTTATCTATGTTCAAACAGTTGTGAACAACGCTCCAGAACCACAGAGGGTGCCAGATCCTATTTAGGAGTGGTGGACAAATGTCAGGTTCTGAGCTGGGTTTCCTAAAAGCATCTTAGCACAAAGATGACTCTTAAATGGCAGAACGAGCATTGCACTGAACTCTCTCTCTCTGCCAAATGATCTTAAGACTAAGATGCTTTTGGGAAACTGGGCCCAGAATAAGAGCTTCTTGGTATCTGATGAATTCAGGTTTAAACCTTGAATGGTTTCAAACCTTAAATAACCTTAAATTTACAGTGTTTGGTGTAGCGCTGGAGATAATGTAGCTAACAATTAATGGAACATTATACCCACTAATTAGCATGTGAACTGCATGCCTAAATCATCATTTACCTCAGCCTGTGATGAATGTAGCATGAATGTATGTGGTTGGCACAATGCTTATGAAACATGTGACCTTCACCAGGGCAGAGCTGGCGTGGGTTCTTGCGGGACTTCAGCCGACGGACGCCCAACACCCTCGCCCCTCCGGAAGAGCAGGAGATGAGACCTCTGACGTCGGTTTAACAGAGCAGTGTGTCTCTTCCAGACACCACCGCAGGAGGGCAGGCCAGGGTGTTTCAGGGTAGAGATCTGATTGGAGAGTCTGAAAGAAGGGTCCCCGACCTTACTTTACAGCAACTAGCACTGCTATCTTCTGTTGTTACAAGCTGTTGTTTTGGTGCTATATAGAACCCTTTTTTAAAAAAGGTTCTATATATAACCATATACATCACATTCTCCATCCAAGAACCATTTCACCATACAGAGAACCCCTTAAGCATGCAAATGATTCTTTGTGTTCATGGTTCTCTATAGAACCATTGTCTTTACTAAAAAACCCTTGAGGAACCATCTTTTTTTGGAGTGTAGCTCCAACCTTACCTCTCTATTCTGTACACTTCCAGCAAGAAGGGTAACCAGATTCAGCACAGGTGCTCAAGGGCCACCTGGCAATGGAAACAATGACAAAATGTGTGATCATGGATTTGTAACTGCACCACGCCGTACCACACTGTCCAGTGGAAAAGCCCTACAAGGCTCATTTGTTCCTAAAGGAAAAGTCATATTCTGTATAGTTTCTCCTAGACGTGTTAAGCTCTATCTAAGAAATAACACGCTTTGATCAAAACATTGGCTTACAGATGACAACAGTTTTACTTACATTAGAAGTAACAGTTACAGTACTGCGCAAAAGTCAGAGACCACCTTTCACTTATTTCATGTACAGTCAAAACGGCCATAAAGTACAAGCCATATATATTTCAGGGGATATTTCTGAGATTAGACATAAGATGATACACTCACAGAAGGAAGTTAAAGAAAGAACTGGGAAAAAACAGGATCTTCCAAAACTAATCTTTCTAAAAAATCCTTTAAATGTATATAGAAAAGACTGAAAGTTGTGTTCAAGACCTGGTAGACCCCCAAAACTGTCCCTATAAAAACAGATAAAACAGTCATTAAAGCTTTCATCTTTGAGAGAGAGGAGAAAATCAAGCTCATCAGAAAGAAAATCTTTCTCCATCCTTCCACTGTGAGAAGATAACTCAACATCTTTCAAAGGATCAAGGATCTTTCGAAATTGGGGTCTAAAAAATCCTTTAAATGTATATAGAAAAGACTGAAAGATTTGTTCAAGACCTGGTGGAGCGGAAAAACATCCCTGCAGATGGAAACTGTAATAAAGAGCAGGGTGTTCACGCGAGTATTCACCACTATTAAAGGAGGCACTGCTTTCGCACAAGTCGCGCAGCCATGCCGTACATAAGCGAAGCTTTTGTCTGTCTAACAACTTGTTCTCTAACCAGCTCACCTCTCTCTCTTTCTCTCTCTCTCTCTCTCTCTCTCCACACACCCCCAGGATGGTTCCAAGCCCCACTTCTCCATAGGAAAATTAACAAAGTGCAATAAATGCAGGAGAACATGTAACCTAACTTGAACACGATGCAGTGTATTTAGTTGTTGAGGCTTCTGTGTAATTTTAAAACATTTTAACACTGCTCTTATATTTTAAGAGCGTTTTAACTTTTGAAGTTATGGGAGTTTAAAACGGCGCCTCTACGTGAGCGCAAACAGCCAATGAGCTGCTCTGCTCACCAACCAATCAGCACTCTGTAGCAGTACTGCTAGAATGTTGCAGCCCAAAACCCATTTGCTGTAGAAAAAAAGGAAATATACAGGTAATTTTTGTCTGCTTTTTTAGTGAAATACGTCCTTCTGCTTTCTAAAATTAAAGGAAAGTTATGGGCAAGTGGTTAGAAACTATTTTAACTTTTCATTTTCAAGCTGTCCTCCATTGAGGACTCGCTCGTGGGCGCCCTCTGGTGTTTGGCAGTCATATTTTTGACATAATGGGACATAGGAAGAGGCCAGTCTCCTCTTAAACCAGCTTTGGTAATCTCCTGGAACAGGAAAATACATGCTTCCTGGTTTAAAATGGGACAGTAACAAGCTCTGCAACCAGAAATGGAAGAATGAGAGAGAAACTGGTTATTTAACTTGAATTAGAATTAGAGACTAAACATACACTGAACAGTAACGTTATGCTTGTATGGTGTTTGTATTTTGTATCATGCACTTTGTACAATTGTGATTCTAGTGGTTATTAAACATTATTCAGAATGCTGCTCTGTGTTGTTCTTTGGTTCGGCTGTGCTGCCCTCTTGCGGCGCGGCGGGGGGCGGCCTCACTCACTGGGCAGAGAGAGAGGACCGAGGAAGCTGTGAAAGACCCAGAGTGAGTGGGAGAAAGAATAAAGGAAGTTTCCTTCGACTCTCTGAGCTTTTCTGACGCTAATTTCATCCAGTCCAAAAAAGGGCAGTATTTTTGACTATAAATACGTGCATAGTTATTTTTCTACATGGTTAAAGCGAAAGAAAAGTCATTCAGAATGGTTGGAGAAACCTCGAGTCAGAATCGTTCAGTGGTGGTGATAGGAACCAGACGTCTGAAGAGTTTAATGCCTCTGAAAGCTCCCTCGCAGAAAATGGTTCAGTGTTCTGAATACACTGCCTGAGGCCTAAGATATTGTTTATGATACTTTTGAAAGCAGATTTTAGTCTATAGGGTAATTTTTTAAAACGCACTCGTGGCGGAGGGATATGCAGGGCGTCATGAGACAAAATAGTCACTAGATAAACCCTTTTTTCCTGAGTCAGAGTCGTTCACTGAGGTGGTGATAGGAACCAGACGTCTGAAAAGTTGAATGCCTCTAAGAGGGAAACCATCAAATGCATTTGGAATCAGCTTTTGGTCACCTGTTAAACCATTAGGATCCTTTACACTGTGATATCAACCCATTAAAAAACCATCAGGAACTAATAGAAACACAAAGTTTTTTTCAGCAGTGTGTAGATATATGCTGTCTGATGTCTGTCACACTATTTTATGATAGTTCTGTGATAAAGTTTAAGCCTGAAATGCACTTTAATCCTTTTGTTTTAATCCATTCATGGCGGAGGGATACATTCAGGACGTTGTGCACGTTCACTCGCCTGTTTACTGAGTAAATTAGCCAATCACAGCACGATAATTATGAAGTTCAGCGTCATCAGACTCTCATAACTGACTTAACTACCCTGAAGACTGACTGTCTCACTTTCCCTAACTGGGGCGGTCAGATCTCTGGCCATGCTTCTTCATTCCGAGATGGCACTGGTCACCTTTGTCCTCCCTCGGCTCCAGCTCTGGATACTAGCTGTGAGTGTTGTGCATTTCACAGTGATGTAAGAGCGCCGTATAACAGCTGTTTTGAATGCAGTTTTAAAGTGAACTGGACTCGTTACAGTGCAGCAGTAGCACGCGCTTCTCATTAAAACCCCCGGTCAGTTGAGTGGTGGTCACGGCGCCTCCACACCGGCCGCTGTGGGTTTTTCCCGCTCGCTGGACAGAGCGCGTCCTGCTGTGCCCTCTTTATATAACTCCAATTTCCATCCGCGCCAGACGCCTCAAATCCGCGCCGACCTGCCCGCACGAGCCTTTCAGAGCCGCCCCGTCTGCGCTGCTTCCCGCCGCCCCGCGCGTTTGATGCGCGGCCCCTGCTGAATAACCACAGAGGCAGTCATCCATTTGTGCGCCAGCTGTCACAGAGAGAGAGAGAGAGAGAGAGAGAGAGCGAGAACAGAGAGAGAGAGAGAAACAGAGAGAATGAGAATGAGAATGAGAGTGAGAGTCAAAATTAGAGAGAAACCAAATAACAGACAGAGAAACAGAATAAGAGAGAGACAGAAAGAGACAGAGAAACAAAGAGAGGCAGAATGAGACTGAAACAATGAGAGAAACAGAAAATGAGTGAAACAGCAAGAGAATGAGAGAGAAACAGAGAGGCAGAATGAGAGAGAGACAAACAGGCAGAATGAGAAACAAAAAGAGAGACAGAATGAGAGAGCGTGAGAAACAGAGAGAATGAGAATGAGTGAGTCAAAATTAGAGAGAAACCAAATAACAGAGAGAGAGAAAGAGGGAGAACGAGAGTGAAACAGAATAGGAGGGAAAGAGACACATAATAAGAGAGAGAGAATGAGACGGAAAGACAGACAGAAACAAAGTGAGGCAGAAAGAGACAAACAATGAGAAACAGAAAGAATGAGAGAGAAAAAGAGAGGCAGAGTGAGAGAGAAATAGAAAGAAACAGAATGAGAGACAATGCCAGAGAAACAGAAAGAGAATTAAAGAGAATGAGACAGAAACATACAGAAGGAGAGAGAGACAAAGAGGCAGAATGAGAGAAACAGAAAGAGACAATGAGAGAGAAACCGAGACAGAATGAGAGAAAAACAAAAAGAGAGACTGAAAAAGAATGAGAGACAGAGAGAAACAGACAGAATGAGAAACTGAAAAAGAGACAGAATAAGAAGGAGAAAGAGACATAATGAGAGAGAAACAGAGACAGAATGAGAAACAGAGAGACAGAATGAGAGAGACAGAAATAGAATGAGAGAAAAACAAAAAGAGAGACAGAAAGAATGAGAGACAGAATGAAAGAGAGACAGAGAGAAACAGACAGAATGAGAAACAGAAAGACAGAATAAGAAGGAGAAAGACATAATGAGAGAGAAACAGACAGAATGAGAAAGAAACAAAGAATGAGAGAGTGAAAAAGAGAATGAGACAGAATGAGAGAGGAACACAAAGAAAGAAACAGAAGGAGAGACTGAATGAGAGAGAGAGAGAGAGAGAGAGAGCCCCCCCCTCCCTCCCTGCTTGTTGACAGCGTGGTGTGCTTTCTCAGACCTCCATTAGAGATTAAATAGCCTGCGCCTCGACTCGGGTCACTTCTCGAAATCTTCTGCGAGGGAATCGTCTCATTATGGGAGACATTACTGTGTGAGACTGTGTCTCATACGCTCGCACTTAATAATAACAAGACATCTAATGGACTACACAGCCTGACCCTGCCTTAATTACACTGCATTATGAAGGCTTTTACTCAAAGCACGCATTAATAGATTACCGAGGAAACCACCACCGCAGCGCCACTCTAATGTTACCCTCCGCTTTAAAGGGGAATTCCACCGCTTTTTCAAAAGTTCTGCATAATCACACCCTGAAGATGTAAACAAAGCCACTCGGAGTGGTTTGGTGTGAAATGCTCTGTTCTAGAGAAACGTACAGTCAGAATTGTTCACAGTGGTGGTGATAGGAACCAGACGTCTGAACAGTTGAATGCCTCTGTTACTAAACTCCTTTGAGGGATGACTGAACTGAACTCCTGACTCCTCAGTGGTGCACATATCCACGAGTGATTAGTGCTCAGCACTGTGGTTGTACTGGATTTGTGCATTTTTTGGCAATTTACACACATGATATTAACTAAAAATCACATACCTACTCACTTTACACTCAAATTAGCAAGATTTTGTTATTGGGATGTGGCAGAATGTTGTCTTAGGTCATGAGAGGGCAGCGGGATTATGAGAGCAGCACTGGAGCAGCAGCCAAAGTTATGTTGAGAATTTTACAAGAAGAAAGCTGCCAACCGGTAACAGCGAGGAACAATGTGAAGGAAATAAAAATTATACAAGTTTTTCACTTGTACTGTAATGTATATGTATTTTAAATTAATGCTAAATGCATGCTAAAAGTATTTTGCTCAACCCTGTAGGTAGGAACGGCTTTTCCTCCCACCATCTCCCACTGCTTCTCACACACAGGCACATACAGTCCAGTTATTTCATTCCACTGACCAGTCATATAAGGAGATTTATAAAACGGATAGTTCCGGTCCTGAAATCTGATTGGCTGAGCCGCGTTTGAAGCCGTTGTAAAATCCACGATTTACCACTTCTATGACCGCCTCACAGCAACTGAACCCTGTATCACTGCGCCATAGCATAAAAAACCCTTGTGCTGTTAATGGAATAATCTCTGACATGTTCCTTGCATGGACCACTGAGGGGCTGGTGACCTATGTTCTCAACTAACTAGTTAGAACTAGGCTGGTCAAGTAGCCAACAGGCTAAAAGATAGCTAGCTAACAGCCTAAACAACTCCATCATTAATATTACAGGCTTGAATTAAAGTACTTACAGTATGATTAACTGTAAAACGGCAGTATAAAAGTCTGAAAATGTCACTTAAATGGCTTACATGCTTCAAATGTTTGTGTTTCAGTCAGAAGTAGCATCAAACCCAGGCTGAATCCCAAACGGCTCCGTACTCCCTAAAGAATGTGCTAGCTATGGAAGTTTAGAAATTCTAGCCTCTGCAACCAAATATGTGGATGTGACTGCGTCCTAAATTACTATTTCTTTTCTGTATTTGGCACCTTTGGGGAGCAGGATCCAGTATTTAAATTCCTACGTAGTGCACTATGTAGGGAGCAAGGAGCCATTTGAGATTCAGCCCCAGCATGAGAAGAGGGACGCCGCTGGATTGGTGCTAAATATGACTCGCGGTGGTAATTTGGTGACCAAAAAGTACTTAGAAAGTGAACGTTTTTTGCATTAAACAGTGCTGAGTTACCATATGTTCATTCTTATATGACAAAAACTTCCAAAAATTCATGAACTGACCGCAGTACACAGCGACGGGCGACCGAACATTCTCCTCCTTGAGCGGTCCTTGGTTGCTTGGCAATGATACCGTACTCTAAAGGAACAACACTTCTTGGCGGAATATTGTCGATTATTATTAAAAATAAATTATTTTCTGAAAAGTTATGTATTTTATCATATTTTATGTTGGCCGCTGTTTTATAAAAGCAATAAGACACTTGAGGCAGTGGTTACTGCGATTTTATTGCGGGAAGGTTTAACACCCCTAAGAACACCCTTCCATGATGAACTGCAGTAACCCCCAGCCTATTGCTTTACTGTTTCATATTAATGCATTTTTTAAAATGTCCAGATTTACTAGTTTGTACAAAATAATCATTGCAGAAATAGCAAAGAACCCCATTTTACGTACAACAAGAACACTTTTTGTTTAAGGAAAAGTAGCGGTATCATCCGTCCCTAGCATGAAAATGGCCTACTTAAAGAGCCGGAAGGGACAAAGAGACACAGGTGATAGCGTTCAGTACGCCGCAGTCCTTAGAGAGTACAGTACCCATGAGAGTCAGCGGTGGCACCACAGTTCTTCATCATTACAGATGGCTAATTAGTCCTCATTAATACTAACTAGCTACTCCTGGCCAAGAGCAGTGTAATACGAAGTGGATGAAAACAGCTACTTCCAGTAAAAACAGCCTTTCTCCAGGTTCTGCACTGGAGCCATGAAAAGAGTTGAGCAGCCAGTTTTCATGCTACTGTTTTACTCATGCGGTCTTCAGACTGCAGCACTAAGACTCTTTGTTCTTGTTTCAGTATTGTTTGTATGTGCCCTCGCTGACTTGCCCTCACCGTTTTCTCATGGGAGCAACGCCATCACCATCTTAAGGCCATTCCATTAGCCTGCTTTTCATCAGCTTGCTGTATGAGCTCTTGGAGGAGATTGGGTCAACAGCTGCAATCTGGGTAAGCCTACCAAACTAAAACCCTTAGCTAGTGCGTAGAACCATGGCTGCCACTGGTAGTGTTCCCAAACATTAGTGCATATGAATTTAAATAGCATACTCAGAATAGAGCATTTTGAGAATAACATGAATTGTTAGACCGCAGCATAATAAACAAATCAAGGATTTTTACGTAGGTTATGGTTTCTATGAGTATCATAAAATGCACCAAACAACGGCTTCATTTTAAGGCCTGTCCACCCAGCAGGTCAAGTTGAAAATGAACACATATTGATGCAGGCATATTGATAGACTACATTTTTTGATTGAAGCCAGCTTGATTTTCTGTGTTGAATTAATGCATTAAATATTAGGCTGACCAATCAGAGCTCTGCCATCATGGCTGCAGAAGAAACAAATGTGAATCAGTGTGGCGGCAGAATAGCTCGGTCATTTTCCCTTCGAGTGGGAAACCGTGTCACAAAGGTTGCAGGGCTTAAAAAGAAGCTTAAAATATTAGGCACAGCTCCAAAAGTCAGTATGTACATTCACACAGTTGACCTAATATTAAATAATACTTTTCCCTTATGATTCTCTGATTTGTCTTTTTTATCCTGTTTCGAAGTCGCTCTGCATCTGTAAAACAGCTCGACACAAAACCAATTTTCAACATTTGAGAAACCATTTTTAATATAAAACAGTATTTTTAAGAGGTTTAACTTAGGAATTTGTATGAAGTTTACTTTTTTATATCATTAACATGATACTACATTTTAAAAATATGTATTTTATTTAAAAAATTCATTTTGGTTACTGGTGTCATCAGGACTCTTATGTTACAGTTTAACATAGTATTTTCAGCTCTATGAAACTGCTTCTCTGAGGCCCATCAGAGAAGAAGCATCCTAAGGTATGAGAAGGTGAGTCACACTTGCTTATTATATTTCATTCATTTCTTAATAATTGTGTTTATCAGGCAGCTCATAACTTCTATGTGTCACTGGTGTTATGTGCTGTAATGGCTCGGTAATTAAAATTTTGGCAAAATAATGGCAAATATCATTTTTATTACTGAATAGTTGCACAAGGTCACCTGACCGCCACTGAGTCAGCCAATTTACAAAATCCTCAGTTTTAACCAGAATGTCACTGGAGTCACAGTCACTGGTGTTACACCATATTCATACAACACCAGAGACTGTAAACTATGTTTGGAATTAAGCTCTCCTTTTTGCAGATATGATAACAGGAGATTATTAAGGAGGAAAAATAGGAGACATATTAAGATTATTTAGTTTGGGGTTGAAAGAAATTGCTTTTTAAAAATGTATCCACTCGAATTCCCATTTCAAATGAAGAATGACCCAGCTCATCTTGCCATTAATATAGATTAAAACAACAAGCAACATATTGGCTATAAAAATGTGCATTTTATAGTCTATATGTATAGTCAAAATACATGGCAGACCATAGCTGAAAGGCTGGGGAATGGCAGTGAGTTCCTTAGTACAGCATAGCGACTGTTTATAGCAGTTTTACAGTTGTTTGATTGTTTATCTAAGTGTTAATTCTGTTCATGCCTGGGAAGCAGTGCAAACTAGTGTTAAAAAAAAACATATTGGACTTGATGTGAAGGTTCCACTGCGTTAAAAACTGTTTATTTTTTTCATCATACTTGGTGTGAATAGAGCTGGCCAACTTGGTAAGACAAGTGGGGAAAAAAGTAACTGTTGTGAAGAGATGCGCATGCATAGGAGTTGAAACAACCTGGGAAATAAAAACTTTTTTGTGCATTATTTGAGCCAAACACCATAAACTATTTATGTGATTCAAGACCAGCAGCATTTTCTGTTTTATAATGCTGTTTTATTAAAATACTTTTAGATGGGCAACTAACACAACTAAAGGGGCCTAAAATTAGCATGTAATATGTTATCTTCCAGTATGTCAGCTTCTAAGCAATAACATTAGCTATCTGGCTTCCTTCTGCAGTAGCCAGCTAGCATGAAAAGAAACAATCAAAGCAGCTTGCCCATACACACATCCAAGTGCTTGTAGGTCCTCCCACCTTTAAGATACATCATCAGAAGGGGGTTTTCCCTCATCTTTAAAATGGAAAAACTCATCCTAGACTACTGCGGCACAGCTGTAGGATAAGAGTAGGCATGTTCACAGGATGGTTCATGTGATGGTTATACTCTTCATTTTGGACAGAATGCCTCTTTAATCTATACATAACAGCTGAACTAACCGTTACTTTACTCTGCCAGCTAGTTTTTTAGCAAATCTTATTTGCATTAACATTAGTTTGGTTTTGTCCTCCTTCCATTTCAGTTCTGTGCAGTTTGAAGGAAACTGAGCGTATCAGGAATTGGCTTTCAAATGGATATGTTGTAATATACAAGTGCGAGTGCGTTCTTATTGAGTCAATCTGCTCCCTAAAGCCTCCTCCTCTGTCTGTCTCCACTCACGACTGACATAGCTGATACAACTTGGAAGTGTATGAAGGGAAATTGACAAGGGTGTGTTGAAAACAGCAATGAAAAACAAGTTTGGGTGTGTTCAAGCACAGTAAAATGAGTTAGATATGTGTACATAACTTCTCTCTCATTTCCCTGTTTACACTAACTTGTAATAGGGGCAACTATTATAAGTAGATTTTCAGGGACTCAAAATAGGCCCGTTCTCTGTGCAGCAGCCTCAGACTCCTGTTACAGAGCATGACTCTGAGCTACGTCTGCATGATACGGACATGCAATGCGATATTTTACTAAGCTGTTGGAGATCATGATGCCTACGAGAACCTATGAGAAGTTATGATTACAAGTGTTCTGACTGTTGCTAGTACACTTTTTCTTTTGCTCTGTAGACAGATATGTAACTAATGTCTTCTTTAAGCAAATAGCAAAAAAGCTATCTATCTATCTATCTATCTATCTATCTATCTATCTATCTATCTATCTATCTATCGCTGCTGTCAGAACAAAACCTTTTTTCAGTTTTTGGCATAGTTTGAAAATGCCTGTTGGCCTTTACATTGTATATAAATTTCATGATGAATGGACCAAAACAAATGGCTCAAAATGACTTAGATAAAAGTCTGGTTCCATAGACTTACATTAAAAATAAAGTATGGTTTTTGCTTCTCCTGTAAAGTTACCATTTTTGAGATTAAATGTTTTGTTCCGACAGCAGTGATATATATTGTTTGCATTATATATATATATATATATATATATATATATATATATATATAAATAATGCAAACAAAACAAGGAAAAAAGTTCTCAACTTAAATGGAGAAATATTTTTTTCTGAGTCATTTTGGACCTTATGTTTGACACAACATAAAGGGCAATTGCCTTAAAATAATGTCAAAAAATATAAAATGTCAAAAATGGAGATACAAGGTTTTGTCCCAACAGCAATGACATACACAAATACATACATCATTAAAGTAATGCAGGGTAGTTGTGACAGTAGTCAATACTGCTGTATATGTTTATTTCTGTATTTTTACAGGCTAATAGTTCAGGATAGAGTAGTTTTTGTGCTGTGTATGTGTCATAATTGGCTGTTTAGCCAAATGGTTAAGTCCACACCAGAGCATGGTTCAAAAGCACTAAGGGAAGCGCTTAGTGATTCTAACATTGCTTTCCTGCCCGTCTAATTATGTCACTGTAACCCTGCATGTGAGCTGATTTGATCCATTAAGTCATTGCAGCCCTTATCAATGTGTATATCGAGGAAACTCATATCACAGTGACAATAAAAATGAGTTATCGTACAGCCCTACAGTGAGCCTTATCATAGTCATTTCAAAAGAGTGTGTGGCCTGAGATTTAAGCCAGAAGAGTTGCAATAACAAGTCAAGAGGTCACTTGGCTTATTCAGCGGTGCTTAATGCAAAACTAAGCTGAATCAGAAACAGCAGAAAAGGTCAAAGGGGCACAAAGCTGGTATAATAAAGTGGAGGCGAGTTTTAAAGCATAAATTAGAACTTTATTTTATTATTACAATATTACAAAAAGAGTAGCACAACTCTCACACACTCTGTAGTTTTCCGCTCATTCATTCAACAGCCACAGAGTGACAGATATGAGAAAGGCTTTCTAGAGCCTTCCTCCATTTCACAGCTATAGCAAAAAAACAAGGAAAAAAAAAGATTTAAATAACAAGGAAAAAAAATCAAGTTCATAATTATAAATAGTCACAAATTGCAAAACTGAAGCTTTGAAACTCGGAATAAAAAGATTTTTTTTGTTACAGCCCAGAACTACACATAGCTATAAAACATAATTACGATAAAATATTATTTTTTTTCTTCATTTTCGTTGTAAAGTAATTCTAAGGAATTGCTTTTCTATTCAACAAAAGCTTTAGTTAATAAAAATAAACAAGGAAAAAAAATTGCTGTTCCTTTATAGTCTATTTGTCATCGTTTTCATAATTATCATCATTATTATAGGTTTCATAATAACCATGCTTGTTTTCAAAGGAAAGTCCAAGGACCAAATACTTAAGGCTTTATAAGGGCTGTTCCAGAGGGAGGCAAGCAGAGAGTGGGTGTGGGCCAATCCACCCACGAACGCACACGCGCACTCAAACGAAACCAGGCCACCGATTCATTCGTTCACTCATTCACGCGCACTCGTTCATCCACAAAAAAAGTCCTTGGTAACCATACCCACGGGTATCCACCATTCACACAATCATTACACTTCTTAGAGTTACAGTAGTATAGCAGATTAGCCAGTGTGTACAATAAAATAAACAATTCATCTGCTGTTTCACCTTTGACAATAAAAAAAACAAAACAAAAAAAAAAAAACACGTCCTCCTTGATTTACCCACAAGCGATCTTGCAAGTGATCAATTTGGTCTATTCAAGCACGTCGTTAGAGTATCAGTAGCAACTCCTAACTGAAGTTATTCCAACAGATACATGAGAAAAACGCAGGATCAAATCATCTTAATCTCACTTTTGGTTCATAGTTAGTCTCTAAATGGTATTAGTAACAATCCACCATACACAATCTTCTCCAGTAGTAAGTTTAGTCCTGCTAACTTTATCACAAACCATCTAATGAGAGAGAAAAGCCCACCCCTAGAATTCAAGTAATAAGTTTTCATATCTTAAGAAAGTGAAGTACAATGGCACCCCATGAACCTCAGTATCTCCTCTTAGCTTTTTGCTTTTTAAATTCAGCCTCAGAATGGCTTCTTAAGATCACTAAAATCCACAATCGTGCTGCCGACTTCATCCATCTAAGTGACTCGAGATGTGAACGGGCCCCTGATTTGTCACAGCACTTTTGACTAAAAGAGAGACGTGACAAATTCTGCTCCCCACTCGGATCAAGCTGAACAAGCGACTCAATTAGCCACGGATACAACCTGGTTGGACGTGCAGTGCTGTGCTAAAGTCTGAGACTATTCCGTTATTTATTTCATTCCCAGTTAAAACGGCCTCTAAGTAGAAGTTCGGATATTTAATAGAAACACAAAAGCCTCAACAACTACTAAATATAATATCAGATTTTCAGTACATTTTTACGGAGCCCTGCTGGTGACATCCCATAAATAAAAATAACGCATGGCTATGACTTAGTAAGCCGTGGGAATGAGATATTTAAGTTGTGGCCACGACTTAGCAAGGCATGGGAACAAGATCCTAATGCGTGGCCAAAACTTAGCAGGGCATGGGAATGAGATGATTAAGCTTTGACCACATGATCTCGTTCCTGTGCCTTACTAAGTCGTAGCCACGACTTGATTATCTCATTCCCACGCCTTACTAAGTGACCATGCGTTAAGATCTTGTTCCCACATGTTAATACAGCATGGCCACGCATTAATTTTATTTATACAAGATGTCACCAGCAGAGCTCTGCAGATTTTGGAATGATCACTTTTTGCCTTTATTAGAGCTTCCACTCTTTTCAGGAGACTAATTACAGGGACGTTTTCCACACCTACAAAGTTCAGTCTTAGAAGTTGGTTGCATTTTCTGCTTCTCATGATCCAAATAATCCCAAACACATTCAGTGATGTTGAGGTCTGGACTCTGGGGTGGTCAGTCCATTGTTCTGAGAACACTAGTAGCTACTTTGTTTGATGTGTCTGTCTCCTTTTCTCAGTAAGAGCTTCTTTCTTTACAGCTACACATCCTTTCAGACCCATAGCACTGAGTTGTCTTCTCACAGTGGAAGGATGGACAGAAACACCTGTGGATGTTTTCATATAAAGCAAGAGTGGAGCTTGATTTTCTCCTCTCTCTCAAAGACGAAAGCTCTAATTACTGTTTATCTGATATTGACAGATGATGATGGTGAGTTTTGATGATCTACCAGGCCTTACACGGTTGTCCCATTTTCTCTGTATCTATCTGAACTCCAGTTTTGGTAACCCTGTTTTTCCTTATCTATACAAGTGCAAAAAAATGAATAACTTGTATTGAATGGCTATTTTGACTAGAAATTATATAAATGATGGGTGGTCTCTGACTTTTGCACAGTACTGTACTTCAGCCAGTCTAACATGTAGATTCCAACGTGGCATCCCTTTCCACAAATAAATAAGTATGCTTATTTCAGAAGAAAAAGAAACCAGGGCTGCCTCTGAACAGGAGCCATGTTATGTCTCCAAAGGATCTTTAGAAACTAGATTTATTCCTGCGCAGGACACATCCTTAAATAAAAAAAGAAAGAAAAGAAAAAGAAAACATCCTGATGCATTATTGAGCTTGCCTGGCTGAATCGTAAAGCTCTGGCATGAAAAGGTGTCGGTTATTCACGGAAAAAAGAGACGAAGCTTAAGACGTTTGGAGGATGTCTTTAGCCCAGTTCAGATTGTATTTGTATGCTACAGAAGATTCCGTGGAAGGAAGTAAAGGAAAAAAAACAAAAAAACTGAGGGACCATTGAACACAATCCCTTAAAGGTGCCCAATTAAAGCACTCCTTTAAAAAAATTGATCACTTGCAAGACTGATGATTAAAAGAAAAAAACAATAGCGGAAACACTGCTCTTTGTTAGATGTGTTTGCTTGAGTACTTTGTTTTTTAACATCAGTGATGCTGTTGTTTTCCTGTTTTTAACTGAACCTGTGATGTGAATGTGTATTAATGCTTCTTCCTCATGTTAAGTAGTATCTGCATTAAGACAGACTGAGAGTAGAGTGTAGAGTATGTCAGAGTATGTCAGAGTATGTGGCTATCTGCAGTGGACAGAGACAGTGGAGCAGAGCCTGTCTTTTTTGTTTTTTTTAATTTAAATCGAAGCTTATCTGTACCCTGGGTGCTGGCCATGGGCCTCGGAAGGGGGGGCCACCACCCTGCCTATGGGGGGCGGCCTGTGCATCTTCCCCATTAGGCCCAGATTTTGATCTCGGAAGCAGGGCGTCTGGAAGTCCCCTCCCATGTAATCCGCCGTTTGCATCAGATTAGTCTGCCCCGCAACCACCGCCACCCCCGCCGCCGGGCGGTAATGGGCCGTTCCTCCCGTGGGGGCGCAGTCCACCCCTCCTGGGGCGGGGTTGGTGCTGCCCGTGCCGTTGCCTGCGGCGCCGTGGAATGGCACGGGCAGCTCCTGCGATCCCGAGCTGTCGCTGTTGGGCGTGGGCAAGATGCTGCCCCACACTGGCGGCTGGTGGTAGTACTGCCCGTTGGTGTAGTGCGCCATGCCGTTGTTGTTGTTTACGACTGGCGGCGAGGGGGTTGGCTTATCTATGGGGGGTTTGAGGGCGTAAGGCTGCCCCATGCACAGCTCCGTGGGGTAGCTCATGCCCTTGCAGGGGAAGCCAGGAGGGTCCCGTTGAGGAGGCTTGCAAGGGTGCCCAACCCCGTCGGAAATGTGCTGCAGGTGGGTTAGCTGATGCTGGTTCCATGACCTCATCTGTTGCTGTTGCTGTTGGTGCCGGCCTGGGTGCTGTTGATGGTTCTGATGCTGCTGTTGGTGCTGTATAGGCTGCGGATGCTGCTGCTGCTTCATATCATTGTGATACAAAGGTATCCGGTTCATGGCGCCCATGTTGTGTGGGGGTGCACTGCCCACTGGGGCCGGAGCAGCTGCTTTGTCCAGGGGTCCCACGGTGCACGAAGGGTGCATAAGGGCACTGGGGTGCCCACCGTGCATGGACACCCGGGAGCTAGCATTGATGAGCAGGTTCCGGCTTATGGGGCTGGGATTAGCAATCTGGCCCTCGCACACGGACGTGGCGCCGGCGCCTTGAGCCCGGGCCTGGCAGAACTGGTTGATCTGGTGCACTATGCTGCTCAGGTCGGCCTGCCGGCCCTGGTGCAGGGCCCCGGCCATGGAAAGCGGAATGGTTGAGGTAGACACGGTCACGTTGGGAGGGGCGTCGGCATCCGGGAGCTTCCTGGCGCCGCCCTGCAGGCCTGGAGGAGGCTGCTGGAGGTGCTGCTGCTGCTGCTGTTGGAGCAGGAGAGCAGGAGGGGGCTGTGGACCTGGGTGAGCCAGGGCAGGGGGGTGCGAGAGAGGCTGCGTCCTGCCCATGCCCTGGGGGTGCTGAGGCATAGCGGAAGGGGGGTGATGCCTGGGAAAAATGGATAGATTAAACTTTATTACTCTCAAAGAAAGCAAACTACAACAGCAAGTAATCAAAAACTGTAAATCACATACATACATTAGGAGATACTGTAAAAAATTACATAATTTATGAGACACTTGCGAGAAACTTCATTAAAATAGTGAATGCTTGAATGCACAGGAGTATTTACATGCACGCGTTTATTTATGAAAGTTTTCTAGAAACCAGCACAGATTTGACCGCCCTGAGTGAAGTACTTGCCTTGCATGGCATTGAAACAATGTGATTTGAGCTCAGCTGATTGAGCAGACGTGAGTTTGACAGCCTACTTTTAGATACTCATACTGACTGAAATCCTTCCTTTTAAAACAGCCCATTTTAAAAGCTTAGTAGTTTTAAAGAAAAGAAAAGCTAAAAAATATTGGATCAATATCAGCCGATGCTCAAGGTTTCAAATGTTGGTAGCAGAAAGAAAAAAGTGATGTGCCATTTCTAAATATAATGCAAAAGCACAGTGCAACATGTCTTTAAAAGGAATGTTAATAGTTGCTGCATTTGTTTACTGAGAGTAAAATTTCTAAACCAATCCAACTCCTTGTAACAGCAGAGCTCAAAATAGGGGGTCAACATTGTCTGATACACAACAAACCTGTTGGATGCAACATAAGCTAGCATGGATAAAAAGCAGGCCATGTGTTAGGGGTCATTTAGTAGGCCAATATAGTGGCAGGCGGTAAACCTTGGTATAAAAGGCTACACTGATTAATACAGTAGGGTTTGAATGCATCACCCTGTATTGGCTGCATTGTGAGAATGGGTAACACTTTATTTGGATGCTTTGTAGATACGTAATTTACTTTCTAGTTACATTTAACTAAATATCTACTAAATTGACCATAAATTTCTGGCTCTAATCCTAACCCTAACCTCAACCCAAAACCTAAACCCAACCCTCACCCTGGTCCTAGCCCTAGCCCTGGTCTAAATCCTAACCCTAACCCCACCACTGCTTAGAATCAACTAAGTTTCAACAGATAGTTTGCTAACAATTTGAACATCTGTAGATAATCTATAGGGGACTATAGTGGACTATCCAAAGATTTCCTAAAAGGGTAAATGATTGGTGATTTGCTGTAAAATATGGCTCTCCTGTTGATTCTCTCCTGAATAATGTGCGTTTTTGTTTCTTTCTGTTTTTTTCAGCACGTGGAAAAACTGCACAGCCCCTGCCCCACACAGCCCTTTCATGGTTTTCAGCTGCTCCACTCTTGATTGAGTTGTAGCACTGGGCCTGCTGCTGAAACGTCCCCGCAAAAAAATGTAGATGAGAACGCATTACATGTGGTAAAAATAAAAATCTTACCCAGAAAAACAGCTCCATTAGCTATCAATAGCATTTTGCTAGCTAGCTTGTTTGGCTTGCAATATTGATTGTATTCTGGATTTCAACAACAACTAGAGGAACTTGGATGCGGCTTTTAGGGGCGGTATCCTTGTTTGTGGTGGATTTCGCTGCTATCCAGCTCCAAATGTTTACTGCAATAATGAGCAGAATCACACTGTGTATAACTAAAGAAACAGAAAGTAACTGCCCACCCCTGATGTGGTCCTCCAGTCTGTTGCTGCTGCTGAGGCTGAGGCTGCGGCTGCTGGAGAGGCTGGAGAGTCTGTGTGTGTTGGGGGAGCCCCTGCTGAACCTGGGTGGGCACTCTGGGGAGCGGCTGCGGCCCATGGTGGAGGGTTAAAGTGCTGGCACCCGCAGGAGCATAAGGGCCTCCGGGGGCGCTCATCATGGCCTCGGGGTGCAGACGTGCCCTCGTGCCGGCAAAGTCCTTGATGACGCCCTTGGCGATGGGCGCCTTGACGATGGCTAGGAGGCCGGCCTTGGCTGTGGGCTGGGAAGGGGGGTAGGGACTGTAGCGCGGGCCGCCCGTGTCCAGGCCGTTGACGGTGCGGCGCACGTGGTTGCGCTGCGGGACCTTGACGCTGTTGGGGAAGATCTTGATTGTGAGGGGGCTGTTGGCGACCTTTTTAGCATAAGCATCCAGCTCCGCGGGGGTCGGATACTGAGCTGATCTCATCCTCTGTGTAGTGTCCCCTGGAGGAAAACAGGAGAGAGAGAAGGAGATGATGTTGTCATTCACATATACAGACAACTTATCTCATCTTGGCATTCATTTACTTGATCAGGTATTCATAAAATGCATGAGCAGCAAAAATATTTGGGACTCAAGCAGCTGTTAGTGCATCTCATATATTTAAAAAAAATATTTTTTTTTGCAGTTTAGCATTTTGTAGGTCAGCTGGTAGTATGTTAAATCACATACACCTAAAATATAAAATAAATCACATTCATAAATCAACCAGACAATAAGGTACGAATCACCTTTTAACATTCCTACATGCGTTAAACAATTATTCATAACAACATAGCAAAAATATTTTAACTCATAACATAAAAATGTTGTTGTTAGTAAAAATAGCCAAAATATCAGTCCTTCATGAAGTACATACAAATGAGAATTACATGTATGATGCACCGTCCAAGTGGGGTAACAAGGGTGACGAGCAAAGGAAAAACAAGGGAGCTGAATCAAACGGTTGATAAAATGAAGAGAGAGAAGAATGCAAACAGGATCAAGGAGAAACCGGAGTGGAGAGAGGGAACCAGAGAGGAGCGAAACCTGACTGCCCTGATATTCTCACATTGCCCGTCTCAAAGCCGCCACAAAAAGGCCCCTGACATTCAGGAGATAAAGCAGTGAGTGAGTGAGAGAGAGAGAGAGAGAGAGAGAGAGAGAGAGAGAGAGAGAGAGGGTACAGGTAGAAGGTCAGAGAGACGAGCACGGGCTCTTTTCTTCCAGAGAGGAAACCTTTTCAGGGCACAACAGAGTCCTGATCAAAACAAATGTGTTCATTACAAACTGTATCTCCTCTCTATACCAAAGTATGTACAGTCCTGTGAACAAGTCTTGAAAAGAGTTTAAAAACATGCATTCGGTTGTGTGTTTTTACCTGCAAAAAACAAAAAAGAAAAAAACAAAAAAGAAAAAAACGTTTGGTTGCTCTTCTCAGTGAACTCCAGCTACTGTACAGATTTAATGCTGTTAATCTATTTTCCAAGACTGGCCCTCCTTTAAACCAGCCGTAGTTACAGCCTGAAGCTCAGCTGCTCGCGAACTGTTTCTGTGACTCTGTGACTGTAACCCTCTTATTCAAATACAGCTTTTAAGTATCAGTGTCTATTGATGGCTCTCTTTATAAAACCAAAGTTATTTCCAGCTTCTACTGTTCTGCTATGTGTTGAATTTGTTCATTACTGAAGTACATTACCTCTAGAACAGGGGTGTCAAACTCAACTCTAAAAATCCGTGGGCCAGCTGTGTTTTATGTTTCATTTTCACGGGCCATTGTTTATTCAAAATATGCCAAAACTGGAACAGCAAAACATGCACTGAATGCCTGAACTATTCAAAAATAATTTTAAATAAAAACAAATTGTTTTATGTAAATCAACAGGCTACTTTAGCTTCAGATAACTGTTAAACCTCTTTGTGTTCTCAAAACTGCCTATTTGCTTGAACACCATCTTTTCTTTTGTGTAACTGCTGGCCTGTATTGCTGTTGGAGGAAGGGGGTCAGAGCACACATTATGTTGCAGTGCATGCTGGGAATTGTAGTGCAGCTCATGGTAAAACAAGCTAATATTAGTAGAAAATTAAAACAACATCGCGGGCCGAATAAGATTGTGCCGTGGGCCTGACTTGTGTTCGACACACGAGCTCTAGAGTATCATTCACAAGCAAAACACACCATTGATGGTAGCAATACCACTGATCCCAGTAACATTAGCATTGAAGGACACCCTCGGCAGACTAGGCTGGACAGTGCCTTCAGGAGACCTATAGATAGAGTGTGGATAAGGTTTATAACATTAATAATAATAAGTTAAATTTATATGCTTTTCACAGACCCAAGGACACTTTACATTGAGAAGCAAAACAGCGTTATTAAATAAATTTGATTATATTATTATTTTATTGTTTTATGTTTAGTAATTGAAAGTACTAAATACTTTCTGACCAAGCTTATTTTTGTCCACTTATATAGCAATAACAAAATGCACTGCTTTTTTAACTGCTTTTTTTCTTTAGGGTCAAATTTGAGGAAGTAAGACGAAAGCAATTAATTGTGATTAATTACCGCAGACCATAATAGTTATGATGGACCAGCTGGGGAGCTCAGGAGTTTGGGGGCCGAGGGGGGTGTGATGCACCTGATCATTCTATGTTTTGCTGTTGTCAGGGAATGTTGTGACCAAATGGCAAAGTAACTGGGCAATTTCATAGCCTCAAGCACTAGCGCCTCTTCACATCCCCCTGGGGGTGCGTTAGCATCCCCAGTATCACTTAATTTGTATTGTATGTAGTTCATATTTTTGATTGAATACTCCTTTTTCTTCTTGGTACCATTTATTCTTGTCTTTGTTTTTTTCTAATAATGTTGTCATTTTTCATACTTTTTGCCTTCTGCAATACTAGCCATCAGGTGAAAGTAGCCAGTAGCAACCTACATGCATGAGGCCATACAGAGACATGATGTAGGTAGATTGTTTAAAAACAAATTTAATGGCACAAATTAAGCCATTAATTTAATAAAAAAAAAGTATAATAATATGAACTGAAATTAAAAAATACAAAATAGTATAATTAAAAAAATGTAAAAAAGAAACAAGAAAAGTAGTGTAATAATAAAAAATGACAATTATAAAAAAACAGTGTAATAATATTAAAATAAAAAATAAATAAATAGTACAAATTAAGCCATTAATTTAATTAAAAACGTAAAAAAAACAGAAAAAGTAGTATAATATTAATTCAAATTTACAAATTAAAAATTACTATAATAAAAAACAAAATTAATATAAAAACAATAGTATAGTGATAAAAAATATATAAAACAGTATAATAATATTACAATTAAAAATAAAAACATTGTATAAATAAAAAAAATCAATAAATAAACAGTACACATAAAAAAAAGGTATAATAATATTAATTGAATTACTACTAAAAAAATAGCGGATTTCAGCAGTTACGCTACAAGTTGCTCCTTGCTCACTAAAACTCGTGACGTGTAAGATCACTGGTCATTTTGGATGGTAAATAAAATAGCTGTTTGTTGTAAAGCCCTGGTTCCTATCACAGCCACTGTAAAGAAATGAGTCAGTAAGTTTCTCTACAATCAACCATTTCACATCAAACCACTCTGAATAGCTTTGTTTTCATCTCAACTACTTTAAGCATGCAGATTCTGTTTTTAGCATGCAGGGCAAAGCAGCCTCTTCCTAATGACTAAATAATGCAGCGTTATGGCATTTAAAAGGCGAACATCTCCTATTGACGCAAGTGAAAGGCAAGATGTGCGAGATGTACCGCACAGACAGCACCAGAAGCAGGTGAATGTTCACCAGCACACTTCCTCTCCAACAACACCACAGGTGACATTTCCTGTGCAGCACAGAGGGATTTCTCATACGCACACCTCAACAAAGTACTCCGAGCACCAATCAGCTCTCTCCCAGACACATTAATGCCTGGCAAGTGCATCTGTTACACAGTATTTAAAAGTCCTAATGTCAATCATCTCTGAGCGTGCGCATGTGTGTGTTTGTGTATGCGAGTGTCACAGAGAGAATCTCAAAGTGTGTGAAGACTAGACAAATCCCAGCAGTCATGAATTCTGCATCGGCGTCTGGATTCGGGACGAGTTCACTGAGGAATCGAGGAAAGATAAATACTGATTGACTTGCATGCACAAAAAAAGATGAACCCTCCTTATTGAGTTTATTTGACTGGTTAAAGATCAACTGCCTTGTATTTGAAACAGACTCTCTTTGGTCGACTGCACAGGCTCTGCTCCTCCAGGCCGTATTTGTCACCTGAACATCAACGCTACAGTGAATCCAAATCCAATCAAAGTTCATGTCCAATGCTACAACATATTGGTTTTAGGGTTCAATATAAATATTTCCAGGTTCAATCCGTCAAATCGATTTTCAAATTTTTATGTGTTAAACATGTATTGACTCTGTAGTGCTCTAATTATATACTACATATACTGGTTTGGCTCATATAAATAACAGTTCTCAAACAGAACTTTTTCAATGCCTTTCAACCCAGAAAACCCAGTCATTTAATAGCATGCATAGTATAAACTCTTCCTCCTCCCTGCCAACTTTACTTTGATAAGATGCACCCAGATGCCCAGTTTTGATCACTGTGGTTTCCACAAAAGATAATATCACTGTATCTGCGTCTAATTTTGAATGTCAAGAATTCATTATTTCAGTTTTTTAATATTGTATTGAAATACTGAGACCCTTAATTGGTAGTGCTACAACATATCAGGATTTATATGACCCTTCAGTCATTTTGTGCTATATTCTCAATTCTCTGTTCCTAGTGGGCATGTATGCGATCCCATGAAAGCTGCAGGTGCCTTCTGCATACGCCCTCATGACTTTGCAACACGTAGCATGGTGATGCATGCTCACTTACACAACAGGGTGAACATGATTCCTTCAAGTAGAACATGTCCCTGGATAAACATCCCTTTCTTGTTTATGGAACAACATTCCTTTTCAACAATCTGTCTAATGTCTAACCTGTCTAATGTCTTCAGTGCGTGCCTGATGTTCCTCCCAGGCCACTTCATATCATCAGTTCAGCATTTCAGTTCACAAAATTAAGTAAAACTGTTTTTGACCATATCAACAGTCAACCAAGGCCAGTGTGGCACTCTTAACAGTTTGTATCCATAGCTAGCTGAAATTAGTCAAGTCAAAGTTTATTTATATGCCACTTTTTACAACAGGCGTTATCACAAAGCAGCTCTCCACTGAAAATCCATGTCCAAGCCCCGGTGAGCAAGCCTGGGGCGACTTAAGGAAAAACCTCTTAGGGGAAGAGGAAGAAACCCATAAGAGGGACCAAGACTCAAAGGAGAACTCATCCTGCTCTGGTCACAAAACAATAACCCAACAATATATGAATAGATGATAAGATTTTACAATTAATTTACAAAATTGAATATAGA